CGCTGTACATTGCCCATGCCCTTTCGATAATAGCTGTTACATTTGTGCGGTCCCATTTTGTTCTTGAAATTATCCAACATGATTGCACATCATCTTGCTGCGACACCTTGTAGTTTTCCATAACATCTTGTAACACAAATCACTACAATAATGAGCTGATAGGTGAAAGAGAAGCTCCATTAAGCATGCATGCTGTCCTCGACAACATCTATACAGATTGCTGCATTCAATTTGACATCAACGGCTTCCTGCATTCTCCGCAGCAACAGCCTTGCGTGCACGTGTCCGCTCAGCAACAGGAGTGGCTTCGGCAACTCCCTTCCTATTCCAGTTAGGACGTTTCCTTGGTGGGGAATGCCCCTCAGGAATGAACACCTACATATCCATAAAAAGCAAGGCAGCATTTTCGCAGCCTACAGGAGCAGCAGTCGTCACTTGCTTCGCTCGCCCTCCTCTGTAGCGCTTCTGAAGTTATCATATTCACTATAACCATATCAATCGTTAACTTACTGTTACAGGCTGCCGTTCCCCTTCTATAATCAGAGTCTTACTTCGAGCCCTCCCTCCACCTGCACAACAATCGTGCGAACGACCACTGCTGCCGACCCTACCCGAGTCGTTGCTGCTCTGCATTCCACTTGCATCCTCCAAGACGATAACAGACTGGCTCATCGGTGGCTTATTCAAAGCGGCCTCTATCACCGCTGAGACCTCAGAATCATAAACTGCACAAAGTATGGTACGTCGAAAAGTAGGTAGAGAGCCTACTGAGAGAAGCCCTTGTGAACTCTCCATCGGGTTGTGTGGAGCACGCCGAACGATTATGTCCACCACCACGTAGGGACTGTATCTCCTTCAAGAGGACCTTCACTTGCGTCTCTGCAGCAACCAAACTAAGCAGTAGAGACTAACCCCGATGACTCCACTACCAGCATCGGCCAGCTCCCTCTTGAGAGCCTCATTCTGGGATTTGAAGTCCGTCGATCTCTTAGCGACTGATGACTTCTTGTTCGACAAGGAGCTCGCCTGTCGTGTGGCCTGACAGTGGGAACAGCATGGCCAAGGATTCTGCCCTTGTGCGACTCACTCGATCGATCTGACTCTCGAAGGCCTTCTTCTGCTGCTCGAGTTCCTTCTGCCTATCTTCGAGCATTTTCTCGTACTATAAATAAGGAGACAGAATGGCGGGGACGGTCCAGCCGCCGCCGACTACCTTCGCTATACAATTCTCCTTCTCCTGCTTCACTTTCGACAGACGCGCCTACCACAATTCATCCACATCACGGTGTTGGCAGCAGCTCTCACCTTAAGGGACCTCTTTGCAACCTCTCCTTCCCTCTCCACTGCCCGAAGCTGCCGCATCAAGTCAGTCATCGCACCTCGATGGTCCTCGGCCTCTTTCTTATTCTGAACCACGCCTCCCCCAATTCCCAGTCCAGTCATGGTTACCTCTACATCATACGCACCCTTCACTTCCTCGATACGCTCCTCTGATGGCTGCTGAGCGAGTACTTCTAATAGAGGTTTTATCATGGCCAGTCTGAGACCAAAAATCATCCGTAGTTCTCCTGCTCCTCGAATTGTCTTACTTCTTCGCGAAAGATCCTCGAAGTGCCTTGTCCATGCAGTGCTGGATCCCGGCTGTCCTGTGGAAGCATGCCAGTGACGTTAGCACCGCTGAGGAGGGCATCTCAGTTGAAGATCGCCGAGCCTTCCCTACATTCAGCGAGGCAAGTGCGACTATCCATAGCTGCATTTCCGGGCGCCATATAGTGGAAGAGGCAACTTTACTGACGAGCAACCATGCCATTCGAATGATGATGCAGGCTTAATCAGCGCGCGCCCAGGAGGCTCGAAACGGTCACCAATCTCTCTCTGTTGCGGATCCATCAATCAACACCACACGGAAGAGGGGATGAACACAACAGCTGCAAGGCGTTACATTCTTGACAGGCTCCGAGGTTGAACCCAACGTTGATAACCCGTCGAGTTGTAACTCTGTCCTCATCAGCCGTCAGTTGAGCGTTCCTCCTCTGCCTCGATACTCGCTCGAGACACTTCGTAGACTTGCGGGTGGTTCGGATCCTCAGTCGTCTCAACTATTCTGATCAATGCTTGTAGTACATCACAATAACGGCGAACTGAACAGCTCATGCAACAGGCCAGCACTCAACGATCCCTCTCATCTGCCCAGAACGTGCGACCAGGAATCGAACCCGGGACCTTTCGCTTACGCTCTTGCTTGCGACTTCTCACACATCATTTCCCACCGTGGAAATCCCACTGCTCGCACCACTTTCATCCAGCCATAGCTCCCCAACCTGACAACCGTCCACCCCCTAGTCTTGGACAAGTCGTTATCTCACTATACCTGAGATCAGCATGCCCTTCCCATCAACGCGATGAGCCTTTCTACTTCCCTGCTCCACTGTAACACGGACGTCAGCGGCCGACACTAAAAACGGTTCGAAAAAACTTTACGCTGTAGTACACGAACAAGTCTCCATCAAGAAAATGAACTCAACAACCATAATAAAGTCGAAACCCATGTGTTCCCGCCAAGCGTGCATTAGTTGATTATAATTTGACCATCTCTATCTTCACTCGACTAGCAGGGCAGGAATCCTCTTCCTTGTGTGAAGAAGGCGAGATGAACATGCTGGCCATCGAACCCGTGCCCGTATCTCTGAGAGGAGCTCAAGGAGGCGCTCATCCCGCCCCGATGGTCACCTGGTGAACACCCCGCAGTTCACGAAGTATCGTCCTCCTGCCTCCCTACCGAAGGGCTGCAACACCGATGAGAAAATCTTACATAATTCAGCATAACAACACGCATCGCTTCGCCTAATGAGCCCACCACTATATCAGTTTCATCTGGCATTCTCAGGCCTCCAGCTCTAAGCCTGTTAGGGTCCACGGGTAGAGCTGAGGGGCTCAGCGGGAACAGCGATCGATGGGAGACGAACTGCGGGACGATAACGAGCAATGGGAGGAAGCATGCTGTACCTGCTCCAAGGCCAGGTCAACCTTGGTCTTCCCCTCGGGGCTCTTCGTGAGTATCTCTGCAGTGAAGGACCTCAGAGGATCTGATTAATCGATCGATCCTCCTCAGAGACCCAATCGTCCTACCAGTGGAGCTGACGTACAGCATCATATCGTTGATGCGTATCGAGCAAGGATTTCCTCCCAGCCGCACCTACCACAACCAAAGGCCACCTCTTCTCGAGACGAGCTCTCTACGTGTCTCAACGGCTCCAGGTGCTTGGCAAGGGTAGCCCAGGGTTCATAGGCCTTCAAGGCCATCAACCTGTCATGGGAGTCGACAGTGATCATAGGAAGCTGAACGCTCACGTCGGCTGCGGTAAAGGGTAGGGGAAACAGCACTCGTTAAGCGATGGTAGGAGCACTAGCTGAGGGAGGGGAAGGAGGATGAGAAGGCGAAGACGAGTAATGCAGCGCTTAATAGAACTCTAGAAGTACGTGATGAAATAGTCGCTATGGAAAGCCAACACACTAACCACCAGCATATACAACCAACATATCCTTCCATACATGTGTCCGCGTCTCTCTGCATGTGAGCGCCAACTTCATCAACCTCGGTAAGATCTCTTTATTAAACGTATCTTCGAAGCTCATCGGCGTCTCAACCTAACACTGCACCATCACACTACTCCCCCCAGTCGCCCGCCACCTCCTCAGCTACAGTCGCCTCCATATAATCAACATCCATGTAAGGCCCCATGAGGATGAGCACTCCCGGCTTGATATCCGATACGTATCTACAGTGTCGTTGAGGCAGTTCCTCTGAGCCCTTCATACTGAGTAATGACATCCAGTCTTTGGCCGCCCATAACCTTCCCCTTCAACGATTGAAATGGACCGCTGGCGGAAAGAACATGTATTGGAGCACCATCAGCATGAGCCACTTCGAGGGAGATTGCGGGCCTAACATACTCAACTACCCCAACCTGTGGCAAGTGACCATCCCTACTCCTCCCCAGAAGTCTTCCTACTCCACTGGAGACCAGCCCCAGTGACCATCGCCTCAGCCAGCAGCTCACCACCACAGCTGTTGGGACTAGTCCGACCGATAACTCCAACAACACAGCCGGGGAACACTGAGCTCCTCCTCATACAAGAATAACAGCACCTCCTACCAGTGTAGCTGTCCAAGGCCTGTACGTTCAGAATAAGCCTCTTGCCTCTACCACTCGCTCCCGGTCCACCTGGCCAGAAAGAAATCTCGCGAATACGCACACACACCAGGAAGAACACCAGTGAAGATAGGCTCCAGTAGTAAACTGTGGGCGTTGAGGTTCAATGGCTCGGGCACTGGTTGGAGGTTTTCATCAGCTTCACAACACACTCGGCCCACCATCAACACAGCCTGGCTATACCTAGGCCTCAAAGGTCATCCGGGAGTACTGCAGGGGACCTACTGGGTGCCAAAGACCCCCATTTCGAGGTCCTCTCCTTCCTCCTCGTCAGGGTGCATTGACCGGTACAGCTTATTAGCCTACAGCAGAACGATGGTCTCGGCGTCTTTTCGTACAGTCTACGTTGGCGACGATTTCAGTGTATAATCGAGCACAACGCGAGGCCTCTCCTTCCCTTCGACTCTCCACTGAGTTGTCCATCCATCTATACCTGTAACTGAGTATACCTCTGATGAGCCAACGACAGATCCCCACCCTTTGAATGCTTCCTCATCGAATCGGCTATGACTAACACGGCTCGCCATACTCCTACAACACAACACTGCGAACTGAGTCGTCGTTCCATTTACTCAACCAAACACCTCGACTCCGTAGAAACGCCTCACAATACTACAAAGCAGCAGTGACCATAGGTTTACTCAGTCATTACCATCAGCGGAGCCTTCTACCATGATCCGCATAAGAGTATTATACACACGCAAAACCTCAGTGAACGTTGGTGCCCTAAAACTCAATGGCACCTTAGCAACCCTAGTGTCCTTATACCCAGCTTTCAACGGGCCCACAAAGATGGAGTTTTGGTCCTGCCGTGGGGACCCGACAAACACCAGCGCCTTGGGGCTACCCAAGTACTCCCTCCACCGTTCAGATACCACCTCCGACACATCTTGTCGGATCTTGGCGTCCTGCGTTCGCCTCATGAATGCCCCCATCGACTTGGCCTGCTCGAAGTTCCGCTGAGCTCCGCCCTGTTTCCGTCGGACCGTGTACTTCTTAAACGTAGTGTGTTCCACTATCTTGCCATCTTCATCCCACACACACCCAGCAAACCGTCCACTTCGGAAAAGCAGTACAACTACAAACTCAAGGCCGCCCCAGACCTCCGGATCGATCGTCGAGGCGAGCGCTATTCGCGGAGAAGACTCAAGGATCTTCCATGGGTAGTTATCCATAATGAAGCCCTTACTCGGCAACTGGGTGGAGCCTTCATCACTCTCACTCCCCGACTCATCCACCTCCGAGGATTCTTCCGCCGAGTCGCACTCCAAAGATGCCTCCAACCACTCCTCGTAGCCCCGAGGCTGGTCACCAGTCTGAGCCCGCTTTACATTGTCTACATGCCACTCGCTTTTACAGTGCTGCCTCAGGGCCGCTGAGTCCGTATAGGTGTACTCTGGGCACTTCGAGCACTGGCGTCGATACGTACCTCCTGTGAAGTCGATCCTGCTCTTATGAGGGCGGGAGACTGCGGTCCGCTCGGGCATCACTCGCTGGCCTCGACAGTAGGACCGCCGATACGGTGTCGTCTCCGCTGGTGAGAGGATCTTCCAACCTGTGGGGACTGCAGTAGACCACATAGCTGTACAAAACAAGCACTGTGGATCGACCAATGCATATCGATACCCGAGGATCCAAGCCACTGGCACATAGTCACCTCCAGTGTGGAAAGATATGCACATGATCAACTACATGTGTTGGCGATAATATGAAAATCCTGAAAAATTTTCGGAAATCCCGAGTCGTGCGTGAACTCCCAAAATTAGTGAGGAAACTCCTCAACTCAGCTGAGGAAAACAAACATATACACCAACACTGGTGGCTCCACCAACACTCAACACTGCGACCTTCCCAATCGTTCGGCAAGAAAAAGTTCACAATAATACAACCAGCATATTAAATACAGCTCAATGCACCGTGCAGTAGTACTCGACACTCCTCGCCGCCCTCTGCCGCACACATCTCCTTCACCACCGGGTCCTTGGCCATAGCAAATGCCAGCGACCGGGGATCTCTCGAGGCCACGCACATAGCGAGGATATGACGGGACCAGCCCAGGGAGAGGAGGAGGGAGAAAAGCCGTCGAGACACAGTCAGACCCGCATCATCCACAGGGGACCTGACAAGAACCTGAGAGCAATCACTTTGGAGCAGCCCCCTACTACCCTTCATCTAACACAGCATCATCACCGCTATCCTCTGCTAAGCATACTATACCAACATCATTACCAGGCGCCTCCTCCGGGGGTCTATCACACAGCATCAATCTCCGCAGGGACTGGACCACTGTGTCGAAGCTGATCATTTCTGGCTCAGTAACGCCGTCCAAGAACTCCCTCACAGTACCGTCAATACCCAAGCAACTGAGGAGCTCCACCCAATTGCAATCCTTCACCAATTTCACACAGTGTTCTCTAATACACTCCACTACTTCAACCGGATGACCAGACCCCATTGCTGAGTAGAAGCGAACACACTGCTCGGCCAGAGCCTTATCACCGCTATCCAGAGCCGCCTTGAGGAGCGGCAAGGCATAATCCCTTCGTGCTGTATCAGGCCCAGCAGAGTACTGTACCAACAGTAGCAATGCCGCAGCCTGGTAGAGCCGCCCCTCCTTAAGACCACTATTGAAGAGATCAGGAGCCACCTTAGCTGAGCCCCCTTCATCCATCAATCCCAACACGTGCCGGAAGCTCACGTGTGGCTCGGTCTTCCGCAGAGCCGCGACGAGGTAGCCCACAGCTGACGGACCGAAATGGCCGACCAGGTCCAGTACGTTGGTGAGTGTACGCAAACGCATGGCCACCGCGGGATGGTGCTTCACCACAGAGAGGTTATCAACACCCAATTTGTCCATCCTTACAAAGATAGGAACACAGGCATCGATCGCCTCATGCAGTAGCAGTTCAAAAACAACCCTAAACTCCTTCGCTGAGTACACCATAGAAGAAAGGCAATATGCTGCTCTCAGCAGACGTGTGCCGGGAGCACTACAGAGACGATATAGTAGTGTATGATACAGTGGTGCAGTGACCAGCCGCCAGGACTGCTTTGGTAGTACTACTCTAAAAGAGGCCTGACCGGGGCATACAGAGAGAACAGCTGCACTAGGGGACTCTATAGGGACCCGGGTGGCGAAGAAAGAGCCATTGATCCACAGGGAGAGGCCAGCCTGGTCTTCTATCCATATCTGGGCTGCATCCAGCACAGAGGACAGACTAGAGACAGCTTCCGTGTCGGTATCATAGGAGCAGTCGAACGGTCCACCATACACACATCTCTACAGAATGGGCACTTGGACTGACTGGTCGACCCCTCGGCACTTCTATCAGTATACTTAACACTATGGGAAGGAGTGAATAGCTCAGCCACCATGCCGGGGTCCTCATTGCTGGTGGTAGGCAGGTCGAAACGAGGGGACCCATCATTCTCGACTTGACGGCTGGCAATAGGCAGTGATAAGGAGGGTGAGGGGAGGGGATGGACAGTGCGGTAATTGGTGACAATCAATGATCGACCTGCTTCCGATACCTGGTCTGATACTGACTGCTGACCAACATCTGAAAAACGGGAAAACGACTGAGACCTTCCATTCAACTCACAAAAGCTACTACACTCACCACAACGTTTTACGATAATTCTATCAGAAATACTCAACCGCAATTCCTCATTCACCAGAGTAGAATATTACCGATTCTGCCACCCTGTCTGCTCTCCCCTATAGAGGAAGCTGCTTGTTGCATCATAAAGGCCCCACCCCTGTACGTGAGAGGGGATATCGAACTCGATGCGTCCTCCTCCGAGCCACCCGTCTCCGTTGATGAGCTCTTGGCCATCTCCAAATAGGCTTTGCCGCTTCGCTCCGTCGACTCGAAAACGAAAATTGAGCGGACACCTCCACACACTCGAAGGAATTTCATCGAGCCACTGTCCTGTTCTCTGAAGAGCTCTCCACTCCTCAGCAAAGCCAACAGGACCATCCCTCCACTCTCGTCGTGGAAAAGCTCAATTCGCCTCAAAGGGCTCGGTAGTGCGTCAAAACGCACACTCCTTCCTACCGTAAAGTCCCCAACTCCATTAAAAACATACGTAGTGGCCTCATGAGACGTAGCCATAACCACCTGGTTGTCCTCACATCTAGCTAGGGACCGTACCTCATCAGCGTCTCGGACCTCCACACTGGCCAACTTAGCCGTATAGTAGTCCAGTCTCGCTCCCATATCCCATACCATCAATCGGCCAACACTATTGAATGTAACACTATACTCCCCTAGGCTGCATGCTGCTCTTACTCTACCCACTAGACGCTCATGGGCTACATCACCGAAGAGCCTCCACTTGTCTCTCAATATGCTATACACAGCAAAGCCCAGTTCCCCACAGACCAACACCCAGTGACCGAGCCGGCCAGCAAACACCCTAGGGGGCCAGTTCGTGTGCATATACATATGAGGGTAAGACACCGCCTTCCAAGAGGTAGCTCTAGGCAGGAGCATTCTATCGTGGGAAACCAGCAAGGGGAGGGAGGGGGAACTGGCCTCATTTTCATCACCAGTGATGAAGGATGGATGCTCGAGTATTGCTGGAAACTTCACAACATCAGGTTCATCAGAAGATACCACGCAAGTCCAGAAGTTTGTCGCACTACCCACAGCGAACTTGACAGGACCGCAAGCATTGGTAGTAAAGCACCCCAGCCTGGCCCCATGACTGGAGACAGCCCCCAGCCCCGCTCCTGTGCTCACCAACAACACACGGTCACTAGCCCACGACAGGCCATCTACAGGTAGCAGTGGGGGTAACTCCTCAGCTGTCGATAAAAGACTCGAGGCTGGCACTCGACATGAATGAACAAGCTCTATGGCGTTTCGCGGATCCCTCACAGTGTACAGATCAATGATCCCACCATCTAAGGCGATCGCGAGGCAATCCACCGACAAGGCGAGGCAGCTACACTGTTTTGATATAGAGAGCACCCGACCTATCCCTCCTCCACTATCGTCATCAGCTCTATCCCTCAATAGCCACACCTCAGCAATGCCCTCTACCTCCAAGCTCACAGCCAACAGGCCACTAGGCCCTCCCGCACCACATTTGGCCACTACTCGGGGGCCTCTACACGACGAAGGGGGAGTCGTCATGAAGGCCTCAGCTGCCTGGCTTAAGGACCGGTATTCGTCGTAAACCAGAGTACCACTCGCCGTCCGCTTTAACGTTGATAAGTCAACTTTGGGCGCTCGCTGTCTATAATGATTCGTGTCCAATAATAGCAGCATCGAGCTGGAGGTAGCCTCAGCTGGATATGCCATTATAAACAGTCTATGGTTGGCTCCTGGTATCAACGAGAATTTATCCGTCGGTACGCTCAAAGTACACTCGAGCTCTACAGTGCAGTGAAGGTGTCGGAGTTGGTGAGACCTGATGGTTACTACTCCCATGCCAACTGACCCTCAGTTCCAATCCAAAGTCACCTCACATGCCGCTTAGTCCCTCCTTCATCATCATAGTCCGTATCAGCTTCATCATTATCATAGTCACCGCGTTTAGAGTCGGCCTCATCACCGAACTTCACATGGAAGACTGCCACTAGATGGGGAGTTGATAGCTGTAGGAAGACCCTGGTAGAGTCCCCCGACCAAGCATGCAATCTGATAGACACATGCATCCACTGCGACTGGACCTACTACGACTACTATTACGACTACCCAGTGAATGTCATCGATCTCTCATCAGTAGAGTCCAACTCCGAGCCCGATCGTCGAGGGTTGGCCGCCCTGAGTGTCGTCCCCAGCATCGAAGCTGCATTCCTCAAACGGTACATGGGAGCCTGTTGTTGCTGATAGCCTGCTGCATAAAACTGTGTCTGAATGACCGAAAAATTACACCAAAACTTTCCCTCTTTCTATCCTGAGCCTACCTCTCGCCCTCCAAGTGTCACCACTGATAGTACTCGCCCATTGGGGGCCACTTGCATGCCCAACACCACAGCAGAGCCGCCCGGGCGATATTTGCTCAATCCGCTCGATGGGTTAAAGCCGAACATTGAGATATCCGGACGAGAAGTCCCTTGAGAATGAGGAAAACCATCCTGCGACAACTTATTCTCTATCAGAGTAGTTATACGTAGTCTACGTGTGGATGATTTCTCTCACGAATTTACACAATGCATATCGCGTTAAAATTTTCTCCATTCAACTTGAATAAAATTGATTTTTATCGGTAATTTATTGGATAATCGCTAGCAGTATAATAACATGATAACAGAACGGAGCATCAAGGGAGTTTCTTGTTCCACATCGCTCCGCATGCGAGCAAACCGTTGCAATACGCCTTTTAATGCGAGAAGACAGGTTAAGTAGTGCGTGCGTCCTCTTTCACGGTGAAATCAGGTGAGATTGGACTAGGGAATGAAGACCAAGTGATACTCGCATACTCACGAGCCGCACAACAAGTGCGAGTGAGCGGCATCAAACAGAAGTCCTGCAGTGTGCTCTCCAAACTCTGGAGGCGCTCAATCCAATCTTGACTGTCCGGCAGTTAGACGACGACGCGGCGCTTACCGTACGGCTCATGCGCCACAAATTGTAGCGCGCGCCCATGGGACACAATGCAAACATCGCGCGAGCATCACGTCGTGAGGATCTGACTTGAATCACTCGATCATCTCAGAATCTCCGGCTCGGATAGCCTCTGCCAGGGACTCCGAGCCGTATGCATGATGTACTACGCAGTGTACGTCGTATACTATGTAATATAATCTATGTTGTATGGTATATGGCATGCCATGCCGCGTAGTCTTTTCAACATGGATCAGTCAAAATTGTGAAAAAAATTGCTAAGCGATAACGGTGAGAAATTGGGCGAGGGTATATTTTCGTAGTGAGTGGTCACATGCTTCTGATCGGCAGGGGTTTCAGGTCTCCGCTATCCGGGATTGCGGGGACCTGGCTTGCCTGGCAGTGACATGCGGGGAAATTTCTCCCGGTTCGGCAAAGAAACGGAAAAGGGGACGTGATGCGGGAAAATCAATTTTGACGCGGCCCGGGGCGCTAACGGCCCGATAAAACGTGCTCATCCTCCCATTACGAGCTTTGCCTACGTTCGGACCGTTTTGTGCCCGCGTTTGGACCGACAAGCCGTCATAAACGGAACACAGGACGATGGGGTGATTTTGCTGGGAAGGTTTTTTTGTGAGCCCACAGGGGGCCTTTATTTGTGTTACAAGAAGTGACCAATCCTATACGTGTAAGTTTAGTTCTGAGTTCCGCAGTATACAAGTCAGTTTATCGAGGAGCTTTTGCAGTGACTATCGAAACTCGTTTCTAGTGGACTTATTTATAATATCGGGGCAGAGCTGTTCGTCAATGGCTATGGTTCGGGAACTTTGGGAGGTCACAGACTCGAATCGATATCGTGAGAATTCTAAAATGACTCGTTCGTATACACTATCGATACTATGCATAGTAATATTAATACATGTTGACCTATAATGATCGAGGTGTGGTAATAATAATATCATCGCCATGATACCAGAGTTGCCCAATGTAGTAGCTGAACCACTGTATTTCCATCTTGATGAGTATTCCAGCAGGTCGTCATCATGTAGTACGGTCTATGATACTCCTATTCTGTAGTTGTATTATTGACTATCACGTTTCTCACACTGAGTATACCTGTAGGTCATCATCATCAAGTGAGGTCTAATTCTCTTTAGTTGTACTCTAATGAGTCCCGAGCTTTTCACTCATCCCCTCCGAACGTGGAACCTCCGCGAACCGGTTCGGTATCGTCCAATGGACGACGTCCATCGGGGGTGCATGCAACGAAGATGCACAAGGCTAAGATAGTGGATACCTCTAGTCAACGTGGGATCAGGGGGTAGCTGTGGCATATGTGCCCCACACACTGGAGAATAGGCACGGCTCAGGGTGGCATAGCCGCTCCACGCAGGAAAATAGGCATATTTCAGAATGGCATAGCCGCTCGCCCCACACAGGAAAATAGCCATATTTAGAACTGCATACCCGTCCCACAGAAGAAAATTCGCTTACCTCATAGTGGCATAGCCGCCCCACACAGGAAAATAGCCATATTTAGAACTGCATACCCGTCCCACAGAAGAAAATTCGCTTACCTCAGAGTGGCATAGCCGCCCTACACAGGGAAATAGTCATATTTACAATAGCATACCCGCCCCACAGAAGAAAATTCGCTTACCTCAGAGTGGCATAGCCGCCCCACATAGGAAAATAGCCATATTTGCAATGGCATACCCGCCCCACAGAAGAAAATTTGCATACCTCAAAGTGGCATAGCCGCCCTACACAGGAAAATAGCCATATTTACAATGGCATACCCGCCCCACAGAAGAAAATTTGCATACCTCAGAGTGGCATAGCCGCCCCACACAGGGAAATAGCCATATTTACAATGGCATACCCGCCCCACAGAAGAAAATTTGCATACCTCAGAGTGGCATAGCCGCCCTACACAGGGAAATAGCCATATTTACAATGGCATACCCGCCCCACAGAAGAAAATTTGCATATTTCAGAGTGGCATAGCCGCCCTACACAGGGAAATAGCCATATTTACAATGGCATACCCGCCCCACAGAAGAAAATTTGCATACCTCAGAGTGGCATAGCCGCCCCACACAGGAAAATAGCCAGGAGCACATGAGCTGCCGCTTGAAGCAGAAGTTCTTGAGAGACTCGCGGACCTTCACTAACGATCCTGGCTAGAGCTGAGCTCGGCCTCATCGTTGTAGTTTGCGGGTTGAAATTTTCTTTCGGAAAATCTGTGGTTGTTATAGTAGACGGAAGTGCATACCATATGGAATTACCTACCAAACCAAGCGACCTCCGGACGCAATATTTGGTCAGTAACGATAAGCACCGGATGGACCTCCAGTATAAGGCCCTTTGCAATAGCATGATTCTTCCCACCATTCACAGCTTCTTCAAAGGTGCATATTTCCCTTTGCCTGTCACACTCAAGAACCGTCTTTAACTCGGCATTTGATATATACAACCTCGGTCGGCGCACCTCGCAATTCGATTGCTCTATCGTTTTGTTTCGAACTGGTGCTCGCCCTAGAGAGGAGATATGGCCGCAGGAAGCTCATGGTAATGAATTATTCCTCTCTTACCAAAGACTACCGCAAGCTGATCATGCGTCTGGAAAGTCCCTCGCGGCCTCTTCAAACCAAAATGAGTTTTTTATAATTTTATATCGACTGTTTTCAATTTATTATCCTAAATTTTAATAAAATAGCTGGTCTTTTTGAAAACATACCGGCTTCAATTAACGACGTTAATTTTGGCTACACGAGCGATTGCAACGTAGTTGCACGTCGCCTACTCCGCGCAAAATACCACGCGTCCTACGCGTCTATATGCATGTGTGCGAGTCGCAAATTGTTTCTCGTACTGCACCAAGATAAGACTGATGTGGATCATTAAAATAGAGACTGTATCATCTGAGAATACCGGGAGGAGGCGTCAGAGGCTAACGAGTTCACGTAAGATGATAGTGTATTACACTCGCGTTGGGTAAATAGTGAAGTTTCACCCGTGATATGGAAAACATAGTTCACAGAACACTGCATGTCGCGAATATCGGGTTTTTCACACAGTATCACACCACTTCGCGTAAAACGGGTGAAACTCCGATAATATAGCTATTGGTGTGGAGAAATATGCACAAGGTCAGCTACATGTGTTGGTATCAATATGAAAGCTCTGAGAAACTTTGCGGAATTCCTGTTGTATTTCGTATATCGTGTGACACACGAGAATATGAGCATTCCATCCTTTGTAACTGAGTTGAATTCTGGAAGTCAAATCTTCAAAATATTTGAAGTCTCGACTCAACCGTTTCCTTTCAGACCGCCACTCTCGACGCTTTATTCGGACGAGGGTCATCACCAGTATGGGAGAAGAATACTCACATGGTCAACTACATGTGTAGGTGAATAAATGATAATTCTGAGGAGATTTTTGGGAAATTCCTGGGCACTTCTACCCTGATTTGTATATAATGATTCGTAAGCAAAATTCAGAGCTCCACTGAGGAAAGCGATCATATATTCCTTCAACACCGGTCATCTATATAAGCAAACAAAGAACTAGATGTTGAGCTCGGAAAATTGGGAGGGTGTGTTTATATATGGGAACTAATTCGGAGAGTGTTCGAACTCTGAAAGATACAAATGATGATTTATCAGCGAGAGACAGCATGGTAGGCTAGTCATTATCGCAAAGCCTGTCACCGCTATGCTCGCAGTCGCTGAACTAGCGCCGAGTCGCTTCACATTGATTACCAACTATTTCGAATATGTAACATATGTTCAAAAAATTATATACAATTATACGGTCTGTGAACATTCGGGTAGTAACATGCCGTATGTTAGTAGTAACTTTACCTTTTTTTGAAAATGTTATCGCTGTTCGTACGTACCCTTTGGGCAACTCTCTGCATCTTAAGTGTTTCTGCCTTGCCTGTGGACCTGTCTAAGATCTCAAACGACACTGAGGTGAGTTTTCTTCGGGATCTTTTTATTTTGAAGTTTCCTTCTTTTCAGGTTAAAAAAATCCGAAGTGCTGCGGGAATGGTGACGATAGACGCTGAGTTCAACTCTTCTATGTTCTACTGGTGAGTTTTATCATATAGATATCAATACTATATATGCATAGATCTCTAACTTGTTTTATATAATGGAGTTTTACTCATTTTATATGAAGTGGTCTAATACTCTGTGAAAAACGCGATATAGTACAGTCGTGAAATATATTCTTCACTAGTGTTTTTCATATCACGATGAGTCGTGAAATATATTCTTCACTAGTGTTTTCCATATCACGATGAAAGTCCAAAATAGACATAAAAGTACATTTACGGTCTCCATAGATTGTGAGTCATTAATATATATTAAATTACCTTATCTTGAGATATAATAATATCTTATTCTACTTGGTTTTTCAAATACAAAAACTCCTGAAATTTTCCAAAAAAATGAATATTTTTCCCAAAGAAATCAGCTTAATTTTTCGAGGTACTTCCCTCCAGTAAACGAGTCTCTTGAGACCAATGAGGACACGCCTATGATCATGTGGATTCAGGGTGGCCCAGGAGCTTCTGGTTTCATAGGAAACTTCTTTGAAGTCGGCCCTCTCGATCTGATCAACAACACAACTTTGGTAAGCCGCCTACTAATCTTCTCGACTACTATTAATCATCGCGACTACTATCAATCTCAACTTCGATGGTATTTCTTCAGGCCAGGAGGAATGTCACTTGGGCTAACAACTACCATATGGTATTCGTCGACAGTCCGGTTGGAACTGGATATAGCTATACGGATTCTGCTAATGGTTATGCTAATAGCACTGAAGATGATGTTAACAAGCAACTCTACACATTTCTCACTAAATTCTACGACGACATTGAACCCGAGTTGAGAGCCAATCCCCTGTAAGCTTGTATATAGGACGTTCTATTATGAGTGTCTCTCGCAGATTCCTCGTTGGTGAGTCCTATGCTGGTCATTACATTCCGGCCTTGGGCAAGTATCTCTTTGAGCATCCGATCGAGGGAACCAATTTTGCCGGTGCGGCTATCGGCGATGGACTAACCTTCCCTGGTAAGTATACCGTTGTTTGTGGTGTTGAAAAATTCCACTTTCGAGTGTGATAGGAACACAGGAATTGAATCTATGAACTGTAGCTCGAATTCCTGTGATTGAACCACAGAAACTAGTCTCGAGAGTGTCGAGTCGAGACTAGACATAGCCAATGACTATGTGGTCTCGCATTGACATAGGCATTGACCCCGTGATAATATATTTTTAGAAATCTTTCAAGGTCTGTTTCAGAGGTTTTCACTAGTTTGATGTGATTCGCAATATCTGTTATCGAAGTAATGCGGCTCCAAAATTAAGTTTCTCCTTCATTTCTGTCAATCGATTCTCTGATTATCTCAGCTTTCCAAGTCGCCGCTAAACCAGATGTTGCCTACTACTTTGGTCTCATTGGTCCCGACAGAATTGAAGAGGCTCGTCGCTTAGGGCAAGAAGGCAAACGACTTGCTCTCCAAGAGAAGTGAGCACCTGACTCTGTTTCGCTCACCACGATGCTCGATCAGGTGGGTGGAAGCTTCTCATGCTCGAGATCAGCTAGAGAATCTCATGTCCGAGATGAGTGGTGGATTGAATCTCTATGATATTCGGTGAGTGTTGGTAATCACTCTCGAGACGCGACAATTTTTCTGTCCTTCAGTACGACTGATGACTATGGCTGGCAAGATGAGCGTCTTGACTATTTCCTCAACCTCCCTGAAGTCAAGGAAGCTCTGCATGTGCCAGCTTCTAGATCGTTCGGGTAGGAATGGTGCGGAGGTTCGATTCTCCCATGTGTCGTTTTCAAGGACGGAAGATGCTGTTGGTGAGCACATGAGCGCTGATATCATGAAGCCTATGGTTCACTGTCTTCCCCCTCTTCTCAATGCTAACATAACGGTTATGCTCTTCGAGGGAGAGATGGATTCTAAAGATGGCCTGTTATCGTAAGTGCGATAGTCACAGTTGTAGAGAACATGTATATCAGGACGGAAGCCTGGATTCCTGAGATGATTTGGGACGGGATGGATGAGTATGCTATGAGCCCTCGTCATGTGTGGAAGGGAACTGATGTGAGTTTATTATTAATATATTAATAGATAATATGACACTACTTCATATCTAATATCATTGAAGTTTCAATTGATATGAAAAACACTAGTGAAAAATATACTTCACCACTAGTGCATAACGCCAATATCGGGTCTTTCACGGAGTTCTACGCCACTTCACGTAGAACGGGTGAAATTCTGTTATTATCTGTTGGGATGAAATACACAGTATATGTTTATACCTTGATATTGCTTCATATGAATGTGTATGAGAGTTTCATATCATTAACATATAAATTTATTTTGAATTTTTATTATTGAATTAATAATATCTATTAGTGAACTACTTATAATATTAATAGGTCATCATGTTTGATATATCAAGCTCGCTGCCATTGGTTGAATAAATCCTTCATTGAATTCAGGCTAGCAATCTCGAAGAGGCTGTCTACGGTTATGAACGTCATGGTGGATCATTCAGCCATTACTCTGTCCGGTAAGATACTGTAGATGCCACTTCAGGTTCTCAGCATACGCTTGTGCTCAGGAATGCTGGCCATATGGTGCCAATGAATCAACCGGAAGCTGCGATGAACTTGATCGACCGTTTTATTAGTGGCGCTGTGGAATCACTTCATACTACGAAAAATGCTGACAATACCGAAGGTAAACTGTGAGTTGTTTGCGTTTCAATCTTGAGTGTGGTTTTCCACTGTGGTTTTATTCTGCATGAGCTCGTATTCTCAGTTGCTGCGGTGAGCGCGGGCCGTCTGGCCATTCTAATATGAGATGTTTTGAGTGCATTTACTACGACTTGGAAGCCGTGGTCCTCTTCCGAAGAACTTATTCTTACGGTTATCGTACTCGAGAGCTTTAACAACCGAAGTTTAGTGGTTTCCTTGCTTGCAATATCCTCGGTGTTTCGTTGCTGTTCGAGAAGCTAGTGTTAATTGCGATTTCATTTGTTCGCAGATGATCGTCGGGGAGTGCACTCGGCTCGGTTACCTGAGCATATTGGTGAAGCCCACGATTACATTGGCAGTGGGTAGATAGCAGATCTGATCGAAATCAATGCATTCGTATTACTTCAATCCAGAATTATCTACTCATTATTATTATTTTATAGATTGTCCATCTTTGTTCTTGCGATCGACTAGATGGGCGATACCTGTATGATTCATTCGTTATCAGTTTTGTATGAGTTGTGTCTCTAATACACGTTCTCTATTGAAAATATCTGTCGAGTTCAATTCTAGATTCTACAGCTGCTTATTCTCTTATAGTCCCAAGTGACGATTGACTAGACGCTGATATGTGACTCTGAGTTCTACAGCTCTTGCTTATATACTTAGACCCAAGTGATGACCGACTAGGCTCTGATATGTGACTGAGAATAGCTCCCCATCTATGTAGGTGTCATTCTATAATAGAATTCGTCATCAACCATGCTCAGAGGTATCTGTTAGTGTGAGGATTCATAAAGGCCAGTTGGACTGTATCTTCTAAAGGCCTATTCCAATCTTCTCTGATGGGGCAGCTATGCCACGCCAAGATATGGCTTAGTACCGCTATTACTTTTGTCTCGGATTGGGCAGCTATGCCACGCCAAGATATGGCTTAGTACCGCTATTACTTTTTTCTCGGATGGGGCAGCTATGCCACGCCAAGATATGGCCTAGTACTGCTATTACTTTTTTCTCGGATTGGGCAGCTATGCCACGCCAAGATATGGCTTAGTACCGCTATTACTTTTTTCTCGGATGGGGCAGCTATGCCACGCCAAGATATGGCCTAGTACTGCTATTACTTTTTTCTCGGATGGGGCAGCTATGCCACGCCAAGATATGGCTTAGTACCGCTATTACTTTTTTCTCGGATGGGGCAGCTATGCCACGCCAAGATATGGCTTAGTACCGCTATTACTTTTTTCTCGGATGGGGCAGCTATGCCACGCCAAGATATGGCTTAGTACCGCTATTACTTTTGTTTTGGATGGGGCAGCTATGCCACGCCAAGATATGGCTTGGTACTGTTGATTTCTCTGATGGGACCACTATCCGAGAGGTGGATGGGAGGAGCCAAGTTGAGAGCCTCAACTACGATCAAGTTCGAATGGATGTTGACCCCGGTATGCGTGGTCTCTACTCTGGGCTTAGCGGGGAACATACTACGTCACTACTGCGGCTTTTTCCACTGCTGTATTCTTGAACTCTACTCGTTTGTAAGGTTTCGGTTTCGGGTTTCCCGGGAATAAGACCTTCGGGTTTCGGTTTGCCGGGAAAATACCTACGGGTTTTGGGTTCACCCGTGATGACAGGTATTTTCCCAAAGAATTTGTATAAGAGTTTACACTTGGGTAAGAGTTCGCACTTGTATACGAGTTCTTCGGGTTTTGGGTTTATCTGTGATGACAGATGTTTTTCCAAAAAATTTGTATAAGAATTTGCACTTGGGTAAGAGTTCGCACTTGTGAGTTCTTCGGGTTTTGGGTAAGAGCCTCCCCTTATCCCCCCTCCCCCCAGCGTTATCCTCCAGTCCTCCGAAACAGTTCGATAGTATCGAATCGATACCTCTAGGAGAAAGGCGCCGTATCAGGATGAAGCGCCGCTCAGGAATCCATTTGCCCCCTACAGAGTGGTTTCGGCGGTTGCAGACCAGTGCAGCCTTGTGACCAGCCTTACTTTCTCCCTACCCTTGCTTCATCGTCTAGCTTAGGCTCAAGGCCTTTCTCCGCTGCTACTTCATCAGGTCGCTCCGACTCGAAGGATTCTTGGTCCGGCTCCAGACGTCTGGGTTGTTTGCTTGATGTCAAATCTCCCAACCTGTCGGAACTGTCTCTGAAACGACGAGGTTTGCGAATTTCTATCCCATTGGCCGAATGCGTTCGCTGCTTATACACGAAAGGCATGGGATATCTGAAAACCCCTATGCCTACCCCTATGCCTATGTCACTGTGACTGAAAGGCCCACTTTGTCTTCGTTCTGAGGTATCTGCGTCAAAATCTGGGAAGAAATTTGGTTCCTGGAACCCGAATCTTCTGATTTGGACTCCCAAATCACAATATTTGGGTGTTATCCGAAGGCCTTACTCGCACGAAACCCAAAACCTGAGCTTCTCATGCGAGTGCAGATGCTTGACATGCCACCGATAAGCAAGTCCTGCGACAGCAATTCCCCTGAGGAAGCTCAAGTGCGTAAGATGATGTCCAAGTTAGGGTACTTATTTCCGGCGCGCGCTTTTTTCGAATTCTGCATGTAAACTGCAAGAACGCATGATTGCCGTGCTGATAGCAGTGCTGATCGACCGCCGAGCCCTTTTGTTTCAGCCCTTATTATCGTCATCATTGAGCCTTCTTTAAGTGGGCATGATCCACATAGTGGAGATCATCCTATGATCTACTCCTGCACCACTGGCTTCAGTCGGCACATGCGCTGGGCCGTAGTCTTCGTCACCCTTTTGGTAGTAGGTCGTAGCAGGGAGCCTGTCCCTGTACTCACTCATTGTAGGTCCTAGCTGATGGGCGGGTCCATGCTGGTCATGGTCCTATGCATGTGCTACCTCTGGTACCAGTTGGTACTACGGTGGACGAGACGCCCAGTAGGAATGTGCGTGGTCGCGTTGGTGCCGTCAAACCACACCATGCCAGCTCCTTTTTCGAATACCACACTCTCGTCACAAAGCATCAGATAGGTACTAGTGACAGTGGACTACGTGTATAGGGGCTATTATGATTGTTTCAGAACGTCTCCGGGACCACCATCGTGACCTCTTCGCGCAGTACTACAATCCGGATGGGGTATCGGACCTCGAGGAGGGCATGACCTTGGAGGGTGCTAAAGTGAAGAGGCACAGACATGGTCGGGCCTACCAGGTCAGCGCGAACGGTAGGGCATCTATTGGAAGGGTTAGAAAGGGAGTATTCTAGACAGGTGTCATACCGCTGACGAACCTCCGAGACTCCCAGTACGTGGGTCCGATAGGGGTGGGAACTGTCGACGACGGAGCGAAGCCCCAGGCCATGGTCAACGTGGTTTTCGATACTGGTATAGCTATTCCCCTGCAGTGGATTGTGTAATAGGCTTTCCTTAGGGTCGACCAATCTCTGGGTGCAGTCGGCGTTGTGCATCAGCGAGCCCTGTCGGAATCGACATAAGTTCAACATGTTCGAGAGTGGCTCATTTGAGAATACTACAGTGTAGGGAGAGCTGTGGGGCTCCTCAGTTCTATTGATCCTCCTTTAGGCCCAACCACCTGGATATCCAGTTTGGCACAGGAGAGCTCCGGGGTCCGGAAGGGGTCGACACTCTGTCGGTGGGGCCGTATCAGGTAGCCTATCACACAGTTGTGGTGACAGCGATGGGGTGACAGGTGAAAGACCAAACCTTCGCTATGATTGAGGAAGAGCTGGGAAAGATCTTCTATGAGATACCGTTCGAGGGTATACTCGGACTGGCCTTCCCGTCAATGGCTGCAGGTAGTAATGTAGGATCTCGCACACGGAAGGATATTTCGGGCATTGACTACTACATGGTGTGTTGATGAAGTATGACTATCGTCGAGGGCAATAGTACTTTGCAAAGGCGTTCGAATGCAGAGTTCTGTTCAGATGGTCATGTGCCTTTCTTCGATAACGTAATGCGGCAGAATGTCCTGGGGGGCCAGAACGAGTTTAGCTTCTACTTCGAGCCGATGCCTTCAACGCGTTCAGCGATTCTTTTTGGAGGAGTCGACTCGAGGTACTGAAAGTGTAGTCCTTCAGTACCGTCATTTTAATATAGGTTCTACAAGAACGACATCAAGATGTTCCCAGTTACACAGGAACACTACTGGTCGGTCGACTTGGATGACTTCCTCATCGGTGGGAGAGGCTGACCGTGGTGGTGGACTACTGCGTATCCTCTTTGGTTAGGCAACAAGTCGTTCGCAGCCTTGTCTAGTGGTACGCAGAGCTTCTTCGAGGACTTCATGAATGAAGTTGATGATGGATCGTCTAGGTGACAGTTGGATAGTAATGGTGTTTCGGACAGTACATGTCTTGGCTCAGTTTTCGCACGGAGAGGCACGGGTCTGATGAAGAGAAGAGGGTTAGGAAGTTGATTATTGATACAGGGACTACGTACTTCACGGCCCCTCCGGGCCTGGCTGAAAAGTAAAGGCATCACTCTCGGCGAGCTGAAGTCGTTGTTTTAGAATCCTCCGTCGCTTGCCGGGCGGAGCATGCAATCAGATTGCAGCCGACAAGGAGGCCTATCCCGATCTACACTATATGTTGCGGGATGAGAACAGTCAACCGTTCGACTTGGTGAAGACGATTGAGCTATGCGGTCGGCCATGTCCTGTTCCTGTAGGCTATACCCTCGTCGGTGTACATGGTTGGCACGGGAGACGGATACTGTGAGCCGGCTTTCATGGCGATACCAGTGCCTGATGAGTAAGGGGGACTGACTGCTCTCCACTGTAATGCTACGGTTTCAGGTACGGTCCTGCTTTCCTATTTGGTGAGGTCTTTATGAGACATTGGTTCACCACTTTTGATCGCGGCGATGGGAGTCCGGGCGCGGCATTTGTCGGATTCGCAGAAGCGCGCCATGATGCCAGTAAGGTTGATCGACGTATCGTTAGGCATCCGCCCTCCAATGGAACACCTTAGATCCTTTCTCACTTGGGGAAGAATACCGCATGGGATCAAAGTCGTTGTGAATGAGTAGACATGCTTACAAATCGGTGTTCGATTTAACACGCTGATATTGAGTTTTCCAGTGATTATACGATCATTCACCCGTTGAGTGAGACTTCTGTTATTGCATCAGAATGTATCGTACAGTGAGTTTTATAAATTCCATATACAAACAAAATGTGGGGTTATGCAAAGCCCAATAGGATTAGAATAACTAAAAAGGCAGTACCATATTGCTGAGCTGAAAAACGACTGAGATTATTAGAAAACTTTCAGGATGATGTAAACTCCTGATGATTGCTAAATATACAAAATTTCCAATTTAATCCAACTGTCAAGTGGTGGAGTAATAAATGCCAAATATCCTGCTTCCAACGTATCTGCCGTGTGTCTCTTTCAAAGGGGTGAGACTTCTTTATCTCATGGTTAAAATTATTGAGGCTACCGACTATTTCTCAAATGAGTGGACACGACTCACTCCTAGTGTGGATTGACACTTTCTTATAAAGACAACACCGGATCTTCAGTTTTAAACTTTCGTTATTCTTGTTCACCCGATTCCGCCCTGGTAAATACGTTACTCACTATCATTAGGCAAGCTCGATGAAACCATTTGAGAGTTTGAACTCATGTCGACTCTTGATGAAGGTAGAAAGCTTGCTCACCGACGCAGGCTTACGGCACTTGGACCCTAGTTGCCCCACATTGGTGCGACCTGAAGTGGTGACCAGTACCGAGATCATGCGCTTGACGGAGCGATAAGCTTACCGTTCTTGGTGAGGAACTCGACTATACTCTTGGCATAGTCGTCTTCCACCTTATTGCCGTCCTTCTTTGCCGCCTTGGCGGGCTTACTCGTCTTGGGGGAGGACTCGTCAACGGAGAGCTTCCTCTTCTTCTCCTGCACACAATGAAATCATTAACCTCACATTCAGACAACCCTTACTACCTCCTTAGCGACGTCCGTCTTCTTAGGAGAAGGCTTCTTGGGAGATTCGGCCTTCTTGGGAGATTCGGCCTTCTTAGGAGTTTCGGCCTTCTTGGGAGAGGATTCCTCAGCGGCGGCTGGCTCCTCCTCGCCCTCGGACTCAACTTCCTCTACCTCCACGTCTTCTTCCTCCTCCTCCTCCTCCCCCTCCTCTTCGTCATCATCATCACTCTCCTCGACCTGACGAGCTATCGATAACCCTGGATGAGAGTGTTGGGCCAATACTCTCACCTCGATGCCCTGCTCCTTGGCCTTTTCCTTGATCATCTCAGTGAGCTTAGTATTGAGCGCCTCGTTCATCCCAGCCTCGTCGATCTCACTTTCCTCCTCTTCGTCCTCCTCACCTTCGACATCATAAAATTCATAGCATCTACGATGCATACCATACAGGCGATATTGCGGAACCGGCTCATCCTACCCAGTGAGATGAACTTCCTCTTTGCCCTTATTGACAAAGGTCGGTGGATCGGCCGGGGAGAAGGTAAGGTCGAGGCTCAAAGCATCCGAGCTGCCCTTGGTCAGCACTGCAATTGTGAAGGACTCGCCTTCAGTCTCCTTCACCTGAAAGCGACGATGACATTAATACAGTCTTCCTTAGAGAACTACCTGTATCTCACATCGGGAGTCCGTCTTGGGGTCAACCAAGCACGCTTGTGTGAGATGGACCATATCGGCGTTGACCTCGTCCATGGTCTGCGACTCCCCACCCTTCAGCGCTATGCCAAAGAACATCTTCAAGAGGCGGGGACTGGGACTAGTCATTTCTCAGAGACAGAGGGTCGTACAACAATCAACTGAGGTAGGGTGCATAGCAAAACTGTCATGGAGATGGCCATTACTGCGGTACTCCTTGGTACAATGTACTGTACATAACAGGTCTATATAGCTATAATCTATCGTAACAGGTCTATGCAACCGTAATATACGATTGCACTGGTACGTTATGCAACCTCAAGATCTCGTATTCGACGCTAGTCTAGGAGCATGCTCACCAACACAGCTCAGTAAGCTCATGTTAATGAGCAAGATGAGCAAGGGGCGACGCGTCAGACGCATACGATTGACTCCGAGTCACGACTCACGAGTGTGCACGCGTACAAAATGAGTGCTGCGCCCTGTTGATCGATTCGTCGCGCCGTCTGAAAGTATGGGTAAATCTAAGCAGCCCAAGGTAGCCGTCAAGAAGACGGATAACGACCTCTATAAGCCAGTGTTGCGACCCAAGAATGAGGGAGAGAGTATCAAGGTAATATACTGGTGATTTCGGGCTTTTTTCCAGAGTCGAAAAATTCATCTCGAGGGGCTCTGGCCTTGAGCTGAGTCACTTCAAAGATTCCACAGAGGCTCTTTTGCTGCCCACCTGAAAGTTCTGCTGGGACTATTCTCGCCGCTTCAAGAGGGATGGGAATGCTAAACTTTGCCTTGGTCAGGTTGCCGAGGCCGTTATCAAACGCAGGGACCGGAATTTGAAGGCGTTGGCTGCCCGACAGCGCCGTGTGAAGGAGCAGAAGCTCGAGAAGAAGCGCCTAGGAAGAGCTGCTAAGATGGTAGCATAGTCCTGGTCATCATCATGGGCAGCATCGGTGGCCTGTCAGATTTCGGCCAACTCCTTGGTCGTGAAGGCTCGGGAGAGGTTCATGGACCGTAGAAGGGCCAAGGTGACCAAACAGAAGAACAAACGTATGGCCGTCTTGGGCGACGTCATCCCTGGCAGGGTACGGGTATTCAATACGACGCTGTTGCAGTACTGCCACTTCTAGGTCTTCCTTGTTGTCCGCAACGATCGTCGATCACCTTCAGCCACAGTGCTCAAGGCCCTCCGCAAGATGGGTCTACGGAAGTATGGTCACGCCATGTTCCTCGAGGACTCTCTCGAGAACCGCGAACTCCTACGCATATGCGAAACGTAATTCTATCACGGGCAGCTGCTCCCTGTGCAACATGTGTTTAGGTTCGTGTACTACGGCGTCCCTTCCCCCAAGGCGATATCTGATCTGCTTCATAAGAAGGCTTACATCCAGTCCAAGGCTGGTGAGGGCTACGAGTTGCTCACGAACAACTTGGTGGGAAAAATAAGATCCTAGTGAAGTAGGAGTCGGTGCTCCACAGGTTATTGAGGAGGCTCTCGGTGACATTAACATTCTTTCTGTGGAGGACATCGTTGACGTTGTGAAGGCTGGCAATGCTGGAGAGAGTACTAACACTCTCGGCTTGCGTGTTTGCTTTTTTCACAGGGCATCTGGTCAGGTCCTAATCTCGAGAAGTTGAGGCGTGTACTCTCCCTGTTGGTATCCTTCACCATGGGTGATGTTCGTAAGGCGGATGTTAACGTGCCGACCTCTAAGATAGTATGGGGTTATGTCAAGAGAATGGACAACATGCTCTACAAGACATTGTAAATTTATTCCTACGCCACTCTCGTTTACCGTAACAACGACAACAATCGCCGACGTAGTAACGTTTCTCTCCTTCGCTTTTGAGATGTTGAGTTTCACTAGTTGTGGGAGCACTTCGCCTTCTATGCAATTGGAAGGCTCATGAATGATTAACGCATCATGTGCAGGTTCGAGGTTCTTCTTATACGATTTTACCACCGCTCATACGAGAGTCTGTTGTAATAATGTCGTAGACTATGATCCTTTTTGCCCTTCCACCCGATTCAGGAGGGGTCATAAAAAGAGCGTCGTCCTCTACCACATGCTTAACGTCACGCCTCCCTGCATTGCGCATATACGATCTCAATCTGAACACTATCCAATCGCTTTTGCCTGAGGGTCTTCCTAGTGTGCTAGAGGTTCTGATACTCGGTCTTCAACGATGGACATTTTATGAACTTGAGAAACTCCTTCTCTCTGCTGAATGGTTAGTAGAAGACTGCCTAGAGCCTCCGCTGAACCCGCAGTTGTGCAAGTTCCTGGTCAGTTCTTGTAGGCAACCACCATCGCCGTACACCTTCTCCCATCCCCTAGTTGTAGGCACAACTTGCTGCTCAGTCGGCCCTCTCAATCTCTAAGTTACCTAAAATCAATCCTTCGAGACGATTATACACGGCTTGGCGTGATTCGGAGTTTGTCGTGCTCAGTTCCGAAGAGATTTGAAGCCCGTAGCCGCATCACAGATCATCAAAGGCTTCCCTGAAGACCATGTTCTTCGTCAGATAGTTGCTCAGTAGCATATCCTCCTGAAGAGTACACGACCAGGCAGTCCAGAGCAGGATGGACTGCACAGGGAGATGGAGGATAAATTACCGACGATAGCGGCTACCGGGGATGGGTTGGGGAGTCGAGGAGATATCTGCTGCAGTGGCGACTCAGGCTTACTGATTCGACGTGGGATCTGTCGAATTACTCTGTTATGGGAACCCTGTGTGTGAGATTACGGTCAAAGTGCCCGGCACTCAGTGCCACCATTATAGCTGTCCTACGACTGTTCTGCTGCTGATAGAGCGATGCTCACAACATAATGAAGTGTATGACCAGCAGACTGCTGGCAGCAGTTCACGAAGGGACCGCTCGCATGAGTATTGTTCGCCTTATCTCAGCTTACTTGTTGGTGTTGCGCTGTACCTCAGCTCAGGTCTCCTTCTCCAAGGAGTACACTGTAACATGCGCTTCGCCGTTTGCTCTGGACATTATCACTCACGTCTTGGAATAGAGTAGAACATGAATACCTTCTAGGGTCAACCGACGATATTGGGCCCAACAGACATTGTAATTGATTGGTTCAATTTGTCTTGGATCAACTCAATCCCTTATGTTTGCCTTGGATGGTGGTACTCCGGTGCCCAGGATGCTCCCCCTGTTTGGACCCCTCAACAGGCACATGAATACAGCAGCTTCCATCATCTTCGAGGCTTTTCCACGTTGATTCATATCCATGCACCCCAACCTCTGCTACCAACTTTATAGGGAAAGTCGTGGTTATCTTATCAATCGATACACCGAGGAGAAAATAAGAGAAGTTTCACTAACACTTCGCTGGCCCATCCTTGCGAGACCCGTTCTTTCCCCTCTTATATGTCGCTGCTGACGGGCCTCTGCCTTATAGCGATTACTCTCTATCTAACACAAAGCACATTCACCTTGAACGAATAGGTGTTATATAATATAACTGGTACGTAATCAACATTACTGTCGAGTCTAGAAATCAATATGAATCCCCAGTATAACAACAGCAATAATAATGGCAACAACGACTATCGCAGCATTAGAAAATCTGAACCGCATAACAACTTTAATGGTCTAATACCTCGGTGTCGGGTTGATAACATACACAGGGGAGGAAAGACTTTACCACATATAGCTCAGATACCTGGTGGAATAACACGGAAACTGACACTAGCTGTTCACAGAGTAGTTGCTAGTGATCATTAACACTGCTAGAAGCAGGCTTCCGGGTATGTCGAACGTTTGTACTAAGCTTATACATGCGATGGAGATACTTTACGCCAGTGGTCCCCTATTGGGACTTGGCATAGGAGGGAGATTCTGACCAGGCATGACACCAGGTGGGGCCAAGCTAAAGCTAGAGAGTCTCCTCTTAGCTTCAAGGATCGTAGCTATTTGACTTAGTCTTCGAGAATTCACATTAGAAGGTTCATAAGGTTTCCAACCACTGAAACCACGTGGACGACTATCAGCAACAGCAGGAGCGAACGCGGATTCTGGAGAGGCGGCCGGGCCCTTCAAAGGAGTTGTCGCGGCGGCACTCGGTAGGTTATAACCAGCCTCCTCGATAATCGACTGAAGCTGCTGCAGCTGCTCGTTGCTTATTGAACTAATAGATTTACGAGGGACGAACACCGGTGCAGCAACATCCAAGCCAGGCATCGGTACAGTGGGGAGAGTGTTGGTAACACTAGGAGCCTCCACCGGCGGGTCATCTAATAAAGCGGCAACCATATCTCTGCCGCCAGTGTATGAACGTAGCCTGAGAGTGACCTCATCACCAGCAGTGAAGCCGCTACTGCCAGTAGTCTCATTGAGCTGCTCGAGAGTCTTCGCTATCTGCTCTAACAAATTAGCTTGCTCCAAGTAGTCATTCATGGCCATAGTGCTCCCCAGAGCAGCCTTCTGAGAAGCAGCCAAAGAAGCGGCAGTAGCCATCAAGTCGGGATCCTCGTTAGCGGCGGCAACCTCGGCCAGACGGTTAGTAGTGGAAGCGGTCAAGACAGCATCCGTACCAGCCGCAGTGGGGACTCTAGTACGGAGCTCATGAGCACCATGTGCATGTCGGCACTTCGAACCAGCATTGCACGAACCGTTCATCCAAAAACGGCAAAGGGAAGTCTTATAAACATCAGCAGTGGCCCTGAGCTCGTCACGACTATGTGCATAGGCGCAATCAGCACCGTTAGGGCACTGCCCTTTGCGGTACAGTTGACACATTTTAGTCTTTCGGAGATCAGGGGCCTGCCTTAGCTCGCTCCAGTCGTGCGCATACCCGCAGTCCGAGCCGTGCTTGCATTGGCCTCGCAAGAAAAATTTACACATTCGCGTTTTGCTGAAGACCTCGCGGTTGCGACCTCCCAGTTTCCCTTCATCTTGGGAGGATCTTGATTCAGGAGAGCTCGGAGGAGTTGGCATGTTACTTGGGTTGACCTCGAAAGCATCACCATCGACGACTGGGCGAGCGTATTCACTGCTGGTCGTCCTCGTCGTGGTGAAGCCACCAACTCCTGGTAGCTTAGTCTGCCCTCTAGAGTGCTGTACTGTCATACGAACGAGATGACGAGTTAATCTGCAAGGCAGAGCAATGTTCGACGTACCGGTACCCCAGCACGCACATTCTAAACACGCCTGCAGAATGTAGACCTTAGGTTGTGTAGACCTTTGGAACACTTGCTTTCTTGGTCGCTTGACATTCCTTAAACTAGGCCTTGGTTGGCTCGCCTATAGCCGTGTCGATTGGATAATCGATCCAGGTGTCACGTCACCTTCTGCGTGTCACGACCTTGGAACTCGCTAACGAGTCGCTAACGTGTCGTTACGACTTAGTCCGATCTGGATTCACTCTGGCTTGATCCTTGGCTGTTCTAGTCGACCTTTGACTGAAAACAAGCCTTGTGTTCTTGAAGTTCGCCGAAGTATCAGCAACGATCTTGGTCACTTGTAGCTCTGCAACGCGTAGACCTACATTTCTGGTAGCAGCTCCTTGTTTGCTATCACTTCGACGACCTCTTTCCCAAGCCTGGTTATCTGGTTCTGTTGTCAAGACCGACCTCTTCCTGCCTTGGTACTCTGTTCTCTATGTCTGCTTCTAGCACTGGTAACTTCCACAAGAAGGATCTGGCCATAGTCGAGGAAACGGCGAAGGCTGACGCTGAGGAGGCCCAAATGGGCGCCGAGGCAGCAGCCCTCCATACTCGACTGGCCCTGGAGCACGCCAAAGACTACAACGATCTCTGTGACCTTCTGTCTGTGAGGGCTGAAGCTGGCTCTGCGGCCGCCACTACGGCTATCGGCAACGGTAGTCGTAAGGAGGAGGTTCGCATCAGCTTGCAGATGCCCGAACGGTATAACGGTACGACTGACTTTAGTGCTTGGTTACGTCGGTACGAGAACACTGCCAACGCCGCCGGTTGGAGCTCTGGTACTAAGGCGGCCCGCCTTGGTATGTACCTCACTGACGAGTACTACGAGATGTGGGATCAGTACGCTCCCAAGGTGACCTTCGAGGAGGACAGCCGCATCATGTCCCAGATGCTGGCTCGACGTCCTGCAGACGCTCTCCTGGACAACTTCCACGATCTTCGTTGGGCACCTGGTACTAATGTCGGCACCTTCTTGGCGAAGGCGAGGCGCATGCTCACTGAGTACAATAAGAAGCTTACTGATGAGAAGAAGCTATCCGATGGTTCTCTAGACCAGATGATTCTCAACAAGCTCATCGCGCTCGCCCCAGCCGCGGCTAAAGCGGAGCTGAGAAGACGCCAGCCTTCGAAAATCGAAGAGATGGTCGACATTATCAGTGACTATACACCTGCCATGGAGATGACTTCGGCTTCCAGCCCCGCTCTGCAACAGGTGGAAGCCAAGCTCCAGAAGGTCTTGGCAGCGGTGACTACACAGACCCCCAATACTAATGCCACCATCCAACAGATGGTCGAGAAGATCCAAGATTTAGAGAAACGACTTGCTGGACAACAACGACCTTCGTTCCGTCGTCCTGGTGTCTGTGGTATCTGCCGTGGTCCCCATGCCACGAAGGACTGTGCCCAGAAGAAGTTCTCTACCGGTTGTTATCTGTGCGGAGGCGACGGACATTTAGCCCGTAGCTGCCCCACTAGACGAGGTGACGGCTCTAAGGCCGGACCTTCGTCGTCGGGAAACTAAGACGGCGGTTGACGAGGGGTCCTCAACCGCCGGACCCGACGATATACCTCTGTACGTTCGGCGCAGAGGTTGGTCTATTTTTACATGCCGAACTGTTGACCAATGTCCAAGTTACCCAGCCGCTGAAGGCCTGTATTGATACGGGTAGCTGTTTTTCTTTGGTACACCGCCGGTTCCTACCTAGTGGTGCTGTTATACTTCCCTGTAATAATATAGATTTGGTGACCATCGACCAGAAGCCATTCGGTATACTCGGAGCCTGTCGACTGAGCTTGCGTCTGTACGATTCCCCGAACCCTGTTTTTGACGCTAGTAAGCCTCACGAGACCTTCGAAATGGTGTTTCTTGTGGTCGACACCTTGGCCTACGACATGGTTATCGGCCATGATTTTATGGCACATTTTTCCGTCAACCCATCCTATGGTAGGGGAAGACCTTATCCTGTAGTGGGAAGTCCCGCTACACGCACTGCACCTCTATTGCACCCTACGATGGAAGGTACAATGGGTGGTGCTAGCCCGTCTACACAGACTATGTTGGCGACAAGCCCTACTCGAGGACGATCTGTCGGACGAACGGTACGGGATGGCCCTAGTTCGTGGGGCGGTGACGGAGATCCGGTACGGACATCCGACGAGTCCGATGTCGCCCTAACTAAGGCTTTCCAGCCTGTTTCTACCCATGCTAACCTGGTAGACTTCAAGATCAAAGGTGTGGACGTGGTTCTAGGCAAATCGGTTATTGCCGCCGTCCGACCTTCGGGCGACTCCGTGAAGTACCCCAAGTTCAGAGCCTTCACTACGACTGGTACTGAGGACACGGAGGCTTGGCCGACGCCGGGAATCTCCCCGGATGTGCTATTAGACGATGACCTTGCTATTTCCTCGGACTATGCTGTCCCCGACTTTCACGACGAGGATAAGTCCTACCCGACTTTCGAGGAGTCGAGACCTGGTGTATCACGCTACCGCTCCCTATGCGAGGAGTTTGGTGACCTTTTTGTGAACAAGCCCGGTCATTGCGACCTTGTGGACCACGCTATTATAGTGACCGATGACAATCCTATCGCCGAGCGCACTCGACCTTTGCCCCATAAATGGCGAGCGGAGATTACAGCGCAGCTTGAGGAGCTGGAGAACGACGGCTTGATCGTCCGATCCACCTCTCCTTATAAGTTCCCCTGTGTCTTCGTCCCTAAGAAAAATGGGAAGGTTAGAATGTGTGTCGACTACCGGTCGCTCAACAAGGTCACTAGGGTCGACTCGTATCCGCTACCCCGGCCTGACGATGTTCAAGAACACCTAGTCGGTGCGAAGGTATTTTCTACTATTGACCTTCGTAGCGGGTACTGGCAAATGAAGGTTCGACCTTCGGATCGGCGACGGACTGCTTTCTGTCCGGGCCCAGGGTTCCCTCTCTTCGAATGGACCCGGATGCCCTTCGGACTGTGCAATGCGCCTGCCAGCTTCCAAAGGTTGATGGACTTGGTCCTTGGGAAGTTTGACTTCGTCCGCGTTTACTTGGACGACGTTCTTGTCTTCTCGAGTTCCCTTGAGGAACACCTCCGTCACCTGAGGTTGATCTTCGAGGCTTTTCGGGAAGCTGGTCTGACCTTGGCTGGAGACAAATGCTCGATTGGTATGGACTCGGTTGTCTACCTTGGGCACCGCTACTCCGCGGATGGTATGTCTCCAGACCTGACCAAGGTCAAGGTTATTTCGGCATGGCCTACCCCTCGTACGGCAACAGACCTTAGGAGTTTCCTCGGGTTGGTTGGATACTACCGCCATTTCATTCCCCACTTCGCTGACCGTTCTAAGGCGTTACAGAAACTGCTCACTACGGCTGCGAGGGAGGAAGACCGGGTGGCTGAGCTTTGGGATGAGAAGCATCTGATCGCCTTTCAAGACCTCAAGAAAGCGTTGACCGACCTTCCGTACTTGGAGTACCCTGATTTTTCAAGGCCTTTTGAGATGGCTTGCGACGCCTCTAATTATGCTATCGGTGGCGTCTTGGAACAAGACGGCCGACCTTTGGCATTCTATAGCCAGACTCTGACTGGTTCTCAGTTGAACTGGCCGGTTTACGAGAAGGAAGCCTACGCCGTTCTCAAGTGTCTTGAACGATTTCGACATCTGCATCTTGGTTACCAGCTCCGGGTAAAGATATTCTCCGATCATAGACCTTTGCAATGGCTGAAGACTGCGACTTCGTCAAAGTTGCAACGGTGGTTGCTAGCTTTGCAACAGTATCAGTTTGACGTGGTTTATGTACCGGGTAAGAAGAATCTTCGTGCCGACGCTCTGTCACGGGTTCGTCCTGTTCCGACGGATTCGATCGACGCGCCGCCTGCCCTGCCCGTTGGTGTGGTGACCTTGGAGGACGCTTACTCGAAGGAGGATATTCTTCAATCGCAGAAGAATTGTCCTGTACTTCGACGGTTGTATCAACGGTTACTAAGTTCCGAGCCCCTACGACGTAACGAGCTAACTGAACGTGACCTTCGACCTTATAGACGGGTCTGGAGGACTCTTGGTATTGCCGATGGATTGGTTGTTCGAGAACGTGCTCCCACCTCCTACACTGGACGGCGCTGGGTTCCTGTTATACCAGCCTCTCTACGACCAACGTTCATCGAACACTTCCACGAAGAGATTGGTCACTTCAACGTCGACAAAGTACTGCCTAAGGTGGAACTATATGGTTATTGGCCCAGCATGGCTAGCGACATTGAGCATGCCTTGGCTCAGTGCCAGCGATGTCTGGATGCTAAAAGACCTTCACCGGCTCCGGCGCCGCTGATGCCGGTTCCGATAGGCAGACCTTGGGAAACCATAGCTGTGGACCTACTCTCGGTTCCTACGAATCCGGACGGTATCTCTACACTACTGGTTATGCAAGACTACTTTACGAAATGGGCTCATGTGGTACCCCTGCGACAACATACCTGGCTGGATGTTGCTCGACCCTTGTTTCAACTGTTCCTGCTATTTGGTCCTCCACGACGACTACATTCGGATCAAGGCCCTCCGTTCGAATCTTGGTTGTTCAAGATGACGTTGGGATTGCTCGGTGTCCGCAAGTCCAAGAGTTCCGTCTATCATCCGGCTGGGAATGGCCTCGTTGAGAGGTTCAACCAGACCTTTCTCAAGATGGTTAGGACTCATGTGGACTCGGTGTATGACTGGCAACGTCACTTAGGCTCTATGGTCTGGTACTATAATACTAGTATCCATTCGGCGACTAAGGCGTCTCCTTTCTACTTGATGTACGGTAGGAACCCGCCTGACCTTTGGTTCCCGGATTTGGATAGTGTCGAGACCCGCTTCTTCGACCCCGAGACCTATGCCAACTTCTTGAGTTCTACTAGAGCTAGAATTCTTGATAACGTTGACCAGTGTGTTACACATGCTGCCACTGTGTACAAGGCAACGTTCGACTCTAAGGCTAAGCTTAGGTTGTTTCGCCCTGGACTACGAGTTCGCTTAGAGACCTTAGGTCCTGCCCGGTCTAATAAACTGGATCCCCGATGGGAAGGAAACTGGTTTGTCTCTAACGCTCTGCCTGGCCTTAACAACAAGACCTTAGAAATTGTTCATCCGGCTACACGCCGACGGAAGATTATTACTGTGGATCATCTACTTCTGGACCCAATTCAACCCGATCATCTACCCGAAGATGTGGCTACTATGGTCTACGGTGAAGAAGGTGCTATACTCGGAGAAGCTATCATTCCTGACGTCGACCCTACCTTCGACGATGTCCCGGTATTCCCGCCGACGTCACCTGACTGTCCGGTCGAAGTTAATTTCGTATCGCGAGATGTGGGTGTAGGTCCTGTAGACCCCCAGGTTCCTACTAGTCCTTCGGTTCCGCCAACGTTCCGGTCAGAATGTGCTGCGGTTCCCCCGACCCCACCCGGCCCTGGTACTACTCCGGCTGCCGATAGTGACTCCGAGTCCGACCTTTCTATGCCACCTCTCTCACCGCACCCTTCTCTCTTAAGGGGGGAGGAGGAAGAGGAAGTTGAAGACCAGGAGGTTTCGGATGTATCCGTCCCGCCTACTGAGAACTCAACACCTGCCCCCAGAAACGGTTCTGAACGACACTCCCAACATGAACCCGAACCTGCCAAAGTAGTAGATGCTCTTCCACAAGACGACCTTCCGTCCGAGGCTCCCGTGTCGCCACTCTCTGTTGCTCCTGAGAACGAGAATTCTAACGATGAAGCACCAGAGTTCGAGTCGGCGAATGAGGATCCTGATGATGCTCCGTCTTATGAGATTCCGCAAGAGTGGACTCTCACCAGAGATCGTCCACGACGACAGCCGCATCCGGTTGTACGATTCGACCCGAGCTTTCTTGGCCCTGGTGGTCTGAAAGAGAGTTCTCGGAGGCCCCAGTAGCTATGTAAGAAGACCTACCTTGGTTGATACTATTCTCTATGCGCGCCTCTGGATTGCTATCCACCTCGGCCTGGTCCCGTTCTTATTGCTGCTATACGCTGACCTGCTTGGATATCCTGAGATATCCTGAGATAAACTAATATTATTGTTACTGTTCTTTTGATTATTGCTGAAGCTTCATGCGCCGTGTAAAGAGCGCCCGTATTTTTGATCGATTTAGCCGCCTGGAGTACGTGTGCGATGAACGTCTCCTTGCTGACACGTTTTGAACCGCTACCTTGGTATCTCCGTTGACATGGGAGCTAAACTAACTCGCCCTTGGTATGTTCTCGAAGCCGAGCTTGATGACGCCGCCGTCAGCGACTTTGTCTCGACCTTGTCCCCGAGGGGTGCGACCTTTGTTTCTAGGCTCCGCCTGAAGGAACCTCATCGTGCTGATTATTATCTCGATGAAGTCCGTAAGGCCCTTGTGGACTCGACCTTACCCGACGCTAGAGCTGAGCACAAGGAACTTGGTCGCAGGCTAGAAGAGTTCGCTAGAGATGAGGGCGTGGCCTGCCCTTCGTTTCTACAAAACCTTCGCCGTATCGTCGAGCCCCCTAACGACATGTCGGAAGACGCTGACTCTGCCATCGACGCTGTTTCGGTTATGAGCAGTCTACACGAGATTCCCGAGAGTGACTCTGACGACCTCCCCGAAGAGCCCGTCTCACCGCAGCCCCTTCCCGTTAGACCTTTGTCAGCTACGGCTACGGCTACTGCTAAGGCCCCGCCTACTACCGCTACTAATGGTCGTGGAGGTAGTGTGGCTGCTGGGATTACTCATAGGTATGGCCCTTGGGATTGGTCTAGGTCTGCTACGCCGTCTCGTGTTAACCTTCGTCCCCGTAATGCCCGTGCTGGTATGTCTACACCGGGAGGCCTTCGTACTCCTCCGGTGACCCCAGGTTGGCCGCCGTCCTCTACTCCGGCACCTTTGGATTGGCGTTCTGCTTCAAGGAGTTTCCCTAAGGCTTCGCTTGGACCTTTGGGTTCCTCTTCGTCCCGTATGATGCCTCCGAGACCTGGTACAGTTTGGTCTACATCGACGCCTACTTCAAGACCTTCGACATCCTCTACTTCTGTTAACAACTTACAGGTGACCTTTTCTGTTCGTAATGACTACGATTACGCTCACTTGGTGCCTAAGTATGTTGAGAGAAGGACTCATCATGATCGCTATGCTTGGGTCTGGGACTATTGTCGAAGCGAATCTTATGGTCCTGGTCGCGAGTGGCGCCGTTACTTGGCTGCTCAGCGTCAGACCTTAGGTGAAACATGTTTCGAGGCCCTTAACGGACCTTGGATTATTGACCATGCTGTGATGGCTGGACTGGTCCACGACGACTTCATCCACCGACCTTTGGTTGGCAATGTGTTACTGTGTCATGGCATCCTCAACTCCTGCGGTGGAGATGATGGCCTTTGGTTACCTTCGGCTTCCGCTCTATTGAGGTATTGCTACGAGTGTGGTGCCTATCCGCACTTGGTGACCTACCACACCAGACACGGCCGACCTTCGGGAAGTACTATGAATAGTTGTAATTTGTTCTTTTGTTGTCGTCGCCATTGTGAGGACGCGCTACAACGTCTCTTAAGAGCTGGCTTTACCTTCGGCTTTAGACCTTCAGGCTATCTGTTCTTCGCCCGAAGCGAGAAGGCCTTTGTCAGTCCTTTTAGAGATGAGCACGGTGGTTTTAGTGGTTTGACCATTGAGGAAGGACGACTATGTTTTCTCTTGGCTCATACTCGCCTAATGAACCTTCGGTCTGGTATTCCGTTAAGCACTTTCAAGGTTTACGATAACGAGTGGATTACTACAACCTTGGAGCAAATTGACGCTGCTAGGGAGTGCCCTTCCACTAAGACCTTGGCTTCTCGATTTGCTGACCTAGGTGAAGTCACGGATGACGCTCTTAGTGCAGTTCTTGGTATGGTTCGAGACTACAGTATCACTGTTGGTGCTTTGGAAAGGACCTTTGCCGAGAGAAGACGTTCTCTGTGATACTTAGTGCATTATTGAGTTTTTTTGATATTTATCTTATTTCATTTTTTTCATTGGTTCGACCTTAGTTTTCGGAATGACGTCAAGCTAAGGGGGGAGGTATGTAGACCTTAGGTTGTGTAGACCTTTGGAACACTTGCTTTCTTGGTCGCTTGACATTCCTTAAACTAGGCCTTGGTTGGCTCGCCTATAGCCGTGTCGATTGGATAATCGATCCAGGTGTCACGTCACCTTCTGCGTGTCACGACCTTGGAACTCGCTAACGAGTCGCTAACGTGTCGTTACGACTTAGTCCGATCTGGATTCACTCTGGCTTGATCCTTGGCTGTTCTAGTCGACCTTTGACTGAAAACAAGCCTTGTGTTCTTGAAGTTCGCCGAAGTATCAGCAACGATCTTGGTCACTTGTAGCTCTGCAACGCGTAGACCTACACAGAAATTGCAAGTGAGCAAGATTGCAAGATGCCTCTCTCCCCGAGTGATGACATGTCAACAAAAACTTCGTCGGGATGTTCAGAGAATTCCGCCGGAATCCACTCCAGAAAATATTCTTAGAATCGAGAATTGGGCTGTTCTCTGAACGCGATTTTGGTGTTTTGCATTCTGGAATGTGTTCTGAGTTTCGGTGTAACCTTCGAACCGCCCCTCAAGGCGCACCTTAAGGAAGTAGTGTAAGGAATTCCTCCTTTTTGAGGAACGCTTCAAGGAGCAGTGTTCGCCTTATAGGCTCAATGTCTGCTTGGGAGAAGACCCTACGGCCTTCTACCCCTAACACGGCGTTGCGAGCTAGGGCAGCGGGATTCCACGTATCGGGCAACTCAGCACCTATTCCTGTGTACGTCCATTGGGAAGGCTCCTTGAGGGTCAATCATTACTAGGTACGACGCCCTAAGGGACCGCAACCTCGACGATTTCTGGGCGTCCCCTGCTACTCGTGCCCACTTCCACAACATGGGCCTGATGGCTGACGATGGTAGCCTCATATCAATGGTCGAGTAAGGTCCACCCACCCGTGGCAGGCTAGTGGAGAGAATTCAGGTACCGTCAAAAGCTCTACGTTGTGGAAAGGGAGATGGACCGAGCGGAACAGCTTAGGGAACGCATGGCGTACAGGAAGCAGCAAATGGAAATTTATCAAGTTCGCTTTCTCCGTCGATTTTTTTATACATTTACTCGTATTCGTCCGCGTATCAACCAAAGTAGCTCCCAGTGTGTGTGTATGGTTCAGATGGCCCGAAGAAAAAGTGAGATTATGAAGGCAAGAAGAGCTCAGGAAATACGTGAGCTTAAGACGGAGAGAAGTCAGAACTACTATAGATCCTCATCGTGATCATCCGGTTTTCCATTTTAGTATCTGCTCGGGAGGCGGCCAGGCCTGGCTCGTGATGACTCAGCTGGTCAACCTCTAGAAAGGACGTCTGTGACGTCGGCCTTTTTGGTCGTTATATATTCCAAATGACTTGTGTGTTTTGAATCATGTTGTTACATGTGATTGTTGGATACAGCCACCACCACCATTGTTTGGTTGCTCACAAGCAGCTCGGGGGGCCTGCACTCTGTGGAGAGTGCATGGGTATCGCCTTGGCGTTCCCAAGGAATAATACTATCAATATGTAGTTACTCCCCTTACCCATGGCGTCTCCAGTGATGAAGTCGGCAACAAACTGGGCCGACGAATCGGCCGACCTTTCTCCAGATTGGTCTCCTGCGGCTGCTCCCGTAATCAATCAGTTTGGGCATGTACATATCGGCATGTCTCATTCGTGGTTTAGGAAATCCCTGGTGATGAGCATTTCTCGTTGGAGGGTTCGGCAGATGCTCATCAAGACGGCGTTTCTGAGGAGCATCTTCCTACCGGTATGGGGACACCGCAGACCTTCTCTGTGTAAGTGGTGGCGACTAGGAAGGGGCTAACTAAGCGGAGTTTTCTCCTTATAGTTACGTTGGTGGATTGCCCTATAGTGCCTCGGAGGACGAGCTCGGGTTCTTCTTCCTAGACAGGAACATCACTCCTGTTGGTGTCCGCATCATCATGGACAGGGAGACGAAAAAATCGAAGGGGTTTGGGTAGTAGCTTATACGGGGGGGGGAGGGGCGGGGGAGATGACTAGCATTGATGGCTCAGTTACCTCGATTTCGCGACGGTGGAGGACTATGAGGCGGCTCTCGGGATGAACGGTTCGAATTTTGGTGGCCGCACTATCAAGGTTTCTGCTGAGGAGCACCGCAGAGAGCCGCGCAGACGTTCTCGGTAGTGAGTGTCCTTACGAGAAATTCGGAACAGCTTGGTCGTCTCTCAGTGAGCCGCGTGGCCCTCGTCGTGATGACCGTGAGCTCCGTAGAGGTGGTCGAGATAGGTGAGTGCACTTATCGTTGCGAGATGTTGTTAAAGTTTGGGTACTCGTCTTAGATATCGGGAAACCCACAACCGTGAGGGTTTCGAGCGCCCTTCTGCTGCTGAGGAGGCTGAGCATCACGAAAGGAAGAAACTGCAGTTGTTGCCCAGGAGCAAGCCCATTGAGGTAGTCCATGGTGTGAGAGAAAAAGAGAACTCGCTGAGTGACGTTGTCAGGAAATCCACGAGGACGCTGCTGGCCGTCAGCGAACGAGCATTTTCGGCGATGCCAAGCCTAGGGACGAGGCTGAGTGCGACGACTATGATGTATGCGGTGCTGGTTGCTATGTGCGTTCCTGATCAGATATCAGCGTCGGAGAGCTGAACGCGAGAGGCGACTGGGCATCAAGACTAGTACGACCGATGAGGAGGATCGTAAGCATCGGAGTGGGGCGAGCACGAGGGCAACTCCATCGGAAGCCTCTTCTACGTAAGTAAGAGGGGCTATACTGTGACGGTAGGAGCTGTGTCGTAGGTCACCTCATAGAGGCGGCAAGGGCACTAAGGGGGGCAAGGGCAGCCGTTATGCTTCGGGCGAGACCAAGTAGGGTAGTCGCTCATCGCTAGTATAGGAGGACTTGTCTGTAGGTCTGGCAATTGGCGAGGGAAGGGCAAGGATGTGGGTCCAGCGAAGAAGAGCCCGGAGGTTGCTGCTCCCCGGGAAGCTGTAGTTCGCACTGTTGACACCGGCCCGAAAAAGTAGGCTGTGTTTACATACCTCTGCTGCAGTGTATGCTTCCCTTCTTCAGAGTAAAGGGTGCTCTTGCCAATGCATTTGCTGGCTTGAGCGACTCTGAGTCCGAGTCGGAATCTGAGTAGAGTTACACGAAGGAGGAGGAGGTAGCAGGTCATCTCTCGTTAATCGTTGAGGAAGCTATTGGTGTAGGGCTCAATTCACTAGAACGACCTCTCAGTGAGGTTGGCAGTATGATTGTATGTACCAAGGTATGTGAATCCACTGTTCTAATGTGGCCCAGCGATGTCCTCTTAGGCGACCTGTACTCCATCCCCTTCTAGTAAGCACTGCGGTATGTGGCACCACTCTAGTTATCCCTGGTCATGACCGTCTAGTGACGTCTATAGTTGAGGTAGGTAGTCGCATGCTATCATCAAGCTGTCCACCTCAGTAGGACTGGACTGGATAGAGTAGAGAGTGTTTCGTGAAAGTGTAAATGATTTTGAAGCCCTCAGTCGTTTACGAGGAAGAACTTTCCAAAATCGCTCACACTTTCAGGCAGCACTTTTTACTAGTCGTAGATTCTCATCTCCTTGCGTTGGAAGCTCGTGCATCGTCATCAGGTATGGTATATGAGGTTGCTACTCGGTCTATCAGTTCCTGCTCGTACTCAGCAGTAGGAGTAAACGTGTTCTCTTCACGGTTTCCTTCTTATCGATGCAATTTGTACTGTTGTTGTTTCGTCCGGTCCTCGAGATGATGATGAGGTTGGATACTCATCAACATTATCATTGAGTAATGATCATTGTAGACTGTACGTCTAAAGTTGCTACTCTTGCCGCGTTAGTTGTAGTCATTGTTAGCTCAGCAGCTGTCACCATAGCCTTCTCTATTACCCCTATACCCGTCGTTACGTTGTTGAGTTGAATTCCTTTTGGGGAAAACGTGATGTCAGTATTGGAAGAAGTGCATGAATTACTCGCAGGATCATTTCATCGGGCCAGGGACGTTTCCCCGGTCCCCCGCTGGAAGCTCCTGGTCCGGCAAGCAAAGAGGCTTCTGGGACAGCTTAGTGGGCACTGCCCCTAGTGTGGGTACTGTAATAGTCGGAGAGTAGGATGTAGAGCATGCCTTGTTATGGTAGGAGTTTCTAGTGGTCAATTGCAAATTCTGGGAGATACTATAGCGGTGAACAACGCTATGGTGACACGGATAGCGATACAGGTGGATCCCTCAAAACACCGCGGAAGGGACGTCCGAGTGGGCACATTCACCGTCAAGCCAGCAGAAGGTAGTAACCTAGAGGAAGGGTGTTCATATGGAAGCATTTCGGTCAGGTATTTTTGAATCAGAAACGTGTTACCTAAGTAGCCGTCAAGCGTCTCAGCTCGTGAACTTCGACCCGACTGTTTCGGCGGTCCAAATGTGCATAGTGTCGCCTCCAGTGTACCTCCCACCGGGGCATCATGTCGGTATATGGACTATTGGTAGTCGCTCTGTCCTGGCTATACCCTATGAGAAGACACTAGGCATAATGGATGATGAGAATCTTCGGGAAGGGCACTGGTCTTCTATTCCTGGACAAGAGGTGATACCTGGTCGTGGAATAAGCCTCAAGAGGCACTTCAAACGGAGAGGGTGCTGGCGGGCTTATCTGGAGGCAGTACAGAGCGTGTCGCAACATTCACGGAGGAGTTCTGAGAAGAAGAGATCTTATGAGCAGTACGTCAGCAGCGGCAAACGGGTGGATGCGTATGAGTCGCCTCCGCCGATACCAATAGTGGAGCGATTGACGTATGAGGATGACGTTGAACGGGAAAGACGAAGCGTTGAAATTAAGTGGGGCCCCAAGATGGCCCCTGAGCTACAGTGTGATTGACCGACACACCAAGTTGTATATATTCCCATACACCATCGTTATACTTATTACGTTGACAATACTATGACCATCTGAGGCTCGTTTCTGTCTGATCAGTTTGGTTGAGTTGCCAAGTCACGACTGGGGTCTTGTCTCGATAGTGTACACGCTCGGGCATCGATGATAATCGTATACGCCCATACACACTGAGTTTATGCATTGATACTTTCGTATCGAGAAGTCCGATAAAGTATCTGGAAGTAACCACCTGGGTAACCCTACTGAGCTTGTAAACCATAATGGAATAGTACAACAGCTGCTGTTGCTCAACTGTAGGGTACGGGGAAATTTCCAACCAGTTGAGCTCTGACTCTTCGGCCGATACGGGTGGTGCCACGACAAGAGTCAGTCTATAAGACAGTGGGCACTATGGACGGCTTATGGTGGGGCATAAACTTCTTATTCTTTAACCTGAGGGAAGATTACAACTATAAGGATGACCCTCGTTAGCCTGTCGACTGTCTGCATAACAATCACAGCTCTCCGACGGCACGATAGAGCAGCACCCTTGTCGTGGTCGAAGATCCAATGCTCTTATGGGATCGAGCGTAATGCAGGAAATTTGCTACCCGCCTGTAAAAGCTATGTAGATCTCACGTAAATCCGACGCTATCACCGTTATCACTAAGTGACAAGTAAACATAGCAGCTAAATAAGGCTAGCTCTGTTGATGAAATAACGTGGTTGTTCCTCCTGGATTGGAGTAGGTATTATGACCGCTTGCCTTCCCATGGTTATGCTATTGATTCACTAGCTGTTAGGGTTGGGAAGAGCACTAGTCTTAAGAATAGGACTTCTACTGTTTCCGAAGGTCTCGTCTGTGGATAGTGTTGGTCACTCTCACTGAGGGGGCTGGTCTATTGCTGAAGATAGAGATGGCTACGCCGACCGCTCCTTCGTTTCTCCGCCTGATGGTCAAGGCAGGCCTACAGAGTGGTACGGTGATGATGATGGGTGATGCTGTAGCCCAATCGTTCATGGGAAATGAGGTAACAACAGCATTTTATATAGGACTCTGATTTCCCTATTACGACAGGCCTACTCTACGAGCAGATCTGCGAGATTTGCCCTTGTTGGTTGTACACTACACGGCCCTTATTTTTTCGTCTGCTTCCGCCACTTGGACAAAATTTTCGGTCCTGCCGTGAACTTACGAACCGTCCTCATGAAAACCGCAGTTGCACAGGTGAGAATCATCCATCCAATGCTCGTGGCATCAGAGCACTTACGAGCCTCCGTATTGCTTCCTGTTACTGACTTCTTGTTGTCATTTTCCATTCAGGTTGTTGTCTTTCCCGTCTATGTTGTCGCTCTATTCGCGTACCTCGGTTTCCTCGATGGTGCCCCCAGCATCACAGATAACATTGCCCACAAGGCTCCACAGGCTTTCGTAGCAGGTTGTGGTTTCTGGCCAGTCGCGAACATGTTTGGATTCAAATTGTAAGTGGATCTTCGTTTTCCTCTTTCGGTCCGCTGTTCTACGGTCGTGTGGTTCCGTCATTTTGGTACTCACGGAATTGGGCTGAGTCGACACTATTGGTGTCATGTAGTTCAAGGTGTAAAGCACCACCAAAACGCCTATCTCCTTCAGTATTCCCTCTACAGCCCGAGTTCCCTACCTTGCCGCCTGTGGAGTGTTTTGGAATACCTACATCTCTTGGATGGATGCTCGCAATGATGCCCGTAAACAGCGCTCTACTGAGCAGCAAGAGTGACAATGTAATTATGTTCTGAGGTAGATGCTCGATTGTCAACATGTAGCCTTTTTCTGTAGTAACAAGTGTTTGCTTATGCTCAGTCTTATGGGGGATAATACCAGCTCCTCTTGTCGAGGAGTCTTGGAGATTACAAGTATATTACTCTTACTACGATTCGCCACTTGGTATACCATGTATGATGATCTATTCGTTCGTTCCTGTCCTGTATCCAACGACAGCCATCCGGAGGTTCTTCACCACTAGCGATGTTCGATCAGTTCGAATCGAGTAAATCAGAAATGTAGCCCACTTCCCAACTCGTCACTCCACACCGAGACATGATGTCAATAATTGTTCATTTCTCTATCAATTAACGTTGAAGATGCATCCTGTGCTACCGACATGTCCATTTCTTCCTCTGTCGGCATCAGCGCTCTAGAAGTCTCATCAACAGGCTCAGCACTCATGAACGGCAAAGTAAGTATGTCATTGTAGAGAAGGGTACCGAATACGCAAATCATAAAGCCAGCGAGCTGAAGCCAACTGTGGGCTGCCCAGGAGGTACCTGTTTACAGAGCTGACAAGAGAGTTGGATACAGTCGGGGCTTTACCGTATCGCGAGCTCCCGCCTATGTAATAGAACGATAACTGAGCGAGCCACACAAGCATCGTACGTAGGGAATCCAGCATAGTCCTATGAATCTGAAAGGCTCAGTAAGGAACTTGCGGCGAGCAGCTGTCCTACTGAGGACAATCGTCTTGCAACTGTCATACCGCTCAGGTTGAACACAGATATTGATAAAAAATAAGTGACCATCAGAGTTAAGATAGCTGAAGAGCTCTCAAGCTTATAGAGTGAATCCTTAGCATTTTCAAAAGAGCCATTATCTCCTCCTGGTAACCACGACATGATGCCGAGCACTACCAGCATTGACCCTATGCCCCATAGCCCCTCCATCCCAACAACAAGGGATGACGGACAACGGCGTGACTTCAGCAACCGTTCCTCTGCTATCATCTGCATAGCGCCACAGAGCTGACCAAGGACGGTGAAGCCGATTCCTACGAGGGAGGCTGTTCCCCCAGTACTGGTGCTAGCAGAAGACCTAGTGTCCAATACCGAGCTGATTCCCACTAGGGTGAGCCCTACTACTGTACAGCATACAGCGAATATCTTCGAACGGTGCATCGTACGCCCAAGTAACAGAGCTGATAGAATAGCAGTGAAAACGACAATACTGCCCCGCATCATTTGCCACACTGAGGCAGTTATAAAGTTCATTCCAATTCCTGATAAACCAGTACCAAGTAGATCAAGAGCCGCAGGTGGAGCGAACAAGTACGGTGGGGTATTCCTCGATGGTCTTGGGCTGCCATCAGAGTTATTCCCATACTGGTGCTGTCTCTGCCTATACAATACAACTAGCAGCAGCATCGACTCCCCGAGGAACATCGCTAAGTTCTGGGTCCACGGCTTGTTGAAGGGCTCCTCACCCGACGGGCAGCTACCTAACATGGTAACCGCTTTCTTAAAGGGCTATGAACAGCCGTTGAGAAATACACAAGCCTCCTTATTCTACAGCAATCATATAATGCATATCAGGAGCTCTTACCTCCGGTGTGCCTGGTGATGCTTGGTGCACACGTCTCGAACATAGCCTTCTTAGAAAGAGTATTCATACTACCAGTCAGTAGCATCAGTGTCGCAACAGCCCAAGCTGGTACTCGCCATAATGCCATACCAAAGGGCAATGCCTTGAAACCCTGCATATACTCATGATAATAACTTTGCCGATCGACACGAGTAATGATGATGAGCCCACGAAGCGAATGACGCTAACAAAAAGCTATCATAACTTCACGGCTAGACATGAAATTGTCATCCTATGTTCCGGAAACTTACAACGCAGTGCTGACTGGAGGTGCCCAGAAACCAGGGAATAATGAAATCCGCCATATATATTTTACAGTACCACCGGAAACAATAAACTACTTGAACAACATCACCACAAGCAGTGGCAGCCGCAGTAGAAGTGGTGCGGCTAGCATTGTTGCCGTTACGAACAAATACTGCAACTTTCATTAATAATGGTAGTAACAGTTTACAAGGGGAAGGGCGATAAAGCAGCAACTATGTAACGACTTCTATCACTACCGTATTCTACCTCCGACGACGTCGCTTATACTAGAAAAAGCAGCGTTCCATCACTGATATAACAAACATCGACAGTAGTGGTAAATGTGGCCCGCGCTACTACAAGCAAGAATGCTACCAAGACCCCTCAAGTAGAGCTGAAAACGTAAATCTAGTTAAGTTCATTTACCAGTACTATTATCAACAGGAGCATTGGTATTGACAGCACCGGCCATTTGGGAATACGATCGTTAGATGTCGTTTAGATGTGTTGGCGACCCAACAGCAGCACCAAACTCAGACGAAGACGGTGTTGTCGCAGGGGGGGACGGCGGAGGGCTGAAACTAGGCAGTCTTCTTCTTGCTTCTAAAATTGTAGCAATTTGGCTCAAAGTCCGAGACCTCGACTCGCTGTTATCGATAGACTCCAAGGGCTTCCAACCACTCAGCCCACGAGGGCGAGACTGACGACTCTCAGATGCCGGCTCGTTGCTCGGAGGTACCAACAAAGTACCAGCAGATGATTTCGTGTAGTGGCTATTCATATTCGTTGATGATGCTGATGGTGACGTAAGCGCCGACTGTGGTTGCTGTGGCACGAATGCAGGAGCGTCCGCGTCCAGACTAGGGGCTGGAATCGTTGGGAACGAATCCGTGATGCTTGGGAAGTTGTCCGGAGGCTCATCGACCAGCGCAGCAATCATATCCTGACCGCCAGTATAGGACCGAAGTCTAAGCCTAACTTCGTCTCCCGCTGTGAAAGCACTGCTATCAGCACTGCCATTGAGCTGTTCTAATGCCTTAGCGATCTGATCCAATAGCTGGGCTTGCTCGAGGAAGTCATCTGCCGTCATAGTATTGCTCATAGCCTTCTGGGATGTCAGCAGGCTGGGGGACGAGTCGGGCGCAGTTACCAAGAGACTCGGATTCTGGTTCAAAGCAGCAGCAGTGTTACTCAGAGCCGCCAAGACAGCAGCGTTAGTAGCAGCAGCAGAGTCGCCAGTGTACTGAACCTTCTGGCCACCACCAGCAGCATTCATAAATTGAGCCTCCTTAAAGTCGACATCAGAGTACTCATTAGCTTTGCCCGTATGGAGACCGGGAATATGCCTTATCTCACTCCAGTCGTGGGCGTAATTACAGTCCGAACCATGGACACAATACCCCTGCTGGAAGTACTTGCACATTCGCGTCTTTCTGAAAACCTCGCGCTCGTGAGAAGAGCCCGCATCGCCAGTCCCATTAGGGTGAGATTCGGTAGAGCCAGGCGACGTCGGTGCCGTATCCAGCATTTGCCTACCGTTACCACCATGGGCGTATCCCCCCGAGCCTGAGTACAGGAAGACAGATGCAGACGAGACTTAACAGCAACTAGCTTACGCATGTCTGGCAGGTGCCTCAGCTCACTAACATCGTGAGCATGGTCGCATTGGTCCCCATGGACACAATACCCCTGGAGAAAGTACTTGCACATGCGAGTCTTACGATAGAGCTCTCGATGAGGAACCCCACCACCGGGAGTCCCAGCTAGACGCTGGCCCATCCCCATAGTTCCGGTCGACATAACCTGCTGATTCATTCCTATGCTGTTGGAGGCATCAAACTGGCCAAATGCGTTTTCGCCGACTAGCTGGTTAGTCTGCTGCTGATGATTCTGTAATTGAGAAAGTGGCAATGACATTAGCGATGATAAGAAGCAAATCTGTGACAAAACCCTGCATGGATGGGCTTAGGTCTCACGTAAGGGCATCCACAAGGAGTTTGCTATCATGTGTCATCTGCGTCACACCGTGACGCTGGTATAGGCCACCAACTCGCGCCGGGTCTAGTCAACTCTTCTGTCTATAGGCACAGCCCTTGTTATGGTCGTCGACTATTGATAGCTTTCTACACGGCCTAATCGAGAAGCAAACGATAGATCATCGTTAAGTGGTGGGGCTGTGGTGAATATCGAAAGAGAGAAAATCTGCCTTGCGGGAATCGAACTCACGACCTTCTCGTTTTCATATTTTTGTGGCGCGCGGTCACGTCAGAGCTTCAATGTTTCGTTACAGCAATCATGAATGTTATGGCAGGGAACATCAATTATGAACCACGCTCATATCGCACTGTCGTTAGCGTATGGTTGTATCATACAGAATGAGACATCCAGGTCGTCACGATTATTCCCCCATCGAAAACCGTCGCAATAGCGATGCCAGCACAGGGTCCAGTGTGGAGATGGAGGCTATGGGACCATCCACTACTACTACCACCACCACTGCACCAACGAGAGCCATGGTCAACATACCGGCTGTGGGGCAGGCTGATCTCACTGTCCCTGGTATCCAGGTGAGAATCCCCCGTCTTTCTGTGTCCTGTCAGGGGTCATTTCAGAGTCGATCTGACACAAGTCCCACCTCGGCCGAGAGTGGAGATGGTCCAGCTAGGTTCGTAATCATAGGAGGAGCAGGGTCAATGAATCAGTTTGGTAATATACCCGTATTATCTCTATCATACTGTGTGTACAGACATGTCACCAACGGGTGGCCAATGGGACTTCGAACAAGAGCCCAATAGGGCAGCAGCATCGCTCCGCCTCTGTATATGGGCCATGTTCCTCTTTGCATGCATGGTAATGTTCAGAGTACAGCAGGATAAGCTGGCACAGGTAGTAGCAATTGGTGGGGCGGCTATGCCATATGTCCCAAAGATATGCCTTAGTACAATAAATCTCAGCGGAACGCTATACAGTACGATCAATTTCCTGAGCAAGTAACTCAAATTCCGACAAATTGTGGAAAACACTTTCGCTCTCTCGTGGGGCAGATATGCCATATGTTAGCGATTTCTTGATCGAATAAATGGTATCTTTCCCATACTATAGCATGTGCTCCCGCACGCTGTAAGATTCTGAAACATTCGGTTTCGTTATTGGACTTAGTCACTCTAGGGGATGGATGGCTCTAGTCACACCGGCTGAGAGGTGATGCGCCATGGTTGCCCGGTCGTTAACTTTTGGGGGACACCGCTCGGCTTTGAGTCCTCCTGGGCACACTCGCTGAGGACCTCTTGTCCTTTCAACAGGCCATGGCTAACCGTCGGAGTAATGTATTGCATCTGATGGCACCTTGGGAGAAGGCCAGCTTCAATGATAGAAATTCAACAGAGCTGAGAGCTGTCTATATAGATCCACGGTACGAGGGCACCGTGAACTGCTTTGATCAAGGACATGGCGATTTGATGACGATGTGGTATCCGGTAAGGAATATGGCTTCTTTGTCAGATTGGCCACAGTGGCATCGAACCTTCGATTGGGCCAGAACCATGAGCTGGATGTGACCAAGCTACTGCCCCCCAGATCCAACGTACCATCCAGGGATATCCGCTGGGTTGAATTTCGTGGCGCGTGATCTTACTGACCACTAATACCGTCTGGCTTTCTCAGTCGTATATCCGCGAGCTGGACTCTCAGCGGTTGGTTGCTAGTGTTTTGGACGGTCCTTGGCGATCCACGTCGTACACTAGCGATGACAATGAGTCTGTCGAACAGGCCGCTAGCGATGATGTAGCGATGTTACAGAGTATCGACAAGAACCTATACGCTGCGAATAAGGTCCCATCAGCTACCTACGAGGGTCAATGGACCTGCTTCCTTTTTAGGGCGTATCGGACTTATGCCCTAGTGGGGATAAACGCTCCTGCATGATGGCTTTATTGAAGGACAAGCATCAGAAAGGTGGGGGTATCGCTTTTGGAGGGCGACTTCATATGCACGGTTGTAGGTAGTAGCTGCTTCCACTTGGCTGCATCCCCCGACGGTGGTATTGCTGCATTTGATGTCGCCAAGAACGACACAGCTGTTTGCCTTGGTAGTGAGGAAGGAGTAGAGGTAATAGTAGTAGTAGTAGTACTAGTAGTAGTAGTAGTAGAACTGTATTTAATGCCGATTGAAATCCTTACAACGGAAATAGTTATCGCAGCTGTGCTGGTTGTATTCATTGTGCGTTCTGTCGATCTCTCGAGTTGACGGGTATATCGGACTGTACCAATAGGATGTGTGAGCTTATGCTCTACCCTACAGTAGAGGGGTATGGTCATCGGGGGTCATGGATAACGCGTTCGGTTACCTTGCGGGCTGCATGTAATTGCCGTTAGAAACTCTCAAGATATGCGCTGTTGACATTGTTAAGCGTTAGAATGGGCGTAGGTTAGAGCAGCTCTCGCCTCGTGCACTCCTCCATGGAAGTCTGGTAGATTCGAGCGCTACTGCCTGATCGGTTCTCCAACAGAGCAGTGTATGTATGGAGGCCAGCTGCAGATGATGATGAAGAGGAGGAAGACTCTGCAGCCTCTGTTGATTGCGTTACTACAGTGGATACCATCACCGGGCAGTGCATCGACTCGGTGCCTGTCCATCCGGCTAGTACTGCGGGGACGACGGTACTTGTGTGAGATGTTCCTGGTAGGTTACTACGCTATGGACTTTCGAGAGGAGTCGGCCCAGAAGGGCAAAGGTTCGAGCCCCACGACCAAGTTGGTGAGTGTCACCTATGACTATCAACGGTGGCAGGCCGTGCTTCGGTACTATACTCGCGTTATTGTATTGTGCTGCAACGGAGGGTCAGGTCCTACGTTGTGGGGGGCAGTGAGGGGAAGCCTCCGGTGTCCAGCGGGCCCGAATTCAAATCGGTATTGTTCACGTCTCGAGGCCCCTTCTGGGTATTGGATTCGCCTGAAGTGTCTGACGGCTTCGTCATCCTGGTGGCTGGCACGGAGCCCCAAATTGGCATCCTCCATGCAGCGCCGCTCTATGACGCACAAATAGGGCCGGCCTCGAACCAGTGGATGAAACAAGGAGACGTTTTACGGTAGGCTTGGGTGAACCTAGGATACCCGAATGCTGATGTTGTTCAGGCGTGAGAACACCCGGTCGGCGTACTACAGACACGTCTCGAGTAAAATGGTCGATGATAGCGTGTCTGAGATCCAACAACAGAAGAGTAAGTGTTCCTGCCAAGCACTGCCGGCCCACTGATCGGGCCCTGCCTGTTTCTGGACTATTGAGTTTTGTTTCGAGAGCCTTTTGTATCCTTCCTACCTGTAACTCTTCGTTCATCGTCATCATCATCTCCCTGGTGCTCCGTGAAGCTAGTATGCAAATCCTTGGCTGGAGTTTCTCTAGGAACTTCTGTGAGTATTCAGCCTTCCCAGTAATGTACATTCGTTAAGACGACATTGTTATCTCGCCAGCTTTGAGTTTGGTTCACAGTGCCAGTAATGGTAGAAGGATCGAATGCGATACACTACAGTGGTGCTGAATGCTGCGAGCAAACCATGCAAGGAAGGGCCTCCACCCTCTGGTGTATCAAGTTTATAAAATAGCAAAGACCGGCAGAGCGACACGGCCTCCCCAGGAGGAGACGGCCCGGGTCATCCACGCAGCCACTGCTGCTATCACGGACACGTAGGGGACAGCCGTTGTGGATTGTTTATTTCTGCACCAAGGTTCACCCCGGATGACCTTAGCGTCTTGGCCTGGTCGGTGAGCAAGATGGGGCTTGGCTCTCCTTCCTTCTGGCGGGTAGTCATCAATCTCACGGAGGTCTGATGATACACCACCGACCAGCGGCTAGTGATCGTGTCTGGCAGGCGTATAGTCGGGACTTCACGCACAGATCGTCGGCACGTATGCTGGAGGCATTCGCTGGGTCAGGGGACCATCTAGGGTGCCGGTCGGGGGCGGTCTCTGCCCTTGTGGACCAACTCCGGGAGCCTCCTCCTCCTGAGGAGGGTATCACAAGCCAAGGCGTCTGCCAGTTCCTCCGGGCACTGGTGAAGTTGAAGAGAGTGGAGGAGATACCCCCCTGGTTGATCCAGCAGGGCCTTCGTCACCTAGGATCGCAAGAGGTTATTCGAATCGGAAGCTAGCTAGAGGCTTCTGCCTACCTTTAGACCGCAAACGGCTGGCGGTCTTTGGTGCCCCTTATGTGGCCGTTGTCGAGGATCCCCACAGCTGCTGATGAGGCTGTTACCATAGTCGTTGTGCTCATACGGGGAGGAAGACTGGTGAGGTGGGGTCTACAGGGACGGCCAGGACTGGTCTCCTCCAGGACTACACTCAAATGACGACGACGGACGTGGCTCTTTTGGTCCACGCGATGGCCAAGGCATGGAACACCTCCTCCCATGGGGACTGTGAGTCGCTTCCTTCCTCGTAATTGTATAGGTCTCTGCGGGCTTAGGCGACGCCCCGCCGCCTTATCGGGATGTGTTGTCAATGTTGGTGACTGAATGCGGCGTTCGAGGGTGGAAGGGCCTCAGCCCCCACGCTATAGCTGGCGTTATGTGGGCATGTGGCCGCTGCTGCCTCACCTCCCTACTCGACGAGTGCTCGGAGGACTGGCATCCCCTTATGGGCGTCGAGCTGAAGGACTTCGACCCTCAGGCTCTCGCCAACTTCCTCTGGGGGATAGGGCGCATTAACAGGAGACAGGTGCTTATCTGTCGTTGATGATCCCGCTCGCCTACCTTAGATGTCAGCTTCCGTCTTGGCTTCCCCCGTCCAGTATAGAGGCGTCCGTTTCCCATCAAAATCCTAAGGCAGATCTTTTCAGCCTCTCGATGACGGCGTGCGCCCTGGCCTATGAGGAGAACGCCGACGTTGACTCGTGAGTCGCAACGCTGTGGTGTGACGCCACAAACATTTTAATAGGCTCTTCGATACGTTATGGAGGTGCGTGCAAGACCTTGTGCACAGGCGAGCTCACAGTACGGACATTAGTACTGGTAACAGCTGATTGCTATCGAGTGTACCGGTCTTCTGTAGGCGCCGGCGACCTGGCAGCGTTGCTGTGGGCATTCTCCCGTCGAGGCCACATGGATGCCGCGAGAGAGATAACCTCTTTATGCAGGGATCACCTACAGAGTCTGCCAGCTGACCTTCGTGTCGGGCCCGAGCACGCCGAGTCGAGACCTCACTGATGTTGTGAGCATTGTCCGGGCTGAGCATTGTGGGGCATGGCCCACGCTGGCCTCGTGCTTCCTCCTCATATTGGGAGAGATATCTTACCTCGTGTTCAGGAGGATACAAGTAAGTGGCGGCGTTCTCTTCTTCTCTTCAACTCATTGCTCAGTTTCAGTGTCCTTATCTACGACCACGAGTATTGTTGCCCTCGGCCAGCTCTGTCCAACTGTGGACATTCCTCTTCCTCCTCTGATACAGTCCACCCCAGCCTCGGACCTGTGGCAGCTCGCTACTGTCCGGAATGCGTCCGTTGAGGAACGTCGCTCAGCGTTGAGCCTAGCATTGCGGAGGAGGACTGAGTACACGTTGGCAGCCGCGGCTCATTATGCGAGTGAGGCGGGCACTTCTGAGTTCTGTGGATGCTCCTTCTGCTCAGACTGCATGGATCCTCAGTCCGGCTTTCTGTATCCTTCTCGATTGCGGCTCAACGTGCTTCAAAACTTAGTCCGATCGGTCGATCTAGCCAAATCGCCACCGCGACATCTGCCTCTGTTAGCGTGCTACCTGGCCGGTATAGCCCAGCGATGGCAGCCTGCCATGAAATTAGTTTCTGTGCGTTTCTGACACATAAGGGGGAGTTGAGCTGGCGAGTTGGTGAAGGTGGAGACAAACATCCGCTGCTGTGGATTGGAAAATTTCAGCGGAGGTGACCAGTTCATACAGGCAATCAGAAAATTGTCAAGAAAACAGCATTCCCCAGCCTCAGTATGCATCTTCTCACTGACCATTATGGCGCACGATTGGAGGAACTACCACTTCGAGTGTGTCAGACACAACGTGCCTCCATAGAGTGTCATGGCTTTTGCATAGGCCAGAGTGCGAGGGTCCTCTATTGACTGGAACTTGTACCTTTTACTGTAGTGGCTGTGAGCTGCCCTTTATTCGAGAAGTTCTGGCAACGTTCGAATGTTGGACACACAGATGGTTCGAGGATAGAAGTAAAGGGTGGATGGAAGTTCCCCCAACGAAGTCACGAATAGGTGGTTGTCTCTTTGGCGGGGTACCGGCCAAATTGGCCTGGCCAATGTTTCTAGAAGTGACTGACTTGGTGTCGATTCAGTGGTGGTTCCTCCTTTGGAGAGGTTGCTCAGGCGAGGTGAAGTGTATGAGGTTGTTGTTTCTGAATTCTCCGCTATTTGGGTAACTGGCTAGACTTCAGGAACATCCTTTTCCCCTAGCAAAATAGTCATTCGAATCAACATAGATTGGTGTAGTAATCCGGTCGAATCCAATTCGAGTAAAGCACGGACGCTACGTGTAATAGATGTCCATGGCTTACATCTCTCCCTCAAACGATACTTTCCTACAGCTTCACTACTTTCCCCAGTAGATTGAAAAAATCACTTTAGTGCACTCAGAACACAGATCGCAGTCAAAGAGAGAGTGAGAATTCCGAAAACACGTCGCATGGTAACGTGTGTCCACCAAGCCTCTACGTTGCTTGTTATCATCCGGTAGACAATCACTACAAGAAAAGCCCTCGATGGTGGCGAGAGTGAAAACTTGTTAGAGCAGTGAAGATCAGACAATAGCCAACCAAAGTAGCTCTTGGGAGATTGTGATATCGATGGAACCGAAAATCACTACCACTGACTCTAATTATGAAGAATTGTCGAGTTGATGGTTAAGCCAAAAATGAAACGGTGAGATGAGATGAGCCAAATGTTGTATCGCGTTGAGTTCGAGACGAAATGTAAGAGTCGTGGTAAATAATGTCGACGAGCATCCCATCATTTTTTGGATGAAGTTCACTTAGAGATGAGAACAACCCCACCAGTGAGTCAGACGGTGGGATGTGTACAAGCGCCCTATGGGACAGCGAGGACCAGTGCGAGTAACGCTGACATCCGCTGACTATAGTAGGGAATTGGCTCGAGCCGTGTTGTACTTGACCAAATTGAGACATTCTGCCAACATCATCTAACGCGCCTGGATTCATCAATCACACTAGCCCGACAGAGAATGACTCCACCAGGTCGTGAATCGAATGAGCATACTCACACTCCTCGTCAAAGCAGTTGGAGGAGTGTGGGACAATATGCATATGGTCAATTGATAGGTCAATTTATTGGGCGAGGTTAAAGTGAGGCGCGCGCGATTGCAACGGGGGGGTAGAACATATGGGGACCATACCTGAGTGCCTCCACGATTTTACCCAACCCTCCTCATCCCATGTTATCTGGGAGGCCTATGTTGCCCCGCGGAGACGTATAGCGACAGACCATTGCTCGATAGTTGCTGCATATGCACAACTAGCATGGTAGTACCGCGGCCAACATGGGCGGTTCGGGAAAGATAGCCCATTGCTGATAACTGCACTCTACAACTTGTAACTCGATAATCAGTTCGAGAGCAGCTGTCAGCTGGGAAAACAGGCGGACCAGCCGATGGTCCTTTGGCACGTTAGCTATTACTCGACACTTCTAGCCGTGTGTTAGCTGCGTCAAGAATAGCTGACGCCTTTCACCGAATCAACTACCCAACACTCTTAGATAACAAGCTGGGCATGTTCTCTATGAATAGTCAGTGAACAAAAATCGACTCTGGAGGTCAACATAGTGAATTAGGGAGCCGTCGATGTCTAGGCGTGTAGGTACTAGTACTTTGGACGTCGAGCCTTCGGCCTCTATATATATAGGAGATTCGCCCGCCCAGGACATCGACGGCGGGAATGTGTGCAATCGCGTGGAACGATACTTTAACTACATGTGTTGTTGATAACATGAAGTCTATAAAGAAATTTAGGAAAATTCTAATTGTTTTCCGTACACTTCTACATGGATATGAAAGTAACTTCATTGACTCGCTTGAGGAAAGCGAACATATATTCCAACGCTGAGCTGGGGCGCGTACAAACCTCAGCCTTACACAGATTGAAACACCTCCTAGAGCTACATTGATTTCCAAACCTGCAGTTCCCTCGAATAAACTGTCAGCGAACCTAGAAAACGAACAGTGTGACGTCAAACCGGACAATGAACTCTCCCTCACTCAAATGATTAGTCCTTTTTGCTCGTGAAGGAGCTGCTGCCGTATTCATGAAAATAAATGTGACCGCAGCACGCTGTCAAGCCATCCGACCATCTGAATAGTTTCTTCTGTTGCGGAAAGACATGTGTGTGTGCGAGACGGTAGACCAACATGAGACCTATATAGCGCAAGTACTGTGCATATCCCGTGCCACGCAAGACCACCAGCTGCTATCTCAAAATATGATGATAATAATAATAGTGGTGACACGTAGTCTAAAACACCATTCACGACGGCTCATCTACGCCGACGTGTGTACGATCGTTTAGTAGTGACCTGAATACACCGTTGCCGTCACCAATGGCTGCAACTGTTACCCCCTATCAGTCCTTCTCATCCATATCCGGCTGGAGGGACGGGAACTTCTCCAACATGTCGCTTCTGAAGCTCCTCCACCTAGGCTGCAGATAGCAGGCCCAGGACACTTGAAAGGCGATAAGGACATTGATGGTAGTAGCTGAGAACAATCCATGCAGATCACCACTGTCTTGAGAGTCGAATTACTCAAGTAGAGGACGAAGGTTCTTCCTCCGTTGCCGCCCACAGTGGGACCGATCTGAGCCGTCCTGAGCGGCGGTCCAATACGATTGAACAACACCGGAGTCGGCCTGAGGAGACTTCCCATCGTTGAACGTATCATAGGGGGAATCCAAACTGATACTCAAACGCGCCTCCCAATAGCACAACGAACATTAGATCGGAAATAGAAATTGGCGGGGGCATGCTTCATTGGCCTCAGAGGCACTAATTACTGCAGAGCCCACGTGTATGTCGGGAGAAAGCTGCTCGGGGTAGCAAGGACTCGATTTCCCATGGGAGGGCCGCCGGGTGGGACGCCCCACACTCGTTGTTGGAATGACGGCACTGGATAGGACGGCACTGTGCCGAGCTGAGCGACCAAGAAACAGTAGGAAAGAGATGAATACGGCTAGGCACCTTGCGGGGGGGCTCGGGCCTATCCCTTGGCGGGCCCAAAGTCTCCTTTGGGGCAGCGAAGGAGTCATCCAGAGATAAGAAGGATGACGAAGAGACATCCAGAATCTGCAGAACACCGAATTCCACACCGCCGGAGTGAACTATATTCTACCAAGGAGCTTTGATTTAAGTCACGAAAGCTCTGCAAGGGAGATTGCAGCTGGCGGTGATACCTATTATGGCTGACGAACGACTCGTGGAGGGATGGGCTGAAGAGGAGTGTGAGATTATCGTTGCAAATACGACTCACTTACAAACCGTATGGCGGGGCGAGGTTGGTCTCCGATGGAGGTCGTTGCTTGGACACTCTCACTGTCACCTACGCGTAGACCATAGCAAGGGTCATCTCGAGGGCGCTTACAGGCGTCCTTGAGGGCGAGTTCTTCACAGCTGACACACCTGACATGAAGGCCCCAAGCCGTCAAGAGAGGAGGACCCCTGGTCACCTCGCTGAGGCGGGAAGCATACTGATAAGTTACCACTGGGGAGGGGTCGGTACTGCACCGATGGAGACGTGGCCACGAACGACATCTGCCCATGACGGAGGGGATGCGTTGAGCTCAGGCCCAGGGTACTTGAGATGGCTGGTCGACAACCGGAGGGCTGTGAACAACGCTTCGATGGAGGTATTGTGGCAAGTCCCTAGGCTGCTGGAGAGACGCCGGAGCAGCTGCTTCTTGGTGCAGAGTCTGCTGTTCAACCACGCTAGTCTGCCTTGCAATAGGGACGCTACCCGCAGAGTCGGCACGCGTGCTAGACCGGAAGGTACGCCTTGGTCCCTTTGACGCGCCCGAGGAGGCGACTTGTGACGTCTGGTAACTTGCTGGGTCGAGGATAGCTACACGCATTATACCCTCGATGGTGACACGATGGGCCTACCCGTAGCACAGGTTGTGGTAGAGGTGGCTGAGGGGCCCCTATGGAGGTACACAAAGGATGCGACAAGACCTCGGCGATGCTGGACCGACGACCTGAAGGAAATAGAAAGATGGTCAGGATCCTCTGGCCGAGTCGCGACCCTCATCCCTGACCAACAGCCGGCGTACAAGGTCCTCAGCCACTAGGGGAAAGTCGATGGGGAAGGACAAGCTGAAAGGCCAATAGGAAGGACAACCTCGTGTAAGTCACCATCACTTCACGTTAATGATATTGCTGACGACAGTCCTCTGGTCAGTTGCATTGAAGGGTGGGCGTCCAGCCAGCAGCTCATACAGCAGAATGCCTAGGCCCCACAGGTCTATGCTGTGGTCGTGCCCACGACCCAGCAACTGGCAAACGTAAAACATCATGGAGTGTAGGAGCGTAATAGCAAATACCATCTCTGGAGAGAGGTAGTCCAGAGTGCCACAGAAGGTATGTCTTCTAGCATGACTTCGCGTAGTATAACCAGATACTACAGGAGCGGGGAACTCGGCACACCAACCAAAGTCGGCCAGCTTTAGAGTATCGTCAGCTGCGACAAGCAAGTTCTCCTGTCAGCAGACTGTGAAAACTAGGCAAACGGTGACCAAGGAGGCTACCGGTTTTATGTCACGATGCATGATACCGTGGGAGTGCAGATGAGCCACCGCTCGGGCGGCCATCAGGAAGTATCTGACGATGCAAGCTAGAGTCAGCGGGGGGATGAAAGCAGTGTAAAAGAATATGCACATGATCAACTACATGTAATGGGGATAATACGGAGATTCGGGAGAAATTTCGGGAAATTTTTGTTAGTTTCTGGGCAATTTTCATTGAATTCGTGTGTAAATTTCTATAGTTAGTGAAGAAAGCGAACGACTGTTCCAATACGGGATATGGTACTCACCGAGCCGCTCTTTCTACAGGGAAGCGCCGTTTCTGCTGGGTCCGCAGGAGGTGGTAGAGTTCACCTAGGAGGAGGGGACACAGGTCTTGTCAAGAACGTGGCGAACAACATTGCCCTACCCTTGGCACAGTATTCTAGTAGTAGATAGACGTGCTCCCTGTCCTCAAAATGGGAGTAGAGTCGGAGTATGTTAGAATGTGCCGGTAGCCGGGATTGAACCGAGATCTCTCGCTCCACTTGGGCTGGTCGGTACAGAGTCGCTACTGATTCGACTAAAGGGGCCCACCTGCCAGGTGCCCTTGCTCAACATCACGTTTACGGAGAGTTTTGAGGGCATAGAGACGGCCTGTATAAGAGGCTTGGGAAGGGCGATGGGCAACGAGGCCCTTACCAGAGGGGTCACCGCGGATCTTGACACATAGGACTTCACCAAAGCTACCTTTACCGAGCTTCTTCTCATCCTTCCGGATGTCCCGAAGACTGGTGTTTCGGGCAAGTACTGGACGTGGAGGGTAGTCGTCGGAGTCGCTCAACGTTGTGTGACCCGACAGGCCTCCACCGTGCCCTGACCACATGCATGCAAGTACATCATCAGCGACATGCCTCGGCCGAACGCCGTCCCGGCCCTAGTCCTACCTAAAGTCACTTTGACAAGGTCGTCCAAGGTGATACCATGCAGGGCCGCATCGGGTGGTTGCGCATCAAGACCCCTTATGAGGGTCGGAGAGAGAACCATTGACCATTCGTGGTGTACCACGCAAACCATGCGTTCTCAGATTTAACCTAAGTGCACAAAATGCATGAAAAGACTAGTTAGATCCGGAAAGTAGTCGGTCGCACCACGATTATGGTTAATGAGGATTTACCACGTACAGGGGGTGCCCGACCGTCGCCTCCACTCATACGTGCACTTGATGCCCTAAGTCGTGGAGAAGACCTGACCGTTGACGACATTGTATCTTGTAGTAGGCACTCGTCCGCCTTGTTCGAGAGTGTTACGCCCACTATAGGGCTATATACATGGGGTAAGACCACCAACCTGGCCTTGGGGTACGGACAGTTCTCCCATAGTGCTGACCAGAACCGGGCAAGGCAGGTGGTCTTCCCCAATGGCGAGGTGCCCGCCGCTATCTCCTGTAGTGCCTTCCACACAGTATGCGTGTGCCAGTCGGGCCATGTGGCAGTGTGGGGCTTCGGTCAAGGCCATAGGCTGGCGACCGGTGATGCTCAGAGCCGCGTCGACCCTGTGCTGCTGGGCTCTGGAAGGTTCTCTGGAGTTCCCATCACGAAGGCCCTAGCGTCAGTAGACAACTCGATGTTCCTAGATGCAGAAGGGCATGCCTACTTGGCTGGCAGCAACAAGTTCGGCCAGTGCGGTCGATCACTACACGTGGACGTCTGCAAGGTCCCCACCATTGTTAAGCATCTCACTAGTCCCTGTTGCGATATTGCTATTGGGGATAAACACTGCATGGTGGTAGACGCTGACACTCAGATGGTCCTGGCTTGGGGCGACAACTCTGCAGGCCAGTTAGGGGTCGACTTCACGCAGGCCAGTGTCGAACCCCAGACGGTCTCTCGTCTCAGGGGAGTTGGTCGAGTCTTCGCCAATGGTACACTTTCGGCGGCCCTGAGGGGCAACGGTTCCGAGCTGTACATATGGGGCGGAGGGGTGTGCCCTTTGCCGACTAGGGTGCGGGTAGAGACCGCTACTGAGGGGAAGGCGGGCCGGGATGGATGGACAGTGCAGGCCATCAGCGGGGCTGTCTTCGTCTCGATAGCACTACCACGAGGGTCTAGTCGTATTGTCTTATTATCAGCAGCAGGAGACCTCTACACTGTTGACCTACCTACTGTTAGGGATCCCAAGCTTCAAGGTGGGTATTCGCTGGTGGCCCGATGTGCCCATCACTTTGACGACGCTGATGTGACTGCACATAGTGTGTGCATCTTCGGGGACCGGTGTCTAGTCCAGATGGAGGACGGTCGAATCTTCGCGAGTCGGTTGCGAGATCTGACCCAATGGGAGGACATAGGGACGGAGGTGGGCCTCGGTCAAGCTGTTGCCATCAGCGGGTCGCCCAGCCACGCAGTCGCCTTGGTGAAGAGCAACCTTCCAATCATCCCAAGGTCCCCCAGGGGTCGTGTTCCAGGCCTGCAGGTATTGGCTCAGTGCCAACTTGCCCGATCCGACGTCCATATCGGTTCTATTATGAAGGCGACCTATGAGCTGTGCGTAGCTGATGCCCTCGCATGTGGGTTTGTGAGGTTCCCTCTACTAGTTGACTACTGCATAGTCACTTTCCTTTGCAATATCCTTTTACTATATGCTAAGTCGCCAGACACTGTGATAAGATTGTTGAAGTGCCTAGCCCCTCTGCTGAGACATGTGGTGGCGCGGCGTGAGCGGGGAGAGCTTTCTTTGTACTATCAAGGGCTGTACGACAGGCCAGCGGATATTCTGAATACCCTCTTATCACAGGAGGATGCGGTCCAGCATATGGTCAGTCATATGGCTGTGCTCAGGCACGAGGAGGAGGGAGCAGAAGCCGCAACGGTAGTAGAGGAGAAGCCGAAGGAGACTGGAGGGAGGGCCACCAGTGCCGCGGTGGGAGGCTCGTTGGACAGCCTTGAACACCGTCAACAGAAACGACTTGACGCGGTCGTCAGGAAACAGGAGGTCCTCACCGAAGGCGTCCGACGGAAATCGATCGGTGATGGTGGTAACCGTCCTGAGTGGAAAGAAGTCCAGACGGTTCAGGCCAAGGCGGCGAGAGAGGGCCAACCGAAGAGCCCTTCTTCTGCCTCCCGATCTCGTGCAGGTTCGGGTTGCATGTCGTCTCCTCGGTTACGGTCGACTAGCAATATTTCGGACTCCGGCCCGCAGCCCCGTACGCCTACTCTTGGTGACTTCATTTTCACGGCGACGAGGGCGCCGCCGCAGGTCCACGCGAGGTCGTGTCCTTGGGCGAGTTCGCCTAAAAAGAGTGAGGCGCGGCTGTCCGAGGTGATAGAGGAGCAGAGGGCCAGCAGCAGCAGCTCATCATCTTCTGCTAGTGCTCGGTTACCTAATGACCGTTGCTCTTGGGGCATGGACGTGACCCCTGGCGTGCGCCGACCTAGTGCGTTGACGGCCGTGATGGAGGAGGAGAGGGCGGCTCGGGAGGCTGTGAGGTTGGTGGAGGAGTTCGAGAGGAGTGAGCGGGAAGCTAGACGACTGGCGGCTATCGAGGAAGCTGCGGCCCTGCAGCGACATCAGGAGGATCATCCGAGACGACAGCGGCGTCCACAAGGGCATGGTCGGCATGGTAAGGGCAAAGGGCGTGGGAAGGGCCGATGGGTGGAAGATCCCCCAAGGGCACCTACTGGTAGAGTCTAATAGTTTCTCGTACATTTATTCGCACTATTTTCAAGGAGTTACGGTATTGTTGCGTGTTTGGGGGCATGAGGATCTTTGGTAGTATCATATGACTTATCATCATGAACCACCTTGTGATGGTAGTCGGCTGCCTCTCCCACCCCGTCAACCTTACCGCACTAAAAACGACAGCAGGCGTAAAGCGCAGGCTAGGGAATACCCCCGATCGATCATGATGATGGCCACTGACTTTAAGCCAATGACAAAAGGGAAGGGCAGAAGGTCAAAGCAAGTCTCATTGACCCTCGGCGAAGCGGAGGAGCTCAGCCGCACAGTACTGCTGACCAATATGCCCTTGCCGCCCAAGACGGCAGTATCAGATCTGGACGTTGTAGAGACGGCCACTGCTGTGAGGAAGTTCTATACTACTTGGCTTGGCACCTACGGCCCGCCAGAGAAGGTAGTATCAGTAGAGCGTCGTACGAGGACTGTTGTGTGCCTATCCAGATCGAACTGTGTGACCCTGAGGGCTCTCTGGTTTGTATATACGCCCAGAGAGATGCCGCACTGTTGGCGGTGGATTGGATGCATCAGAGTCGGCCTGTGGTGGCGGGGACGAGAGGCAATGCCCGGGATGGACAGGTAGGCTTCACTGTCGGTATTATGCGGCTTGGTGTTCTCTCTGACTAGTAGGTTATTGCGACGCTCGCCTCCAATAGACGCGAACTTCACACTGTAGATGGGCGCAAGGTGGGAAGAGGCTTTGTTGGGTGGTTGATCGATCATAGTAGATATACTCGTATGAGGGTGTGTTGCCGTTTACTGTGACGAACGGTCAGCTCTCGGATAGTAGAGTGACAATGATCATCTGTCTCGAGAATCTACCACCAGAGACGACGTGTGAGGAGGTCTATGCGGTCGTCGGCAGATTCTCTAGGGTAGGAGGGCCACGATGAGCGTCTCAGCTGGATGGAAATTTGTAGTCGGTGTACATCCCTCCGGAGACCCAGGCGGGAGGCAAAGTTATGTGCTCTTTCCGAAGCTCTGGGGAAGCTCATCTGTTTATGGCTGCTGTGAATTATGCATGTGGGGACGGTGCTGTGTATTTGGCTGAGGAGACATACCGCAATTTCGTAAGATTCTGCATCTTCGCTTCGTGGAAGGGTTGCTCATAGGTACCCCGAAGTTGGATAGTAGCTAGGGTCCATGCTTACAAGTACAAGGCCCCATTGATCAGGAGTAGGAAGGATTGCCTGCCGTTCGGCCTTGGGGGCGGGCTGGACGTTGAAAGCTTCCTTTTTAGGGGGTCCTTCGATAACGCCTCTGTTGTCGATGGCACGCAACCATTACAGGGCATTGGATGTGTTATTGAATATTACGAGGGAGAGGCTGGACGCGGATAGAACATCCAACATGGATAGCATTTGTAGCAATGATGGCAGTTCGACTACTAGGAGCAATTTGGATGAGAGTAGGCTGTGGGGATCGAACCTCTGCGGTAATTGAGTAGTCGGGTTATTAGGTGTGAGGTGTCCTCCAAGTTCGAATCGTTCAACTCCACGGCCGGCGCCGATGCTGATACCTCCCGCGGCGTTCCAAGATCCGATCGGCAACTGTTTAGTGTTCAATGTAATGCCCGGCAACAGTTCTTCCCATGATAGTAGTGCTTTTCGTCCCAGCCCTTCGCCGTCCATGCTCTAAGTAGAGCCTATGAGATGCTGGCTGGTTGGTATCCCCCAGGGTCTTTGACTCTGGTCAAGCCCGACACGATCGGGAGGCATCAGATGAATGCTCACTCTCGGTAGCGGCGTGAATGGCTATGCTCTGTTCATGTCTGAGATCAGGCAAGGTCACATGGCTGATGCTATGAACAGGTCAACTCTGACACAATAGGGAACTTGTCAAGTACCCGTTGTTATAAAGTGTATGTGTTATATGACCGTTGCGTTCAGTCTTTCATTGGAAGTGCTGCCGTGTCCAATTAACCGATGCGTTTCAAGCTTCCTCGGCTTTATTGTGTTTGTTATTTTGAAAGTGCGGCTAGCCGACACCAGTACACTCGTTGTTGTCATCATAAAAACTAACGGACACGAGATCAGACTTTCCCAAGCACATCGGTGATCTCCTTTGGGAGACTTCCCAATTCACATAATATGCACTAGGCGTGTTTGCTGCATTGCCGTTGTAGTTTACCACTCGTCTTGGAAACGCCTCGTACTTAGGTGTACGTCGTGGATCTGTCGGAGCACCGTGCTCCCACGGAGGAGTCAGATAGGTGCCTATCTACAAACCAGAGCCAACTTATGATGTCTCTATTGAGGCCCTTCTATGTTCATGATGTATGCTGAAGTCATAGCGCGAAAGCATTCTAATCGTCACGCTCCTCTCTTATAAGGAGAATTTCGAGACGATGTTTGAGTAATGCCACTCACCTATCCATTACCAATTCACCTGAACTGGATATGTGAGTACCCCTTTCCCCAAGAGTGTCTCAATTGAGATCCTTGAGGAAGCCTTCAACACCCGACGTTGAGATGTTGAAGGCGCGCGTAAATCGATCACGTGATCGATTTGAGATCGACCAGCTACCTCATCGCGTCCGAACCCCATCGACATCCATCCACGCCTCATCATGGCCGATCAGGTACTAGTTGGTAGTGTTGTGATGCATCGCGTGCTTGTTAGTGTGACTCGTCGCCTAGTACGTGTTACATCGCGATTTTTTACGTGTATTTTATCGTTATTCGTGGCTTCGTGACTGTATAGGTATAATGTGTCACTACTTGGTGTGAACTGTGGTGGTATTGTTTGTTATTATTTCAGCACGAGAAGGCTTTCCAGAAGCAGGACGCTGTCTTCCTTGGCAACAAGAGGGCCCTCAAGTCCAAGAAGGGTCTTCGCTGGTTCAAGAACGTCGGTCTTGGATTCCAGACCCCTAAGGAGGCCATCGAGGGAACCTACATCGATAAGAAGTGCCCCTTCACTGGCAACGTCAGCATCCGTGGTCGTATCTTCCGCGGTATGGTGATCTCTAACAAGATGGAGAGGACTATTGTCGTTCGTCGTCATTACCTTCATTACATCAAGAAGTATAACCGTTTCGAGAAGAGGCACAGCAACACCGCCGTGCATTGCAGGTAACAACCAGATTGAATCTAGTATTCAAGACTTTGGTTTACTCCTCTCAACACAGCGAGATAAATCGTTCCTTTCAGTCCCTGTTTCGAAGCCAAGGAAGGTGATATCGTCACTTGCGGTCAGTGCCGTCCTCTCAGCAAGACTGTGCGTTTCAACGTGTTGAAGCTCGAGAAGAACCAGATCTTCGGTACCGCCAAGAAGCAGTTCCGTCTGTTCTAAAAAGCCGTAACTCATAGCTGGAATGAAGGCTGATGGATGATAACGGTCGTTTGGGAAGATAGCTTCTTTCCGATCAACAACATCTTGTGTTGTAGTTCACCACAATCCGGGGAGGTGAATGTCAGACTTCGATGGGCTCACCCCTGAGGCACGTGTCCACATCGTCTTCGCTGTGCTACGCTTCATCACTGGAAGGGGCAGAATCGTATTACTTGTTCAGGACAAATAATACAGAGTTTTAATCACAATATCCTCGTATTGGTTCTATCGTATCGTATCGTATCGGCTTAGGGCCGATTCAATGAATGAGTGCTGGTTTCCATAGCTAGCTAATTAGATGAAGTTAAGGAACTAGGAAGGAGCTTAGGTTTCTTGATGAGTTGCTCTGGAGGGCACGAAGTGATAGATAGGGGTGCACACCTGGGATATACGATAGTTCCATAAGTGCGGTGGTTGTTGCGGCGGGGAGGAGGAAGGGTGGCGATCACGTTGTGATATGCGGTGCAATGCGGGAGGTGCTTTATACAGTGTACACTAACACAACACTGTTTAGATAGAATGGAAATCATGTCAACACTTCAGAGTAGTAACTCATAGCAAAACGGCGGGTCCATTGATCCAGCCGCAGAAATCACGTTGGCTGATACCAAGCCGTCCATCATTGCATAGAGCATTGAGGACAAAAGTGAGCTCATCGTTACGGAATGATATCCCGGCCACTTGACCTGAGGAGAGCCTTACCATTTCTGTGGGGGCGCGGGAGTGGTACCACTGAGGAGGTTGAATTCATCAGCAGTCATTCCTTCCTGAAAGTTGGACCTGGCGTAGGAGTTGAACATCTGCTCGGTGTTCGCGTTCTGACGGCGAATTTGTTGTCGAACCTGTGGTGGCTGTACATAGTGAGCAGAAGTGATGAGTCTCACTCGATCCAACTTCCTTGATTTCATGACGCCCATTACGGTGGCGAATACTCCGATGAGAAATACATAGAAACCAAGTAGAACCGCACCGAAATACCTAGAAATGCTGATGTTGCCGGCGGCTGATGAATGGTGACACCATATTTGATTATCCCAGAGTGTGGCGAACGTCATAGTGCCGAGGAAAATGTACCAAATCCCTCTACCTGTGAACCGTGTTAGGAAGGCGAAGTACTTGATGATGAAAGCCTACCACACAAGGCTGGGTTGGCTATGGCAAGCTGCTCGCTCACCTGCACTTCAACGATGCCTTTGAATCGCACTGGTGCATCGAGGAGCATCATCTTGGTTCCAAAAAGGAGGAGGTAGACGCAGTCAACGAGATCGAAGGGAGCTATCTCGGTTAGGAAGACCTGTCTAGGAATTCGAGAAGGAGTGGTATTGGTTGAGATGTTCACCTCAATAGTAGAGATAACACTGGCGACCACCACACAACAGGCTGCCGTGAAGAAAATGATGTCCATCGTCATCGACATCTGAGTGGCTTGAGCCTTCCATGCTACTACAGTGCTGACCACGCTCTGGGCTCCTGATCATCACCAGACGTGGACATGCACACTCACGTGTCGGGTACCTCCTTCGAGGTCTACTCGACGGAACCCTTGGGCGAAGGGGTTGGAGGGACGACTCATTGAGGATGGGTAACTTAGTTCACAGAATTATGGTACTCACACAATTCAATAATCATCATAACCAGCTACATCGATGATAAGTAAACAACAATCATCATTTTCCCATGGAGGAATCTGAGTATAGTGCATCCCTGATCGTCAGCGTCATGGTCGAGACTAACCGCTGTAGGTGACTCCACAGACTCAATCTTTCGCAGATCTGTATGAAGCCAGTGGGCCAGGCAAGCCACACGACTCCGATGGCCCTGCTATTAATTCCGAGGGCGAACCCGAGCAATGTTCTCGCGAGTCGAATCCTCTCTTGGTGTTCAATCATGGTTGCTCATTCCTTCACTCCCCATCCTTTTCTCGTCACTATGGCCCAGGTGCTCATAGCACAATAGACACGCCAACAGAAGTATTGTACTCGTGAGGCTTTGCAGGAGTAGGGGACTACGTGCATGCAGCAGAGAGCTTCCCTTACTGATGAATGCCCTTCTATACATGCTTCAGAGGACCACGCCTCTTGCCCTCTTGTACAATACGAAGGAGAGTTAACTGACGAGTGACGCCCTACCTGTGGCCGATAATTTACAAACACGAAGCGAATAAGAGTGATAACAACCAATACATCACGTCATGCAGTATTATAGCGACCTCCACCCTTCACTACTCCGAGTGATACTTCTTCATCGCCTTGAGCTGGGCCCTCAATGCAGCCTCTTGTTCTCGAAGAGGCTGCAATGCGGCTTCGTACTCAACCTCATACGCATCGAGGGCTGCTCTAATCCGACCTTCTTCTTGACGATCCCTCTGAGACAAAAGCCACTTAGAAGAAGGATTCAACCTCAAGGTAACAGTTGATTAGTTGCAGTATCGGACCTCTATTTCGAGCTGCAGCTGAGCATCTCGTGCCTTGAGGACGTTCACTGAAGCGGTGACGTCTTCGAACTCCCGTACTTGCGGTATTATTCGATTTCGTAGGGCGCGGTCGTGCAGAACGATCGTGCAGATGTAGCCGATGATCGATAGTAACAATACGATGTTGAATCCATAATGGACCTAAACAATCGATTTCAGAAGTGCATCTCAATAGTAGCAGAAATGCGATTCTCTCATTAGTGCGAGAGTCTACGCTGCAAAGCTGGGAGCACTTAGGTGGTATGAAGAATGCAAGGATAGAGACATACCCGTCTCAATATGGAAGAGCGCCTATCGCCTCCTGACTCTGATGGTCGTAGTAGCTCCTGATGTTCCACTGTATGTTTCAGGGGAGATCTCGCCAACATGTCGTTCCCGAAACTAGAAGCTCGTTTGCGTGTTCCCTCGAGGATAGAGTCCAAGGCATCCCCCGACGCTGGCCGGAAGGGCTCTACGTACATGTTAGGAACAGCTTATGGAGTAACTGTTGAGGAAGGGTGGGGACAATCTTAGCAAACACCACAGGCGATGCGACAGGAAGCATCCTCGAATGCCTCGAAAAAGACGCGGGGCGCGCGCTTTATACGTCGCTCTGCTGCGGCACATTGCACTACGAGCACGCAGGTGCCACGCCCTTTGCAGTGTGCAAGACGTTGTGCTTGGGCGTACCCTCTCGCATGGGATGTGTCTGCGGACCTCCATGAAGTGTCTTTGTTGGTGCCCGAATTAGGAGTACTCCCAAGCCTCACACAGTTTCCATCGTAGTGTTTATTTCTCTCACTTTGATGCCGTCTCAGGGCAAAGATCCCTATGCCCAGTATCCGAGGCTTAAGGCGCCTATGCTGCCACAGCCTCGGTGGGCTGGCAGGCCGACCTGGCGGTTGTTGAATTCGTCCGACTCGGTATCTCCCTTCTCATCCGAGAGTTGCACCAATACTAACCTGCTCACTCATGATTACCCTAAAGCACGGATGCGAGACAGCGGCGATGCCTCGACTCTTGCTGGTAGCGAGAGTAGCAGCAGTCGGTCTGTCCAGGGGTGCTCAGAGGTGCCTCCCAATGCTCAGTGGGTTTACGATGGACAACACCAACAGTCTATGGTTGGTACATGTGATGGTCCCTGTGGGCCTTACTATGGGCCGCCCTGTATTGAGAACGGTTATTACCCTACGGATTCGAGGGTAAATTATGCTCAGCCCCCGATGACGGCAGCACCACATGGTTACTATAATGCTACCCACCTGTACTCTGGTGTTTACTACAGTGCGCCGGCTCCATCCTTTGGTGCACTTGTGGAAGGGAGTTCTTCTCATGGTGATTGCTCACCAAACTCGGACGTTCCGCTGAGCTCTCCGGTCACGTATCCACCTCAGTACTGCTACTATCCAGAAGTCTATTCAGGGCAAAATGCTCATGGGATGATACAGTCTTGGCAAGGTATGCCCGTTGGTCAGCATATCTACCCGGCCACCCAATATCAACAACCACCCCAACAGTATAATACTTCTGCTCTTGCGGGCAGTGTTAACTGCCATTCTTCTCAATGTAATGGCGTATATACTATGCCCACCCGAACGCACCAGGAGGACTACTCTGCGGCACACGTGGCTCTGTCATCGTGGGTCCCTCACTGCTCGAGAGAGCAGTCCTTGCCGCCTCATCATCATCCTGGGGTCTATCAAGGCCGCTGGGAGGTGGAGCCATCACTACGTCAACCTTATGGTTACCCCACCAGCAGTGCTGCGCCCTACTATGAAGGTTACTATCACCAGAGCAATGGTCATATGATGCAGTATTATCATACACGTATGCCACCGGGCACTGGTCAAGGGGGTATGGTCCATCAAGTTGACCATCCTCCTAGTCCCGTATCTGGTCGCTCCCATGTGTAATGGTCTACGTATAATTGATGGTCAAGACTTTTGAATCTAGGGTTTGTAGTTGTCTTAGGCTGTACTGCCTGAAATCTTCTCACTGTTCGTTGCTTCGTTTTCATATGGTACTACTACTATCACATCCACAACACAATTCGAACCGCGTTTGTTGCTGATCTTCTAAGTTGCGTATTGGATTGCGTCTCCGTGGAAGTACTGTCCTCAGTACTGAAGTCGCTATTGCCCCTCCTCATTTTACTGTACTTCCATTGCTGCTCTACTCGCATCTATCTCGATGTAATATTAAATATTTTTTTGGTATTTCATGATTTTGCCATTGACTCAACCCTAGAAGCCGTACAGGCACGAATCTTGTTAGTGAAAGCCCCCTTGAAAATAATTGGTCTGCTCCTCGTTGGCATTGACGGCATCATTTGCTGTGTGTCATCGTGTATGCTGAATAAAGCCTTTTCTATGCTTGCCGAGTTGCCTAATTTTAGCGTCGTTGATCATGGTCGGCCGAGTAATGTAGGGGAAACTCTTTTTGACGCGCCGCTATCGGAGTGTTCTGATCATTATAGATGTTGGTATATGCCACCGCAATACTCGCTTCAGAGGTAGACTCTCATCAAGCATTCCGTCTCGGTAGTGGCATAGTGATAGCCGCAGCCGCTTAGTAAGTTTCCGTAGGCCTCCATTTTGGAGGCTTCAGATTTCGGGTGTCCTCGGTTTTGGTGATTATGTTGTGTTCGGACGCTTTTAACATCCCTTGGTGTAGATGTCATTACTCCAAGTAGTTTTTTTTCTCTTTTGTATGCCCTCTCGGTTAATTATCCCTTCGCATCTACCACGAGCGCGTGCCTCCGAGGACTATACTCAAGGTAGGCCCCGAATGCTGTCGAAGGCCGTGGTATCCGCTTACACCGTGATTAGGAATGCAGTCACAAGATTGGGAGATATCAGACTCGAATGAGATCGAGTTCCCAGGACGTGGCACGAGAGCACCGCCTGTATCGCCGACTCATGGAGGAGCGGAAGAATTGCTTCCATCCGGCCAAGTATCGTCATGATGGACGACCTTCATTGACCTATTTCGTTGTATCGTCAGGTTGCAGACCCCATAATACCGAAACGGTCGTCGAGTATCGCGTCTTACTGGGTAAGTCTGACGATATTTAGTGCTGGAGAGATCTTGGATGATCTCGTGATACGTCGGGTTGTTCTATTCTCGTTTGGCTCAGTCGCTCTTCTCCTCTTACGTACGAAGGGTTATTTCGGCTGCTTGTCCGCTGTCTTGTCGCCCGGGCGGTGGGATAGAGCTTACAAGAGCTTCAGCTGGCGGCCGGCCAGCGCATGTATGCGTTGTTGAAGTCGCAATGGATGTTGATGTTATCTTAACTGGTAGTACCGGCTTAGATGGTCCGCGTCGCTCAACTGAGGGTTTTTCGGCTGATTATTTCCAAATCTCCGGAGGAAAGTTTTAGCTGAAAGAAGAGCAGCATGAATCTGATTCAGTTCGATCTTGGTGGCCGAATGATCTTTCAATCGAAGAAGTTCGAGAGCACGGGCTGAACCAAGCACACGCCTCTGCGAGACAGTGGTGGAGAGAGAATAATCGCGAATTTGCTGGCCAGGGATTGAATCTGCAGGAGACTCCTTATTTCAGGGTATGAGAGTACGCTGCTTCGACCGTCCTTGCCTCGAGTGTCGGCTTGGATTGATTTCCAGGTACCCGCTGACTCAGATGTAGTGAAGCGAGATTTGCTGCCGCTGGTGGTGTATTTTAATGATGGTGGCGAGAGTGATGAATCTGATGATGTCTGGTCGACGCCGTCCTCACGAGCTCCAGACTCGGAATGTGCCATATGCCTTGATTCGGGCAGTGATTGTCATCTACGAGCATGTCATCATGGGTTCCACCATGAATGCTTGACGAAGTGGTTCTGCAAATCTCGGAAGTGAGTCTTATTTATGGCAACCTACTGAGAGCTTTCCCTTTTAACAGGTTGTGTTGTCCATTGTGTCGTTCCTCATTGGATTCCCTGATCCCTGAGAACGTTCGTTCCAAAGTCGCCGACACGGTGGAAGAAGAGGTGGTTTTTACTGAAATTAGGAGAGCATATATATGTACATGGATCGTTCGTGTTGTCAGGTCATTGAACCCGAAGTTATCACTTTACGCGTTGAAGAGGGCGTGATTGACTCAGCAGATTCAGCGGATTTAAGCCCCGTGAATGGTTTCTTATAAGAGTGGTGCGACTCCATGCACCATTACATTAGACAGTCGGTAACTCATTTTATATTATATCTGGGCGCACATGCCCTTCCCAAAGGAACTTAGTCATCTGGAGTCGTAACTATGTCATTCTTTTTGATGTTAGCATAAGACCTATACAGGCCGCATTGGCTCATTACACCTTGAGTTGAGTCGTAATAAATATTCGCTAATGGTCCTTGGGACGCCGTAGTCTGCCATGGTGATCCTCATGTAGCTGAGAGGGGAGGGTGATGACGTCAGCTGATTTATCCCTGTAGCTTGAAAGTTCTGTTTCTCCTTCCAGTGATGTCTGCATCCCATCGTGGCACGACAGCGCGGCAGAGTGCGTTGATTGATGAGTTCGCCGAAATTAGTGGCACTAACGAGGAGGTAGTAAAAATCGGGTGATGTTTCCTGTCCGGTTCGGAGACGGCTGGTCTCAGGTTGCAGCATCATATTTACAGCGTTCTCATTGGTCTCTGGAGTGTGCTTTGGATATGTTCTATCGAGATGGGGCACCGGGGGCAGGATCTTGTAAAAGCTCGATGAACATCGCCACTGGTATGTTAAGGCCTAATAGGGTCAGGGATCGGTATACTAGGATATTTGCATTCAGAAGCTGATCCTTCTGGACGTTATCGGTCCCATCGTTCTCTGAATAATAAGATCAAAGTAGGTGGCACTTTCATCCGGGTGTGGTAGTGCTAAGAAAGAAATTCGTTCATTAATATAGTATGATTTGCGAGCTGCTCATCCTATTAAGGGTTAGCCACCGAATTGTATGATACGACTTCGAAGTTCTCTGCTCAATCCTTGGTGATGCCTGAATCACCGGGTATTATTGTGGAGAATAGAGAGCCTTTCGGCTAATTAATTTTCGGATCTACCGCTCATTCTTACCTGAGTCGAGTATTCCTCACTCTTATGGAACCTCTCACGCGACCATTGTACTTTTATTCCATGACTTATCTGTCATAGACTCTATGACATAGAGAGGCTTCGTCTGGCGAACATAGTGTTCTGCTGGCGAATACCAGGTTGGACGCCGGTCTTATTTCCAGCGTACGCCTGAGAATTACGTATCTCAACATACCTTACATTTCTGCTCAACGCTACCGACCAGTACTGATGATACGTAGTGGTCGGTAGATCAATATGTATGATACGTAACGTATCATCATGAAAATCTTGTGGCTAGTTATTATCTCAGTTTGTATGGTAGTGCCCTCTAGCATGCCAAGATTACCAACCTATGGCATCGCATCGTTGAGATGTGAACACGCATCCGGGTCCTGTTAATTGGACTGTAACATGAAAACATGTTACCTTCAAGCTGAGCTCAGTGAGCTTCTGGTTGATCAGCAATCCGCAATGCCAGCACAATTCCTCGATGAAGAGGTGGCCAAGGCTGTGAGGGGTTTCTGGTAAGGGTGGACTTGGGTCACTTTCTGCGTGCTGCATCATGCCCGCTACAGAACCGATATCAACGCGTGACACAGTGGGTCAATCGTGATTTCGTTTATGTGCTGCAACAACAGCACATAATCTCATCATATCGTGGCAAGACTGTCGTTGCACCCGAGAAGTGAATTATGGCAGCCCGAACCGGGCTCTAGTGATATGTGGAGTAACAGCGTTACAGCAACGCTTTAACGGCTTGAGTAAGAGGTATCAGCCTGATACCAGTGACAACAGACGTGCCCGCTCCCTCAGCGCTTCGAAGGACCCATCTGTGCGCCTCTTACTTGAACCTGAGGGCATTGAATCGTCCCTGGAAAGTGAATGTCAGTCCATCATCGCTGTCCATGCCCATTTTCATATTCACCGTCGAGTCGTGGTAGTTTGCGACTGGCAGACCGGGTGGCGTTCAGAGCGTTATCCTGAATAAATCAACGTAATGCCGTCACAGCGACTATTTTATGATGCGGTTTCTCAGCAGCAGCTTGTTGTGTTCCATTCTAATGTCCAGTCCACCGACAAAACGGCTGAAGCGGACCAGCTGCAGGCACGGTCATCGGGCCGCAGCCACCCCTGAGACGCAAGAGCATCAGCGCATCTTACGTCGAAAGGTACATCTCAGAAGTTGAGTAGCGTGCAGTCTGAGATTGAGAGTGGCGAATGGTCGAATTGGGTTCAGTGAATCGTAGACTTTCGTAGCACGTACATTATCGCTTGGTGAAGTATTCTGCATTGCATTATGTATAGCTCATGGACTATCGCTCAGGTCAACAATTCTAAGCTCGGCCGGTTCTTCTCGGACTATGCCTCTGTCAGTACTGCAGGTTCAGAAGGGCGAGCAATCGGTGTAGATGGAATTGAAAGGTGAGTTCCGATCTCCCTCTGTCTTTTGCATCTGCGGATGGCATCGCCAATAGGTTGTGTGATGATCTCGGCAATGATCCCATGGACGAAGCTTGGCTGACGATAGCATACTATTGTCAGGCAGAAACCATGGGCGAGTTTACAAAGTAATGGTAGGGTAGCAAATGGTTGCAGTGGCTTGTTGGAAAATGCAGTCGATCAGTGAGAACCTCACTTCGAGGTTGACAGAATTCGCTAGGATTAGTCTTGGATGGAATCCCCCCAGACGCGGTGAATGTTTAGGTCGGAATGGACTAACGGTATGCAGCGAATCGGAGTGGACTCGATGGATGGTTTGCGTAATGTTCTGCCGGAATTGCGGAGAGAGATTGATGAGGACCGCAACTCAAGCGAGCAGATATATCGATACGCATTCACGTATTCACTGGATTCTGGTGCAAAAACATTGCCGGTGAGAATGGCGACCAATCTGTCTGTCTGTTGTTATGTATGCATTTGTCATTGCGGGTGTGCATTGCCCTGGTGATGACTCTTCGTGTAGATAGAAGGATGTCTGCAGCTATGGTCTATCTTCCTTAAGCCTCACTGGACGCTCTATCCTCAGTGGGAAAAATTCGTGAAGGCAGAGTGTCGTCATAATGTCAGCAAAGATACGTGAGTGAAATCAAACCATTGAAGTGGTTGTTGATTTGTGCTGTTGACAGTTACCAGATGCTTTGGGAAGCTGCGACTGGTGCTATGCGAGATGAAGATACTATGAGATCCGACTATGATATAGCAGGCGGTGCATGGCCTGTCATGCTTGATGACTTCTACACTTGGTTTGTGGACCCTGATCGGGAGAAGAAAATAGGCGCTGCTGCTGATGATAGCAGCAGTGATGTGGAGATGCAGTGATACTTGCTCGACGTGGATGTACTAGTTTGTTTTCTGCACTTGATTGGTCACTTCGAGTTAGTTCCCAGGGAAGGGGTCAGCAGCGCTATGTTTCAATGTCGGCACCAGCGGCAGATTTGAGCTATGTAGTGTTGGCTGGTCTCTCGGCCTTTGGGTGCGCGGCTGTGGCAGTCGGTGGTGGTATAGGAGGAGGTAGCTGGAGCCATGACAAGGTCATAATTATAGTGCTAGGCTCGTACAGGTGCATTGTATATGCCGGCCTTTGTGGCAGTGATGGGAGATGCCCATTGGGCGGTTCCTCTCTCTAAAGTGGCAATCAATGGTGTCGCAGTCAGTGCTACGATATTCAACCTACGTCAGAGACATCCTACATATGATCAGGTGCTGCTGAGTGGGCGGGCCTTTCTCGAGTGTTGCCCTCTTTATTAGCCTTTGATAGACCTGGACATCGGGCTCTTGTTGGAGCCGCTTACTCTACTTGGTAGTATGCTTGGGGTGTACCTCAACGTGGCGATGACCAGCGTAGAGATATTCTCTTGCTTGGTATTGGTATTGTCCATCACAGCAGCCTTGACGTACTACGGGAGCCCTCCTGAATACTTGAAAGTGCCCGTGATAGTAGGTTTAGGAAGGCTATCCAACGACGACGGTTGGAGGGAGATGCCTCTGTTGAGGACGGTCTGGGTGGAGCGGAGATGGGCCTTCTGGTATCAGCCTCTGCTCGCCCTTCCTCGGTGCTGCGTCGTTGCTGACAATGGCAAAGGAGGTTGTCGCGCCTTAGGGAGTGGATCGTAGTGTTGTCGATAAAGCGAGCAGGATTCTCCAGGAAGAGGCTAGTCTCCAGCCCATGAAAGCTTGGGCACTATTTGTGCTCTGGCTTGCTAACGGTAGTAGTGATGACCATAGCGTACTCACTTGTTGACCGCTATATAGGCGCTCTACTTTACCTGGCTGAGGGGCCGGCTGAACTGTTGTGTGGAGGGACAGCTCAGAAGGTACCTCTCTTGAGGGGAGGGAACGCGGTCTCCTATGCCTGTCAGGCTATGGTATCTACGGTCGTCGTTTCGTGTATCCTCGTTACTGGTATTGTTCGTGGGCGTCTCCTCCGTCAACAGTGAGAGCCTCCGGGTACCCCATTTGCATGGCAGTATAATAATCAGGGAGCTCAGGGATGAGGCCGGCCTTCCTCCCTCGCCTGTGGTCTATAACAAAGTCAATACCATCATCTACTCCCTCTTGAGCTGCTTCGCTGGGGTATGTGCAGGCTGCCTTGGCATAGGTGGAGGCCTTATAAAGGTGCAGTACCGCAGTCTAGGGAAGCTCTCCAGTGCTGGGTGTCAGGGTCCATTGCTGCTCCAACTGGGCATGGTCCCCCAGGCTGCCACTGCCACTAGCATATGGATGATACTATTCACGTCCAGCAGTAGGGAGTACCTCAGCCCCGTCATCCCATGGCCCTCCTCAGGTACTTGTTTGCAGTTCGCCCTGCTTGGTCGCCTATCCCTGCTACCATCAGTAGTGGTGTGGTTGCTCAGCTTCAGCGGGGCTTGGGCTGGCAGTCGGATCTTGGTCAGGAAGATCAAAGAGTCTGGAAGGCAGTCGACTGTGGCATTTCTGATGGGTGGGGGGGGGGAGTAGCAATAGTAGTAATAGAGGGCTCTTACCTCAGCTGCTTTGATAGTCGTATCGATGCTCTGTATGGTGGGGGTATCTCTACACGACCATATGTCTGCCAAGGCTGGAGGTCTGAGGAGTAGGTCGGACTTGACGCCTATTGAGATCTGCGAATTGATGAGACGCCGAGGGCCCATCGGATGAGGATCCACCATGAGCATGCTGTCTATGAATGTTTCTCATTGGTATGCGGCCTTGACTTGTCGGAACTGTGCTGCCTCTTACGAGGGCGGTAACTCTTCAACGCACTAAGGAATTTTACGATGGCGATTTTTATGGTTTGCGGACGTCTTGGGAGGTCGGTGGGATTACGTTCCTCATCGTTTCCACATGTTGATTTGTTACTCCGCCTTTACCACCTGGGTATGCTTCTCGGCGAGGTTCTCATCGTTATGATCAGGCATCACTTTGGGGGTGTAGGTCAAGTCAGCCACTCAACGTTATTGGTTCTTGGCGACGTGTGAGGGGATGAATCTTTAGTCTTCATATTTTTATCTGATGCCCTGTGCGTGGGGTGCTCGATGGCGATCGGAACTTGTAAGGCGGGGCAAGCGGCATTGGAAGGAAGCTACCCTTGCCGAATTCAGTGGGTCTCTCGGTGATCTCGGCACGTTTATTCCACTAGCAGTCGGCATGTCTATCACAGCAGGTAAACGTTTGCTGCTGTATTGGTCATACTGGTTGGTTTCCTCTTAGGCCTGGATTTCAGCACTATCCTGATATTCACTGGTGTCTACAATGTAGCCTCTGGTGTTCTGTTCGATGCCCCCATACCCGTACAACCTATGAAGACCGTTGCCGCTGCTGCGATAGCACAGGGGGTAGTCTCCTTCTCCTCCTCCCGCTGCCTACTATCGTGAGATGTGTAGTTGAAGTTGGGCGCAGTGGCAGCAGCGGGCATCTTCGTGTCAGCAGTAGTGCTCGCACTTGGACTGTTGAAGTGAGAGAGGCGTAGATGAATTTGAAGTGGGGAAAGGCTGGCCTTAGCTTGACGACAGTATTGGAGTACATTATACCGTTGTCTATCGTACGTGGCATACAGCTAGGTCTGGCAGTGTCGCTCTTCCACAAGGGATATATGTACGCGGTAGTCGTCATTTATCGGCAGCACAGGTCCTACAGGTACCTCTTGGTTCGGCATGTGGATGGATCCTTGATATGGAATCCTGTCGAGCAGACTGACAGTTTCACACTAGCGCTTCTCGTCTCTGTGAGAGGGTGGCTATTGTGGGAGGAGAATTTTATGTTGATGATATTTGTTGGTTTTCGGCTTTATAAGGATTATTATGATTCGACTGAGGTGAATGCTGTGAGAGGTATCTGGTTCGATTCCCGCAGGTGACGTTATTGGTTTTGCTGAATTTATCACCGCCACTACGAGTTCCTCCCCCAGCTGCGTTGATCGTGTTCCTATTGGGCCTCATCATCACCATTACGTGCTATTGGTCGGAGATTCCCATCGACAGGTTCGGCCCGAACATCTCGGTGGTCGCGATAAGTGGGCAGGACTGGCTGGACGGTAGTACTATTCGTCTTAGTTGGGCTTTTTTCATTCGTACATTGCCTTTTGGTGGCCCCGCCTTAGTGCAGTCGACCTGTGGATCTTGTCACTGGATAGGTATCCTCAACGGTGGTCTGCCTCAGCTGCCTCTCACTCTTCTTAACTCTGTGATATCGGTATGCGCCTTGGCAAGGGAACTCTTTGGGGAGGACTGTAGAGGCGGCAGCACTAGGCATATGGCAGTTAGCGTTGGTGAGCCAGCAGGGGCCATAGAGAGGGTGGGAAGCGGTAGTGATTAGGTCTGATGAACCTGCTTGGGTGTTGGTTCGGAGCTATGCCGTGCTGCCATGGCTGTGGCGGCTTGGCTGCTCAGTATAGATTCGGTGCCAGGACGGGAACTAGTGTTGTTATGCTGGGTGGGCAGAGGGGGAGTGTTCTCTCTACTATGTGGGGTAGGGGCGTGTGGAAGACAGTCTTTGTCAGGCGTTCTCAAGCTATGTATAGGCCTGATATTCGGCCCTCAACTGTTGCATATCCTTCGCGTGTACCCCGGGGCAGTCTTAGGGCCGATGCTGTGTATAGCAGCTGGGGAGTTGGGCGTTCAGTCACTGAAGGAGAGGGGAAATCTCCTACTAGAGCTGCAAGGTGTGTCACTATGGCATCCAATCCGTCCTTGGGAAGGTTGAGTGGTAGATCCCTCTCTGGCTTCGTGGTTGCTGTTCATCACTGCTGCTGCCTGCGTAGCTGCCGGCTCTACAGGCTGGGGCTTCGCCATCGGCTATGGTGTATGGGCCGTCGTAGCGGGGGTAAGGTGGCTTGCTGGACGATGGTAAGTCGGCATGCTGCAATACGTGGAGGAGTGGGCTCCTGTATAGTTGTGGTACCCCAAGGCAGTATGGGGCGGATAGCGAAGAGGCCTCGTCATCGGTAAACGGTCAAGCCTGTGTCAAGTCACCCCGAACTTGTGACACTAGAAATGACTTTGTTAATTTGGGTGCGAATGAACGGATATGTAGGGTTTGAGCATCTCTGGTGATTGCCAAAAAGTTTCCCATGGATTGGTCATCGTCGTTGAGTTTAGCGGTGGGAGGTCGACTATGTTTCCTGATGAACTATGCGGCTACTTGTGAGAATTTCTGAGCCCATGGTCGTTTATTGGTGTTCTGATAGTGGCTGACGGCATCAGTAGTTGAGCAATGACGGGCGAGTCGGCATTTCTAAGGGAGAAGTTGTCTAATCTCAAGGAGGAGCTACGGAAGCAGAAGGAGCTCAATCTGACTCTGCAGACAGTGGATAGGAAGAAGGCTGAGGAGGAGCAGGAGAGGTTGAAGAAAGCGTAGTAATCGGATGGGCCTCACTGCACGTCTTCAGAGCGACCTGGGTTCTATGAGGGAGAGGAGGAACTCTGTGGTAGGTATGATGACTTGCAGGCCGAGACGGTGCAGATGCGGTTGCAGTTGGAAGCCTTCAGGAAGCAGCAGGAGGCTGAGGAGGCGGCAGCGATGGGAGTGAACGGAGGCGTCTCTGGGGTTTTGGGAATGGACACCTCTGATGAGACTGCTGATTTGAGAGAGGCTTTAGACGTATGCTCATGGCAGTATTGTCGTTGGACATTGTATTTGTTGTTAGGCGGAGAGGGAGAGGTGTCAAGTGTTGGAGAGTCGGCTGATGGAGGTTCAGAGCCAGGCGCGTTCGGGGAGTTCAGCGGCTCCTTCTCCTTACATGGAGGTGGAAGCCTCGCCCGTGGGGGCAGTGAGGGATAGTAGTGGTAGCAAGGACGTGGTGGAGGCGGAGGAGGAGGAGAGTAAGGGGAAGAAGAGGAAAAGGAGGGATACTGGTGATAAGAAAAAGGAGGGTAGTAGAAGCAAGAAGAAGAAACACAAACACAAGGAGGCCGCAGGGGAGGAGGGTAGTACTAGGATGATGATGATCATATACTCGCCCAACTCGGCTGTTAGGTGAAATATCAGATCCTATAGCTGGGATATTTCCTCTCCTCGATAGCGGCGACCTAGTATCCGCGTCAAAGCTCGTAGTGCGTTTCTGCTACTCTTGCGGTGTCGAGAACAGTATCGCCTTACGGAACCGTCTAGCACTGGTAGGTCGTATTGAGTGTGGTTTGATAGACCTCTAGTTCTGCCTCCTCAGGTGCTCTCGGAGATTGCGTTGTACCTAACAGGACGGAGAGGAGCTGATGGGCTGCTATCGAACATGTGTTGTCTGGTCATCCTAGCTACAGATGAGGTAAGGCTCCGTTGCAAGGTGGTGTGAAGTACGGCTGATCAGGCTCAGCTGTTGGTCCGCGCCTTGTATTCAACGAGCTTAGAGCTGGCTGGGCCGGCTCCAGATGCTTGCCGTTTGATAGTAAAGTCTCTGAAGGAATGTTGTCGGAAGGTAGTGAGTCGATCGAGAGGAATCGCTACTGTTGTTATCAGCTGAACCTGACGGCGCCTTTGGCATGTATGATGTGGCATCAGCAGTGTGGGCCTCCTCGGTATCCGGTGGCGAGAGAGGCCATGTTGGAGGGAGAGGCCTTTCAATGCGACTTCAATGCAGTCGTTGAATCTGCCACGGCACCTTCTGTGAAGACCCTGTGTCTGTTCCACGCAGCGTTGGTAGGAAGCAGTCTTTCGGCGGAGGAGCGGTACACTCTTATACGGAAACTAGCCGAGAAACATGGAGGACAGTAGGCTAGATGTGAAGGGAAGCCTTCCTTGTGATAGCTGCTGCTCAGGCCTGATATCAAGTGCCGAGTACTTGCTATGATGCCTGCAGTAGGGGATAGTAACCTTATCCGCTTGGCCATCAATGAGGTCCTATCTTGGCCCGATGCCAGGAAGGGTCGGAGAGAGCTGCTCGACTTCTTACAAGCACACCTTTCCTCGATGCTGGCTATGGGCAGCAACAGCACTACGTAAACACTTGTATATTTACTCCTATCATTCGTCGTTGTAGCATTTCGTACATTAATAGAAGTACTAGTACCGGCTACCTTGTCACGTGGCGTTGTGGCTGGGTTCAATGGGTTGTGGTTCGCCTCGTTATTATATGCTCAGTATGGCCCCTGTTTTAAACAATGTCATCTGAGCGCCGAAGTCAACGTACCTCCAGCGCTACCAACTCCTTTAGGTAGGGCTAGCCTCTGTAGGGACGGCATCCCACGTGTTTTTCTGTAGAGCATTTGATGACGATGACGATGAAGCTTTCGAGGCGATGTTGAGAGCTGGAGATCCAGGTGGGACTACTGTGGAAGAATTCTCTATTATGGCGAGTGCAGTTGATTTGAGATAGAGAGCTCGATACTGCTGCATTGCTATGCGGTGCTTGGTACACCGGACAACGTTGAATACTTTTCAGGAGCGGATGAGGAGGACACACCGCTTGACCCTTCTGAGATCCCCACGGTTGTCCATCCTTCTGTAGAACAGATCGTCTATAGACGCCCAGTCATACCTGATGACGAGCCTGAGCCGGGTAGGAGGTCCCGGGTTCGATCCCGGGTGAAAGTTTTTCATGTTGTAGGTGAGGACTTCCGGTATATGTGTAAATTGAAGGGCCAGAGCTACTTGCATCTAGTGTCGTTGAAAGAGTCAGAACTTAACGAGCATCGAGGTATGGTCAAAGGAATCTACGGGTAGCTCGCTGTAGCATCATCTCAAGGTACTAAGCAGAAGCTTGCCAACTTCAAGCGTCAATTGGAGAAGCGTGGTTCCGTTACAGGAGCTACACCGCCAGAAACAGACGATGATAGTGATGCGGGAACGTAGGTGTCTTCACGCTAGTCGTATCGGCGTTGAGTAGTGGCTATCAGGCATCACTACAACCCTCATTACGATGTGAGGTATCTCGAGGTTGAGCGCGTTATTGACACTACTGATCTTTTCGCGGCTGTTTATCCTGCTAGAGCTGCAGCACTTGAGAGGACGTCGTGGCAAGCGTAAGTCGTTCAAGCTCTTTTCATATTACTCGTCATGTTTTTTAACTGGCTGTAGATACTGCCTGAAGATAGTAGCATCCTTGATGTGTCTGGACATAAGAGGAGTGAAGTATGCTGATTGGTTCCTACGACCGATAGACCCGGACCGGCATGGCTTGGTGAGTTCCTATGTTGTCTTATATCGCACCTATTGTGGCTGTTCGTTCAGCCCGACTACTACCAGCTCGTCGCTGAGCCTATGGACTTGACAACAATACAAGTGAAGCTTTATCTGAATGCATACAGTGGACCTCAGGATTTTTGGGCGGACGTAAGATGAGAGCATTAGGTGCTTAAAGTAGGGTGGGGCGGGAGCAGGTACAAAAGATCGCCAACAACTGTCAATACTATAACGCGCCTGACTCGGACGCCTGTATAGAGATGGGCATGCTTAAGGCGCTCTTCGACAAACTGTGAGTATACTGCTTCGGTATATCTCACTACTCGACTGTGGATCAGGTATCGAGAATGGGCGGCCTTGTCTAGACAGCCGGGTGGAGTTGAGGGCAAGAAGGTGAGTACTCAGTGGTGTAGTTTCCTAGGGTCAGTAACAGTGTTGATGGCAGGCCGAGCTGGAAGCAGGAGGACATAATGGGAAGGGGATATCCACAGTAGAGTCTATCTCGTGGCTGTGATGGATCAGCTCAGCTCACTAGATACCTCGCAATTTGAACTGGCATTGGAGTGATGGTGTACAGCCCGACGCTGAGGAGGTTTTGAAGGACTTTACCTTCGAGAGGTTATTGAATCTAGATGGACCCTGTCGGATGTACTACTACCGATGAGCGGGTGGGCGTGTTTATGTTGGGAGTATGAGGTACTGCGTGAAATGGCGAGGGTTGGGGTACGATGAAGCTACGTGGGAGCTCGAAGAAGACTTGCAGACTAAGCAAGCACGAGCTGCAATAACCAATTTTCATAAGTTTTCGAGGGTGCCGGATTATGTTCAGAATCCCCAGGCTGGACCAGGTGAGTTGCATGTTCATACCACACCTTTGGGGATTCGCGGCATCTCGCAGCTGCTACTATGGAGACGGTGACTCCTCAACTGGTGAGGGAGATGGAGATATGGACCCGAGCAGCTGCTGATAATCTGGTGTTTGAGGGCGCTGGTCATGAGGTGCACTTCAGAGAGATGCCTCCTCAGCTGATTGAACGCCTTCCGGCTTTGTCAAGGTGAACCGCAGCCCGTATTTGCTAGCTCGGCCAGATGCTGCTCATGATGGTAGGTATATATGGGCCAGGAACTCGAGCTCCATTGAAGGCGTTGAAGCCGGGCAGCACCATCTCAAGCGTAGGGACTTGTCCTGCAGGGAAAGCAATGGTGTTGGACATGTGGCAGGTTGGAGCATCAGAAAAACTGAAGAGCGTTGCAAGCGGAGAAGAGGAGGGCTGCAGAAGTTCAAGTGGAAACGATCAAGAATATGGTCTTGCTCGGATAGCGTACTTCCATTGTAGTGGCTTTGATCTTGTCGAACGCCGGTGTTGCCTTAGGTGGCCGGTGTTGCTCAATCAACTGGCGAATAATAGGCAGCATTTAGCTAGTGTTATTCATTCATTCAGAAATAGACAAGACGTGAGTAGAGAGAATTGACGGAGGGAGGGATTGAACCCGGGACCTCGATCGTCTCGTTGTTGTTGTCGTGTACCGGCTTATGGTCTCAGAACCGTGTTACGGCGATCCCTCTACATTTTGCTGCCGACACTCTCCTTCACGTGTTTGGCCCCCAGAATATGGTGGACATCATTTTACGCTGGAGGCATCTCCTTTATCGCTGCCATCGCTACACGGAGATACCTGCAATACGCAAGCAGGAGGTAGAGGGAGAAGAGGAGAAACCGGTTGGTGCTGTCGTGGAGGCTCAAAGGGACGATCAAGGAGATGCTGCTTCTAGTGGACAGGAGAGGAGCGCTGAGGAAGGGGACGAAACTGCGGTCAATACAACGGAGGAGGAATCAAAGGCTGAAGGAGTGAAGACGGGAGAGAGTGTCGATTCTGAAGCGAGGAAGGAAGATGGTGGGGCTGGTAACGAGGAGAAGGAGAAGGACAACTCGAAACTGGTAAAGGAGGAGAATGCGCCTTTGGTGGAGGCGGCTGATCCACAGGGAGATGGGGGGGAGAAGGGGAAGGAGCAGTCAGAGAGTAGCGAGGAAGTGGGTGTTACTGAGGCTGCAGTGATGGAGAAAACTGCCAAGACTGAGGAGAGCTCGTCTCTCGAGACTCCTGATTCTATGCCGAGCATGACCAGCAGCGAGACTAGGAAGGAATCTCCGAGTAGTGAGGAAGAGAGTGAAGAGGTGGTCGTGAAGAAGGAGGGTAGTCAACATAGAGAGAGCGAAAGTAAAGTGGAGGAAGAGGAAGAGGTGAGTTGTCGGAATTATGGTATTCAACTGTTTCATTAATTCTACTGTGCTTGTAGACTGAGGAGCCTCCTGGAGTAGCAACGATGATAGCACAGTCCATGATAGCTCAGAGGTTCAGCGACTATAAAGCACCCCCGCCAATGGACCCTGCTGCTGACGGGTCGTCTGGGAGGAAGTGGGCTCGCTGACGATCACAGAGTGTGCAGGAAGTTCATCATCTTAGGTATGTTGCGCCTCCTAAGTTCAGAGGAGGGCAGAGGTTATTCCCATACCAATTGGAGGGGTTGAACTGGCTGATAGAATGCTGGGAGCAAGGAAGGAATCCGATACTAGCCGACGAGATGGGTGAGAGGGGCTGCAGTCTATGAGGGTAGATAGGAGGTGATGATGTCTTGTTACAGGTTTGGGCAAGACTATTACTACTATAGCCTTTCTGAATTACCTTTTCACGGTAGAAAGAGTGAAAGGGCCCTTCCTTGTGGTGGCGCCTCTGTCGACTCTGGGGCATTGGAAGAAGGTGGCGGACCAGTGGACGGACATGAACTGTTTATAGTGAGTAGTCGTGTCGTGTTTTCCCCCTAGGGAAGATTTGCATATGTGTTGATGACGAAATGAAAACTCTGGAGAAATTCCCATTGGTTTCTGTGCACTTGTAGCGGAATTTGTATGTAAAATTGTATATATTAAAGTTTCATCCGTTTTATGTGGAGTGGCGGAATACTCTGTGAAAAGAAATCCGATATTCGCGGTGGTATGCAGTAGCCGTGAAATATACTTCTCACCAGTGTTCTTCATATCGCCGTCGTGAACTCCATTGGTGGGAAAACTCCTGTTCTCAGCGAGCAAATATCCTAATACTACGACCTACGAGTGATTATGCGCGGCGCCTCCTCAATGTCCCTGTCCGTCTTCCTTCTCAGTTACCACGATGAGGGCGGCAGGGAAGGACGGTCGGAACTCCGGGATTCTGAATTCTACCACTTCGCGTGAGTTGTGATGATACGGGGTATAATAGCGAACAGCGATATTCCTCAGCCTCGACTATGATGTGCTCAACGGCAAGAGGTATCCAGAGCAGCCCGATCCGTGCCCACTGAGGAAGAGCACATACTTCAAGTTCAACATTCTTTTAACAAGTTATGAGCTCATTATGACGGTGAGAGCGCCGCTTACATACCGCACCTCCGCTACTTCTGTTGTTGGCAGGACGAAGAGTATCTTGCGCCTATTCCATGGCAGTATGTGGTTATAGATGAGGCTCATAGACTCCGTAATAGAGAAGCTAAGACTCTCCAGGTTATGGAGTCCTTATCGTGCCGGTAGGGTACTGTGCTAGCGTGGGGCTCGGATGGGAAATGTTGTCGATACACATGTCGTTGTGAATGCTGTAGTATATGTCACTGTAATCACTGACTCGGTATGTAATAGTTGGTTGGTATCCTCGAGTGGAAGCCGATTCAGCATCATCAGCTTTCTACTACTTGTTTTTTGGGTGGAACAGTTTGAGTAGTTCTAGTTTTTCGAGAAATGCTATGATGATATCGCCGATGCTCATCCTCAGTGTGTCTTCTCGTATCAGGTATACCATGTTATTGTCTGGCACGCCACTTCAGAATAATATCGGGGAACTTTGGGCCCTACTGCATTTTATAGAGCCTGTCAAGTTCTGTAGCAAGGAGGCATTTGAGCAGGAGTTCGGCGAGTTGAAGACGGAGAAGCAGGTAATCTATGGTGCTTGTTTTCAAGCACTTCCGAGCTCATAGTGTCAGCGGTAAAAATAGTGACAATAGCAGTAGTCGGGTTTTCAGGCGAGGCTTTCCTGTTGAACCGGAGCGTAGCTGTGTGTGATGATGCTATCCTTGTTAATGGTGTCAGGTTGAGAGCTTACATAGACTGCTGCGGCCTCATCTACTGCGGCGGCTAAAGGAAGAAGTGGCGGATGAGTTGCCCGATTTAGAGGAGACTATCATTGACGTGGAGCTCACGAAGTTACAGAAGGCCTATTACAGGGCTATATTCGAACGGAACAAGTGATAGAGTTGTTGTTGTGTATTTTGGAATATGGTGAGTGTGTAGAACGTATCTCTCGGGAGCACAGAAGAGTGGCGGGCCGAGCCTGATCAACCTGGAGGTCCAACTTCGGAAATGCTGCAATCATCCCTTTACTATTGATGGTGTGGAGGAGCGAGAGTTGGCCATGTGTCAGAGTAAGGGCAGGGGGCCTCTTTCGGTGCTGACTTCTGCTTCCTGCTATTCTAGACAAGGACCAGGAGTTCAATCGAATGATAATGGCGTCGGGGAAGATGGTGTTGTTGGACAAGCTGTTGCCGAAGCTGCATGCAGAGGGCCATAAAGTGCTGCTCTTCTCGCAGTTTCTCAGCATGCTTGACCTCATACAGAGATATGCCCTTTATCGAGGATACAGTGTCGAGAGGTGGGGCTCTTTTGCTGGGCTTGGGTGGTAGTGGTGAATGCTAGGTTGGACGGTTCGGCGACTGCGAAGGCAAGGGAGGAGGCGATCGATCGCTTCAATACTCCCGAATCAAGCGCTTTCCTTTTCCTGCTCTCTACTAGAGCTGGTGAGCAGCCGTGCCTTCCCATCTTTCTGTTAAGGTATTGGTTTGCCTCAGGTGGTATTGGAATTAACCTTACCGCAGCCGATGTTGTGATTATATTTGATTCCGACTGGAATCCTCAAATGGATATACAGGTAGACCCTTTACGTATACACGGGGGTCTGAAAAAACGTTGGCGTATGTCAGGCAACAGCTCGAGCCCATAGGATAGGGCAGACGAAGGATGTGAAGGTGTATCGGCTGGTCACTAATAGGACCTACGAAGCGCAGATGTTTGAACGAGCTAGTCAGAAACTTGGAATCAACGAAGCGGTGGGTTGATGTGGTCTCATATAGTGAAAGTTGTGGGGAGTTGGACAGGCGTAAGTCGCTGTATTATAGAATCACTGAAAATGATTTTGAGTTTTTGAGAAAATCTGAAGTCGGAGAAAGAGGCTCGTACGTATACACAGTGATACTAGGGTGACTGATATGAAGTGGTTGTTGTCTAATGCACGATGAGTAGCATGTACGGTAGGGAGAGGAGCCACTGTTGTCGCCAGTCTTGATATTGGTAATGTGGGAATCAGGTCTTCCAGCGTGGAGCATTCGATGGCGAAGGCAAGAAGAAAGGGCACGGAGCAAGCGGCCTGTCGAAGGAAGAGATAGAGGAGTTGCTGAAAAAGGGTAGGGAAGGAGTAATTAATGGATCTCATACCACACCTCTGCTTATTCGCAGGGGCTTACTATCTCCTCGAGAATAACGAGGAGTCGAAGCAGTTCGAGCAATCTAATATAGAGGATATCCTTTCGAAGAAGTCTCGTTTAGTGAAGTAATCGTGTCGGGGTCGGTCCTTATAGAAGAGCGTATGGCTCAGATACACTCGAGCCTCCGGTGGTGGCACTTTCTCCAAGACCTCCTTTGCCGTCACAGGTAGCGCTGAAATCGATCTGGACGACCCTGACTTCTGGTCTAAGATGTTGGGAGAAGAGGCAGCTGGACAAAGTGAGTTACTGTTGTCGGGCTAGGGGTGGGATTGTTGGGATGATGCGTTTTCACTATAGATTCGGTGGCTATATTGGCACAGAAGCTCCACGATGAGACGGCCGTCGCCTCGCCAGAGGCAAAGGCTCAGTTCATGAAGGAGATGGAGACGCAAGTTGAGGGGTATGGTGCGATGACTGATCCCGAGCAACGGGAGAAGGTAGCAAGAGTGTAGGGTATGGGGCGATGAGAGGTGGTATTTGGTGTAGGTGGTCCAGTGTTTGGTGATGATGGCTAATATGAGAGGCTTCACGAAGGCGGAGCATAGGGAGATATCCGCGTGGTTGGTGAAGACTACAGCGGCTGAGGATGCGATCAAAGAGAGTCAGCCCAAGCCGGGACTTTTTGGTAGGGCTATTGACTCACTATCGCTTATCGGTGGATTCATGATGGGTTAATGTAGATACTCCTATTGATTCAGCCTCTGTGAGTGTTGCTGATAGTGACCAGGGAGGTGGAGGTGGTGGTCGGAGACTCCGCAGAACGCATTCTAGAATAGAGGGTGCCGGGGCTTACATTGAGGAGCCCGTGGGGAAGAGTGGGAGCAATTTATAGCTGTGGTATGGGTGAGTGCTGTCTATGGTAGGTATCACACCGGCATCTTCGGTGACTCGGAAGCGTCGGAAGCGGCGGACTCCAAAGTCGACCACGTCGCAGGCAGAGAGTGCAGGGGCTGTTGAACAGAAGGATGGTGCTGAACCTAGTAACACGGCTGGATTTGACTATGACAAATTTCGAGCTGATATATGAAATGGTTATTCGAACCAACATGAAGTGATTAATGGTTGAATAACGTTGTTTGTATTTTAGCTCCAAAAAAGAGGCGAAAATCAACGAAGTCGAAGACGCCCAAATCGGGAGAGAAGAAAAATTCCAGAAAGTCGAGGAAGAGCAGCAGTAGCAGTACGAAGGGAAAGCGGCGACATAAGCTGGGAGAGTCTGAGGGTGATGATGACGATGAAGAGGAGGAGGATGATCCCAATGATGCTGACTATGTGCCTGTCGCCTTCGAGCCCCCTATTGTAGGAGCAGACGGGTCCGAATGATGACATAAGCTTTCGTTATGATGGCTAATGAGAGAAGTGAATCGGGGCCTGTGCATTATACTCATCATTGAAGATGAAGTATTACGTTCAATTTCATCCTGGGGTAAGGTGCAGTGTTTTGGGAGTTGCGATTGGAGCGGTAGAACCGTGTATGGATTTTACGTGCATTTAGGTCAAATATGTGAGAACTGCTTAGAGTAGGTCGGCCGCCGCCGCGATGGGATTAGATGTTGTTGTGGTATTGTCGATGAATAGTGTTTTTCATTGGCTACAATGGGTGGTAAAGACTACTATGCGATACTGGGCGTGAGTCGCGACGCCAGCCAAGACGAGCTCAAAAAGGCCTATAGGAAGAAGGCTATACGGTGGCATCCTGATAAGAATCCTGATAACTTGGAGGAAGCCAATGAGAAGTTCAAAGATATCAGCGAGGCCTATGAGGTCCTCTCGGATTCTCAAAAGCGTGCAGCGTAATGTCTGGCGGATCATCGGCTAGGTTTAAGCAGGGAAAAGCATGCTCCACCTTTACGTAGGTATGACCAGTATGGATCAGATGGACCGCAGATGCAAGCAGGCGGAGGACCTGGCGGCTTTGGTGGTCAACATATAGACCCAAATGACCTCTTCCGAGCGTAGGCTTATTGATACCGTAACTCGGTGAATTACAACGTGATAGGTTCTTCGGAGGAGCCGACATGGAAGATATATTCGGAGGTCGAGTAAGAGGAGGCATGGGAGGACCAATGGGGGGAGGGGTAATAGGGTCACGACTCGTCCATTGGCCGCATATGAGGGTGGTGGAAGGTTCACTACACGAGTTTTGGTCCGGGCGGTATGGCGTTCCAATTCGGAGGGCCCGGCATGGGCGGCTTCGGCGGTCCTGGTTTCGGGCGCCGACCGCAACAGCCTGCAGTAGTGCCTATTGATGTGAGCTTAGAGGAGATCTATCAAGGGACGAATCGACGGGAGACGGTAAGATGGGTTATCAAGGAGCTGCGGGGGAGGTCCTCAGCTTGCTGCAGGTGAATGGCCATACAGCGGAGATTAGAATCCCTAAGGGATGCCATGATGGGAAGAAGCTTAGGTAGTGAAGGAAGAGTGGTATGGCCGACGACAAGGCGTCGCACATTTGTCTGTCAGTTTTGGCTCCACCTCCTCGAGCAACGATGTCTCTTACGTAGTTGTACGTGAGAAGCCTCACGACGTCTTCGTGAGATCAGGAGATGCCGATCTTGTCACATATGCAGTCCTGACTTTCATGGAATGGGTACTACATGCAGTGCTTATGGTATGTGGAGCTCTCTGGTCAGTTGGTGACGGGTCGATCTGGGTACAGAATAAGAGGCTTGGACAATAAGGAGATAACGGTGAGAGCTCCTACGCTATGGGATGGACAGATTCGGATTGAAGGAAAGGTGATAGTGAGGCCACGAGGGAATTGGAATTGTCGTTGGTGTAGCGTGGGCATGCAGTGTGCTTAGAAGCCATCTAATGTGTCTTATAGGGAGGTGGGGTGGGCTCTGTGTGTTCCTGTCAGCTTCGCATAGGGTATCGCTCAGTGATGAATTAAATTATGCTAACTCGAAGTCAAAGTATGTATTTGTAGTATTTGCATCGCAGTGGGAGTAGTCCTAGGGGAGGTAGCACTACTTGTGTGTGTTGAGCAGGGTATGCCTGTTGAGGCGGTGCCGGGCCAATATGGTGACCTCTACGTACGCAGCACTCCAATGAGTCCGGAAACTTGGGAGCAGATGAAGCAACTGTTTAGGATGGTAATAGGGGGGGTATTGTCTAGTGAGAAGTTGTCGATGATCAGGTTGGGGGTCTGTTCCTGGTCCTCTTGGTAATGTCCAACCCATCGTGGCTGTTCCTCATTCTAATGCTGAGGCCACTCTTTGGTCAATAAGGTGGAAGAGGCCATGCCTGGATGACGATAGTTCCTATAGTGTGATATCATGCACCGACCGTATTCAGTGCTTCGCTCCGCCTGTTTTGTGTATTATCTTTTTGTTTTTCTCCGTTACAGCAGACTTCTGTAGAGGGCCGTCGTGATGGTCCGGAAGGGTCTCCCTCTGTGATTGCTGTTGTCGAATACACACCTTACAGTTCCGCCCCACTGTACTGCTGGTCATCAACGTCATCGATGTGACTGATACTAGTTATGCTTTCTGTTCTATTACCCCCAAGTGTTGGTGTAGTGTTGTAGTAGTGAATATTGGTAAGTTTCACTTTATTCATGGCCATTGCTACTCATTGGTCTAGGCTAGCATGTAGGAATCTGTTGGTCGGATGCACTTATCGGTGTGCTTCCTCGAGAGCAGCAACAGCAGCAGCACACAACGGAGGTAGGATAAGGCACGCTGGTAGTAGTAGCTGTACCGGAGGCTTTGTATAGACGGTCGAGGGCGTAGGGCGACTCAGATGGAGGAGGGGGAAGAGGCCGAACTTAATGATGATCTTGAGAATATGGAAGAGGTCCGACTGTGGTGCAGAGTAGCAGGTAGGACCAGTCCATAGGCTACTATCCTTATTCTGTTCTCACAAGTGGTTTACTACGCAGCTTGTTGCTGGACTTTGTATCGATGATCATGCCATATAGGTTCTGAGGGGTCACCAGATGGTGTCGTGAAGAGTGCGGAGGAAAGCCCTTCCACGGGGGTAGGGGAGGCTGAGGAGGACTTCATCGAGAATGATAGGGGTCTCAGAGAAATGATGAAGTTGAATCCGAAAAAGGAAACATGGCTGGCCTACACGGCCCGTAGGTTTGTGAGATGTTATTGACCACATCGGGAAGGTCATTCGGATCAGCTGAGACGAGCATGTCTAATACAAGGCGATGGAGGAGGTTTATGAAGAACTCGGTGATAGAGCAGACCCAGTTAGTGGAGGCTGGGAGGTAGCAGCGCGGGTCTCGATGACGATACGGGTCGTTCATTAGGTATGGTTCTCGATGGCATGAAGGAAAGGATTGGCTTGATAAGGCCAAGAAGGCTGAGCGGAGGCCTCGAGTGATACCGGGATGAATCTCCATGGCTGATCACCGTCATCGACCTCAGATACGTGTTCGGGTTCTGGATGTCGATGGGTTGCCGATGGAAGAGATGCACGAGTGAGATGAGGTCGTGAAAAAATTAGATGATTTCCTTCTGTAGGTTTTTCATGTTTGCGTTGGTCCGTCGATTCCCGGCCGAGAAGTGTTTGAAGGTTGCTAGCAGGTTGGCAACTTTCAGGGACAAAGCATCGGCGTCTGTGAGCTCAGTCACATTTCTTCTGAGGAGCAGACATTTCTTTTCAGAGCTACAACAAGCTGATGATCGATATGGCTGAGCTCTTCGGTTCAATCTACGGCCCAGAACTTTGTGCTTTATTCGATCGGTAATGCTTGTCTATATTTCTATCACTACTTCCCCACAGATGCTATAATACGATATCAGTTCCCTACATGCTGGACTACATAAGGAAGTATGGCCAATTCTCGAAGGAGTATATTGCGAGGGAGGTATCAAATGGTCTGCACTCGAGCAATTGTGGTGTATGCTACTGCTGGACGGATAGTGAGCTGCATGAGAAAACGCGGGGTCAAATCTTGAGTCCGGGATTTCACGCTGCGGACTAGATCGTTGTCGTAGTCATGGTCGAGGGATCTGAGTGCCTGAGCTCTTTAAGAGGCTCGGAATCGCGTCGGCAAAGGTCACGAATTCTCGTGCGTGCATGATTCATGGGGGCTCCCTTGTAGGGAGTAGGGTGGTTCTATATCACCTCGTATGTGGGTAGGTCACGGAGTCGATGAACCCCCCTGTATTCGACTTCGTACGGTATCAACATAGAGGAGGGCTGCGGTAGGGTTCCTTGACTGATCGTAGCGATAGTGCCCCTTCCCAGGCCTCTCCCACCAGTAGTGAGTAAGCCTTATGAGCTTAATACATATGCACGTCTATTACCCCCCTCCAGTGTGAAGCGGTAGGCTGTTACTGAACAAGGAGTGCCGTAGATTGGATATTAGGTGGATGTATCAGCATCTCCTCCATCATGGGCGTATCATGCTGCACCGTAAGTCGCCTAAGGCAGCGGACATGGACCCAGTTTTAATGGAAAGAGATGCGGCGGCACGTAAGAGTGCTCGACATGAGGACTAGATTGCGATGCTTTCCTCATAGGTAGCAGCGAACGCTTGGCACGATCGATGAGCAGTCGACCAGCGGAAATGCTGTTGAACCAGGTTGGGTCATAGTGTATGGAGGCTTAGTCCAGATCGATCGTCTCAGACACGTAGGCGAGCAGAACATGGGCTGGAGTTGCCGAGGGAGAACGATACGGAGGAGGACGGCGACGTGGTTAAGTGGAACATAGCGTCTACGTCAAAGCAGGGCAGCGGGAACGGCAGCGCTGAGGAGGGTGGCCAAGGTCGGTTGGATTCCCAAGTTTGACTTGAGATCTGTCTTTAACAGAATGGTCGATCGAGTCGGAGGAGGAGCATCAGGAGGCGGTCGCTATGGGAGGCAAGCCGAAAGACACTTCAACCCTAATGCAGTTCACGAGAGTTCATGAGTTCAAGTCACGTCTAGCTGAGGATGACAATTCAGCTTTAGTGCCTGTCGAGGAGCCAGCTGATGAAGGGGTGAGAATGGCTCAAATCCGAGTGTGTGTTTGCCTCTCATCCAATCGTCAGATAATCCCTCTACCTGAGATGGACCAAGGGAACTCATACTCCGAGGAGAGCCGCGAGGAGCGTTTCTGGTTGCGGAAGATCGTCTCCTTCTTCCGGCATAATCGACGGTATGTTGTCGAAGATCTTTAATGGCTGAGTACACCTGTTCTTCAGATGCTACCGATATATGCCGAGTAGAGGATGGACCCAGGTGGTCGACCCTCGGGGTCCGAGGAGGTGGGGGAGGGCTGCCTGTTGATGTTAGAATCATCATCATAGTTACGGTTTACCTCGGAAGTATCGATCCCACATAGTGCAAAGGTTGAAGTTGAAGAAGGTTGCTAAGATACGAACATGGCATCGTCTCAAAGCGAGCCTTCGTGGTGTTGCACGAACAAGACTCGGCTAATCATGCGTTTCGATGAGAAAGTTTCCGATGATTCAACATCGGAGTTGAGTTGCAGTGAAGTTGATCACCATAGCCGAGTCTCGTCACCAATCACCAATCGTTAAGCGATAATTAGTTATAGCGAGCGAGGTTGTTGCTGAGGTAACTGTTAGCTTGGTAACGTCCTCGGTCATATGAAGCGAAGGGAGGCATTCATCACAACGTACTTTTCGACATTGTGCAATTGAGGTAAACCTACCGTTGTAGGCTTCAAGCCTATAACGTATGCGCAGAACTGGATGAAGGGCCCTTCCACTCGATACAGTCTGATACTTAATATATTCCAGAAGTATTCGAGTATGCGAACTTCAATGAAAAATCGGAATACGTAGCGTAAACGTGACAAAAGGCCTTCACTAATGGCAAGATATTACAACCACTATCAAAGATATGACGATGACCGTTCTCGGCTCCTTACACAAAATAACAAGTGAGTATATGAAGTTCATAGTTGTCCACACGACGACTAAGCCTGAGATGGCACTGCTTGCGCGAAATGCGTGCAACGTTATTCTTGGGAAGCTGACGCAGTTTCCTGGAATTGATGTCCTTGATCTATAAATTGATGTTTATATTTGCTTTACTCGCCAAATTGATTTCTGAATGAAATAGAACACTACACTGACCATGATCACGATCTAGCATTGAACATCATCAGTTCTGCCTTGCGTTTCATTAATAAGTAATCAACATTCAGCATTCGTGCGCTTTGATTACGCCGGTCTGCCGGAGAGGCGCTCTCAGAGAGAATGTTGCATCGATTGGTCGCTTGCCATGAACGATTGGACGAGTGAATGTCATACGTAGCGGCCGAGCCACAGGCAGAGTCCACAGACCGTGAACGAGCGTGCCTTGTTGAATGGTAGCTTGCGCCGCGATAAGAGGGTATCGAGGAGGCATGTAATGATGCTGTGCTTCTAGTTGACAGGGATTGCCCAGTCCAATGAGCATCACGCTCAGTGGTAGCGTAACTCGTGAATCGACTTCCACCAGTTCCCGGCCCTCCATCATAGTCTATTAGAGGCGGAGTTGATTGACAATCATCTTCGCAGAGTACTCGGTACAATTCATGAACATCCTGGAGTCTCAAATGATTCGGGTGGATGATGAGGACAGTCTACCTGCTTCAACTGCTCTTTGACGGCTTCGGGCGACAAGATCTGATCTATCCGGTGCATGATCCGGTCCACGATCGGATCAGCGCTGAGATCTCGATGCGAACGCGTCCTCGGTAGTTGCCTGGTCCTGAGATCTGCGATTTTCTCCTGAATACTCCTGGTATCTCGAGCGAGCCACCTTCCACTCTGGTCGTACTTGAAGTCTCTTTATATCCTTATCCTGGTCTTCTTTTGAGCGTTGCAACTGCAAAACCATCTGGTCACGATCATCCAAGCGAGTGGTAAGGGCTAGCATGATATCTCGTTGCTTCACCAGGAGTGTCTTATACCTGACACTCTATCCATTTTAGACCGAAACCATGGTGACCTGTCGAGTTGAAGTTTGTCTTTTTCCAAGGCTTCACGTTCTCTCTCCAAAGCCTCCTCGGTATGCCGAAGCTGCATCACATACTGCCCGTCACCCTCATCCAACGTTCTATCCCGGAAGCGGTCGGTCAGGTCCTCACTCGAAAGCTCTTCTTCTCCAAACTCCCTGTCGATCACTATCCCGGTTGGATCCCCTTGGTCATTCCATCAGATCCTTACCAAGTAGTGTCTTGTAGCCGGCGGTAGACTCTATCACGGTCTTGATGAGCCTTGACCTGATTTCACCTTCCACGTCAACTTCCGAATCATTCGGTACTCTATCTGGTTGTCTGTCGCTCATATCAATGGTTAACTTTTGAGCGAGCTGACTGCGCAACTTCTGGATCTCTATCTCGTATCTATGCTGAAGTACTCAAACAGCTGATTTGCTCGGGGTTACTTGCGTAGACGAGCTTCCTGCTCTGATACATATTCATTCAGCACCGGTGTGTTCCGGACACTCCTTGCCCTATTGGCGAACTTGAGTGTCGATAGAGACTCTCCAAAAGCTTCAGCCTGTCAAGGGGAGTAGTCTTTCCAATGCTTATATCGAGTCGTAACCCATGGCATGAGTTAACGATGAAGAGAACTTGGCAGTATCACAAGGGTCGAAGGTGAAGCACTCACAGTGACCCACCGCTGGTGAAATCATCGCAATCATCACAGTTATACAGTTGCCACCAAGGGAGTCCTCCAGTAGGCGCGTTAGCTTGGAATCACGATAAGGTATATGACTCCGACCGCCACCACCGACTGCCGTGGTCTCTGCTGCGGGGAAGTGGGGAAAGCAATAGAGTCTTGGCCCACCCTGGCTGGCCTCTGTAAGGGCCGCGATCACATTCCCTAATGCAGATAATGACTGGTTGATCTTTTTCGACTCTTCTAGACGTGTTCCTGTAGCTCCTGGGGTCAGATGGTAGCTCCAACAAGGCATGGGGTGGTAGTCTACCCGTCAGCCGCACTCGCTCGCTGCCAGCTAGATCTACCAAGTTCAGCTTTCCCACCTGCCACTCGAGTGACGGCGTGGGAGGAGAATAGTACTCACTCTCGTAGTAGAGTCCTCGTCGTTGCACATCTCGACAGTCATCATGAAGACTGCATGTGATCGTGATGAAGCATCATTCAGTTTGGTCTGACTACAGGACTGTACGGGACCAGCATATAGGCACCCACAGTGGCGATAGCTCTAGAGGCATTTCCCCGCCGCATTAGATCGTAAACCTCCCCGGGCTCTCGGACAACATACTCGCTCAAGCCGTCCACGTATCTGTCGCATCGCCTGTTCCAATTTTTCTACAGATTAAACGGTCACCGTACACTCCTCGTCGGGTATCATGACGAATATTCAAGTTTGATGATGGGGGATTAACGACGGTCGGCAATAGGTCGGATACAGTCTCATTATAGATCTGTAGGTAGGAAGCTCGCACTGTGAATGTGAGGTGGTTGTGACAAGCAATGTATCTAAGACGTTCTTATTGCGAACTGCCTCAGGTTCTTGTTCACTCAAATATCTCTGCCATGCTTCGAGGTATGATTCCCCTCTGAACATCGTTGTAATAGTCAGTTATGAAGCCCTCCATTGTATGAGTCTTCCCTGTGCCTGTCTGGCCATAGGCCAATATTGTAGCGTTAAACCTGTCAATTTGCAGTGTGGTAGTAACCACGTAGAGGCCTTCCTACCCTTGCAGAACACTGCGTACTGCTTCCCTAGCTGTTCGTTCATACACTTCTGGCTGAGTGAAGTTCTCATCATACCTAGGCAAACTTGCTACGACTTCAACTGGACAGAGATTCTCGTAAGGATCCCTCGCGTTTATGCGCTTACACGGTATCGAATGTAAAGACGTGATTCGCCAGGATCTGATGATGATTCCCATTGCTGTTTTCGATGCTCCTAGAGGCCCTGTTGTTTTGCGAGGGAGACGAGTCGCCACTGGGAACCGACATAGCACAGACAACCTGAGCTCGCTCTGGGGCTGTTCACTATATAGCGCAGTCTCGAACAGGATGAATTGGTAACATAAGTATTGCTTACTTCACTGAGAGTAAGCTGTGGGCCGTTTATGGATACCACATGACAGTAGTTAGGAGCTGTGAGTTCCCTTCTCAATGGTGGCCTAACTCTAATAGCTACCTGCTACGGCAGGCTCCATCATCATCCTCGTGTCTCATCTGAGCGTACTCACACCGAAGTCACCATTCGTCGGTTTCTCGACCTTTTTTTCTCGCATTGGAGGTTGAATAGCCATACTCAAGACGGCTATTCGAATTGACTGATGACTTTAACTCTACTACCAGTGCTGTAGCGATAAAGTGTTGAAACTAGCACAATTACACTACTCCGGGGGTGACAAAAATGGAGTCGGCCGGATACCATAAACGGAGAACCCGAAACCCAAAAGCATCAATACGTGGCTATCAATGGCTGCGAGGGATCGTACAGAACGACAAAGACGACACGAAGAATCTCGGTCGCCACTGGCAGCGTAGGAGCGGACTATTAGTCTTACAGTGTGCTTACACACTGGCCACGTTAGTCGTGCCAACACGAACGCTCCACAAAGATCATTCCCGACGGCTTGCTGTTGAATAGCGGGGCATACCACCTCCTTACAGAACTCGAGAATCCACAGACCTGCCTTAGCCGTGCCTTCATGCAATCCGAGACTCTAGCTTGCTCTCCATAGGAACTATCAAAATAAAATGCATCACCATTTATCCGCACAGTCACTGTGCCACAGTGCAGATAAAGTGGCAACCACCGTCAGAAATTAGCTGTAACACGTCCAAATCATTGTCAGGCACAGGGAGAAGCCCATAACCCCATAGCCATACTCGCACAGGACAGCTGTAAAGCACTGTCCACAATAGCAGAAGCACTTATGAAAGACCAGTGTCGATCCAGGTGAAGCTTCAGCGTTAACTACATAAACGATGATAGCAGTTATCGAGCAGGCTACACCCGATAAGACGTAAGTAGACAAGTCACCCTAACCGTTGGAGTAAGCTGAAGCTAAGATGCTGGCTTCGAGATCCCTGAACAGGATGAGGAATCGACCAAAGGATGGGCGAGTGCCTGAGACTACTATCCCCCACCCAACCTAATATTCGTTTTCGCTAATGAAGAAATAGCCATTTCTACTAGAACATTCGCATACATTCCTCAGGAGCTGTATGTCCCTCGCAGATGTCATCATAAGCTAAAAAGACTACTTCCACCCCACTACAAACTGGGCCGGTTTAACCGGCACAAAACACAAAAACAAGTGCTCGGTAATTGAAAAAATGATGCGTCTATACGAAGACTCCATCGCTTCATTACTATTGCGTTATTGACGCCCTCTAACCTGCCGCAAAGGACGAACGCTGAGCATGCAGTTGATGATAACCGCCTTAAGACGGCTAGCTACAGACATCTCGGAGCTCTGGTCGGGAGACGACCGATCTCCACTCTCACGACGGATCTTCATCGGACGGCTTCGAAGCAGCTCCTGCCGGGTTGGGCTGCCATACCTCTGGAGGAATATCGCGGGCGTTGTCAACTCCTTAGCTGCCTGTGTCTCCTCCCGGGAGACGGCCATTCACTACAAAGTTTGAACCAACTGAGCCCGACCCATGGATTCCAGTTATTAACTCGAGGATGTATTATGGAACGTTGCAATGTGACAAAGGCTGACTATAGTATATACCGGTCGAGGAACTTCCGATGGAAATCACTGCGGACTGCATCGTTGATGAACCTAAGCATTACCTCATGCTCCTTATCCTCTCAACTGTATCCAATCCCACCTCTTTTTCCCCTTAGGCTGGTTCCTAGACTGATTCTTGAATACAGTATCATCATCCCATCTCCGTTTCAATTGCATGCTACCTCCCGCTGATAGGAAACACATCCTACCTTCCACAACTACTAACCTTACCTTGTAACAGAGGGTTGCCAACAGCAATCTGCTGCCTCTCCTCTTCTTCCTCTTTGGCCTGCTCGATTGCCGCAGCCTTCGCCTCCTCGGCCGCCCTGCCAAGAGCATCAGAATCGACCATGTCCAGCCACCCATGCGCTCACCTTTCCGCACGTATCTTCGCGAGCTCCCTCATCAACTCAGCCTCTTCCTCATCTTCATCATCATCACTACCACTAGAGTCTGACAATGATCCACACGTGGATTACAGTATTTACAATTGAAGGCAATCCTCAAAGGCAGTCAGAGCCGCCTTCATTCAGATGCGCGAGGCTACTACTACTACTACTACCTCGATCTGCCTCGGATTCGGTGTCCGAACCTCCTCCACCAGCGTCGGGATCTTCATCACAGTCTTCAGGGAAGGCAGTATCCGGCGGGGGTTCTACCTCAAAGACACATATGAGGATACTTATGTGTGAGATACAAACACCCCACAACGAGACCCAACCTTACCTATAGCGCCTTTGGCCTGCTTCTCCTTCTTCTCCAACTCCCTTCGCAAGGCCGCCTTGTTTGATCCAGCATCCTTGGACTCACGGAACTTCAGCGTAAGGTGACCTACGCAGCACTGTCTACTTCTATCTATATGCGAGAGCTGCTATTACCGGGCTCATCCCGGGCCCTCCTGAAGATGGTGGGAATGGGCTGATTGCTCGAGTTGTTAGCACCCAGAGCATTATGGAAGGTGGGGCGATGGGCTGTGGTCATAAAGCAAACAACAACAACGACCAAGGCTCAGTAAAGTCCCGCTGCATCCTTCTCGATGAGACAACGCCAAAGCAACGATATTAGGGTACGATGAATGGTATTCAGAAACGTGATTGCAAGTATACTCCAGTTCAGACCAATATACCCATGCTCCCACCGACTGTCCACACCGCCATTTTTGTGATAGGAATAGGAATAGGCCTCCCTATTAGAAACGCGTTCACTCAGCCTAAACCACTTCTTCGGATGGATAATCACATAAATGAACCAAATCGCCACTACAAACGCCCGTAAGACCATCCATGAGGCGATCACTATTGCACGCCGATCGTTCAAGCACCTTCGTCGAAGTAGCTCATTCCCCCTAGAAACCCTCAGTTATCACCGCCGTACTGTCGGGAGGGGACAGGTATAGCCCCGTAGCTCCTCAGTCTTGCCCGATGGTTGAACTCCACGCTCCCTCAAGCATTCGTACAGCTGATAACCACATTTCTCTAATAGAACGACGAGTCTAGATAGCGCCCTCCATCGCGATAGTACCACGTCCACAACCTGTAGGAGCCCATACAAGGTTTGAATTTCAAACCTAATCGAGAAGGACTTGTTCTCCCACCTTTCGCGTTCTGAAGAGAGGCTCGCGCCGCGTTCGGGTTTCGAGGACCCTCCCCACTCCGCTATCACATTTGGCTGGCAAACTCCCCTTTACCGAGGCCATAATACACCCACGGTTCACAACTAATTCCAGAACGATGATGAGAGCAATTTGATACATTCTGGCCGTAGTACGGCCGCCGTACAAGCTTTATCATCATCGTCCTCCTCCACCCTCATCATTACCGCACCCAAACCAGGTTTATCATACTGAAGGCAAATGATGAAATGATGTTTCATATCGCTGAGTTGGACCATTGATAGACGAAAATACGGCAGAAATGGAGTCTGTCAGCAGTGCTGGCCCAGCACTTCCCCCTATATGTGGTTTTTCCGTATCGTGAATAACTCAGCGAATAGGTAGAGTATGGAAATGGTCAACTACTATTGAAAAGAGCACCCCGAGTGGTCCAAAATGGTACCCGGATTTGTCTGATATTCACAGGTGCTAAGAAGCCAAGTGCGATGGGCCTTTTCTCGACCACCCAGTACCCATAAACGATCAGATTGAAACGAATGAACGCTTACCGTACGTTACGTCCTCATTCCCTCATCTGTCTGCCCTCCTTTTTCCTATGTTTCCTCGAAGCCCCGCCATCGCCAATCCTAACGACGATGAGAGTATTTCCTGCACTTTCCGTGCATATTCATTGGTCGTCGTCGTTTCGCCATGTTGTGGTAAGCATCCATTCTTAGCCTTTGAGAGTTCTACTATACAACCCTATACTCGTTCGTGACGCCCCCTGGCGGACCTTTGTCATAGCTCAACTTCTCCACCATCTGCATTCCACACTCAGACATTGCGTTGGTCACTATAGATGGGCGAGTAACTCTCTAGACTCATAGGTAGACATATTGAAATGTTCATCACTCGCCTGACCAGAACAAAAGGGCAACTCGAGTCGATGAAGCTACTGCCGCACAGGGCCGTCCCGTGAGAAGATACTCTACGAGTCTTCTCGATCTGATACAGGTGTATGCTTCCTCCGCCTCATCTCTTTGGAAGTCCACCAGCCTGCAGAACTGAATACGCGTGCACTACACTGCTGCTAGAAGACTACTGCCAAAGGAACCGTGCTACTGTAGGGCTCACCGAAGAGTGCACTGTGGTGAAGTACTTGTGTCTTCCAGCGTTATGGAGATTTAGTGACAGTCTGTAAGGTGGCTGCTGCGATGAGGCGGTCCTTCAACGATGGAGGGTCTTTACCACCGAACTCCAAAGAGTTGGTAAGTCACGCAAGGCAGCCGATATTTTCTGAGGGCCACTACGACACAGCTGTATGTCTGGCAGGTGGAAGTGCTCGGCCCTTACCTGCCTATGGTTCCTCGAGATACGCATGGGGACATTGTTGTTGAGTCGAGTTGGAAGTCGGGGGCCCGAACTTCTCTCGTACTACCACAGGTGGAGTGGCTCCCGTCCGAATGCTCATGAGAGGCCTGCATGTACTAGGCACCAGGTCTCGTTGGAGTATATCGTGATGATGGATCTACCAAGAGTGTAGCAATACAAACAAAGAACCAGCTGAATGATGTGTAAGTGCGGGATGATCATTCGAGATCTTCCTATGGTCGTGTTCCGCAGGACTGCTACTACCTCTAGAGAAGAATTGTCAACTTCTACACTTACCTCGGTCCCTGCCGGTCCAGTTCACGAGAGTATGGTCCAGGCTGTAGACGATATGGCCCCTGGAGTTGATGATGTACGTTTGATGACTCTTCTGGGTTGTTATCTTCATGGTGGCAGGTAGGAAGACCAAGGCTTTTGCGGGCGGCGCTGTGGGGAAGAGCGGACCTTGTGGCTGATCTACTCCATCGCGGAGCTGATATAACCCAGTCGAGCCCGTAGGAGCCACCCTGATCACAGCGATATGCTGATCAACTCTCCGGCGTTTGTAGATCTGGAATCACAGCAGTTCACGTAGCCGCAATGACTGGTGATGCTGCTGTTATACGAGTGGTAGGATGATGCAACAGCTCACAACCGGTCGGTATCATCTTGTACTAGATTGTTGAGCACGTTGGTCCCACGAGTAAAGACACGAAGTACTTAGACATTTTGCGGAAAACCCGAGGTGTGGCTTCGGGATTAGCCATCGTCGTTGGTGAACCTCTCACAGATCTCTCGGCTCTCTTGGAGTTGAAGGACCACTTTGGTCGAGCTGTAGCGGGCAAGGGTGTCCGTGACTTCCATCGAGCCATTCGACGAGCCCGTGAATACGGCCAGAATGTTTGGGGATTCGTCAATGGCGACTCCGAGGCCATCATGGAGGCAGTGCTCCCGCGGTGCTACAAAGACCGGGTGAAGTTCAGGATGCGAAGGATGCCTATCCCGATTAACCCCGACTGTATGCAGGTGGGTATGAGGACACTATTGCCCCTTGGAAGCTCATCTCCTCGTAGGGTGGGTTCACAGCCCTGCATAGAGCTGCATGTGATGGTAGCGTCAGAAAGACTAAGTTCGTTCTCGCTTCTGGTGGAGATGTGAATAAATTATGCGAAGTGAGAAGGGAAACGGTCTCGTGTGGTTGCTGAGCGTTACGGGAAGCGAAACTCTTTAAGAACGGAATTTAAGAGAGTCCTTTTGTTCATTGAGTAGTTACGTGGCTGGACTCCGCTTCAATGGGCTGTTTATTCGGGCAATTTACATGTCGTTGCCTGCCTGCTGGCGCACGGAGCAGATGGGAACATACAGTGCCTTGTGAGTTATCGTGTCGGCATCTGTGTAATTATCCTAATTTTAGTATAATGGTCATACTCCGATGCATCTGGCTGTGCTCTATAACCGGCCACGTATTCTCCAAGCTCTTTTGCTTCACGAATGTGATGTGACCAAGCAGTCCCGTTCTGCATATCGGGTGGGCCACGAAGGAGAAGGTGGAAAAGTTGCCGTGCTGAGGTATAGGGGATGTGTCTAGGCTCTTAGGAATAATGTGTTCTCTCCAGAGCTGGCAGCACCCCGATGCACTATGCTTTGGGATTGGGACGAGAGGAGCTTGCTATTATGGTAAGCTATCATGGCTCGTATTCTACGGATTACAGTAGGCGCATGCCTACGACGATGACGTTTGTGATCAGACTGCTTTCTCTCAGATTGTTGATCACCTGAACCCTCGAAAGCTGCGAGGTCCCACTTGTGTCCGAGACAGGAGCTCTCGAGGTGAGTCTGTCAAATCGAATTTAGTCGACATGTCGTGGTGTTCTTCAATCATCGAGACGGGTTGTGCGTCATTTCTCAGCCGTGGAGCATTTGATGAGCATCTTGAATGATCGAGGGCAGACTGCTGCAGACAGCAGGAGGAGCGAATGAGATTCATTCGACAGATTTGCAGTCTGGTCGTCCAGTCTGGCAATCAACAGTGTTCGAAAGTTTACCCCAAAGGTTGCCACTTATTCTCTTTTGAGTCTCCTCACGTCGTGAATTTCACATCATGCTGGTCGGGCTGGCAGTGTTGGCTAGCCCTGTTATGACTGTTGTACCCAGGGTGACCTTGTTGAGTTATCAAGTCCGATGAATTATCG